TCTTCAATTTTTCGATTTTTCAGTTTTGCGATGTTCCAATTTTTCAATTTCTCAGGATTTTGATTTTTCAATTTTTTATTTTATAAGCTTACGATTTTTCGACTTATGGATTTCCATTTTTTTTTAACTTTTTGATTTTCCAATTTTTCGATGTTTCAATGATACAATTTTTCAATTTTTGAATTTTTCAAATTTTGACGTGTCTAAATCTTTAGTTCTCCGATTTATGAAGTAATCTTTTTTTATTTTCCCATTTCTCCCCAAATTTTCGATTTTTCACTTCTTCAATTCTTCAATTTTTCGATTTTTCAGGTTTGCGATGTTTCAATTTTTCAATTTCTCAGGATTTTGATTTTTCAATTTTTTGATTTTATAAGCTTACGATTTTTTGACTTCTGGATTTCCCGGTTTTCAGTTTTTCGTTTTTTAAACTTTCGACTTTTCAATTTTCGGCTGTTTTATATTTCGATTTCTCAATTTTTCAACTTTTTGATATTTTAATTTTTCAATTTTTAAAATTATAGATTTTTGATTTCTTGAGTTTTCGATTCTTCTATATTCCAATTTTTCAATTTTCGGGATTTTTAAAATTTTCGATTTTCCATCTTTTTTTTAACTTTTCGATTTTCCAATTTTTCGATGTTTCAATGATACAATTTCTCAATTTTTATCATCTTCAATTTTACGATTTCTAAATATTTCGATTTTTCAATTTTTCAAATTTTGACGTTTTTATCTAAATTTTCAGTTTTCCGATTTCTGAAGTATTTTTTTTTATTTTCCCATTTCTTCCCAGATTTTCGATTTTTCACTTCTTCAATTCTTCAATTTTTAGATTTTTCAGGTTTGCGATGTTTCAATTTATCAATTTCTCAGGATTTTGATTTTTCACTTTTTTGATTTATAAAGCTTACGATTTCTAGACTTCTGGATTTCCCATTTTCGGTTTTTCGTTTTTTGAACTTTGGATTTTTCAATTTTCGGCTGTTTTATATTTCGATTTCTCAATTTTTCAACTTTTGGATATTTTAATTTTTCAATTTTTAAAATTCTAGATTTGTGATTTCTTAAGTTTTCGATTTTCCATCTCTTTTTTTAACTTTTCGATTTTCCAATTTTTCGATGTTTCAATGATACAATTTCTCAATTTTCAACCTCTTCAATTTTACGACTTCTAAATATTTCGATTTTTCAATTTTTGAATTTTTGACGATTCTAAATTTTCAGTTTTCCGATTTCTGAAGTAATCTTTTTTTTTATTTGCCCATTTCTTCCCAGATTTTCGATTTTTCACTTCTTCAATTCTTCAATTGTTCGATTTTTCAGGTTTGCGATGTTTCAATTTTACAATTTCCCAGGATTTTGATTTTTCAATTTTTTGATTTTATAAGCTTACGATTTTTCGACTTCTGGATTTCCCGATTTTCAGTTTTTCGTTTTTTAAACTTTGGATTTTTCAATTTTCGGCGGTTTTATGTTTCGATTTCTCAATTTTTCAACTTTTCGATATTTTAATTTTTCAATTTTGAAAATTCTAGATTTTTTATTTTTTGAGTTTTCTGGTCTTCTATATTTCAATTTTTCAATTTTCGGGATTTTTAAAATTTTCGATTTTCCATCTTTTTTTTTAACTTTTCGATTTTCGAATTTTTCGAAGTTTCAATGATACAATTTCTCAATTTTTATCCTCTTCAATTTGACGATTTCTAAATATTTCGATTTTTCAAATTTTGACGTTTCTAAATGTTCAGTTTTCCATTTTCTGAAATAATCTTTTTTTTATTTTCCCATTTCTTCCCAGATTTTCGATTTTTCACTTCTTCAATTCTTCAATTTTTCGATTTTTCAGGTTTTCGATGTTTCAATTTTTCAATTTCTCAGGATTTTGATTTTTCAATTTTTTGATTTTATAAGCTTACGATTTTTTGACTTCTGGATTTCCCGATTTTCAGTTTTTCGTTTTTTAAACGTTTGATTTTTCAATTTTCGGCTGTTTTATATTTCGATTTCTCAATTTTTCAACTTTTAGATATTTTAATTTTTCAATTTTTAAAATTCTAGATTTTTGATTTCTTGAGTTTTCTATTCTTCTATATTTCAATTTTTCAATTTCCGGGATTTTTAAAATTTTCGATTTTCCATCTTTTTTTTTAACTTTTCGATTTTCCAATTTTTCGATGTTTCAATGATACAATTTCTCAATTTTTATCCTCTTAAAATTTCAATTTATGAATTTTTCAAATTTTGACGTTTCTAAATTTTCAGTTTTCCGATTTCTGAAGTAATCTTTTTTTTTTATTTTCACATTTCTTCCCAAATTTTCGATTTTTCACTTCTTCAATTTTTCAATTTTTCGATTTTTCAGGTTTGCGAAGTTTCAATTTTTCAATTTCTCAGGATTTTGATTTTTCAACTTTTCGATTTTATAAGCTTACGATTTTTCGACATCTGGATTTCCCGATTTTCAGTTTTTCGCTTTTTAAACTTTGGATTTTTCAATTTTCGGCTGTTTTATATTTCGATTTCTCAATTTTTCAACTTTTCGATACACTCATTTTTCAGTTTTTCAATTTTCAGGATTTTTAAAACTTTCGATTTTCCTATTTTTCGATATTTCAATGATACAATTTCTCAATTTTTATCCTCTTCAATCTTACCATTTCTAAATATTTCGATTTTTCAATTTTTGAATTTTTCAAATTTTGACGTTTCTAAATTTCCAGTTTTCCGATTTCTGAAGTAATCTTTTTTTTATTTTTCCATTTCTTCCCAAAGTATCGATTTTTCAGGTTTTCGATGTTTCAATTTTTCGATTTCTCAGGATTTTAATTTTTCAATTTTTTGATTTTATAAGCTTACGATTTTTCGACTTCTGGATTTCCCGATGTTCAGTTTTTCGTTTTTTAAACTTTGGATTTTTCAATGTTCGGCTGTTTTATATTTCGATTTCTCAATTTTCCAACTTTTCGATATTTTAATTTTTCAATTTTTAAAATTCTAGATTTTTGATTTTTTGAGTTTTCTATTATATTTCAGTTTTTCAATTTTCGGGATTTTTAATATTCTCGATTTTCCATCTTTTTTTTTAACTTTTCGATTTTCCAATCTTCCGATGTTTAAGTGTTACAATTTCTCAATTTTTATCCTCTTCAATTTTACGATTTCAAAAAATTTCGATTTTTCAATTTTTGAATTTTTCAAATTTTGATGTTTCTAAATTTCCAGTTTTCCGATTTCTGAAGTAATCTTTTTTTATTTTCCCATTTCTTCCCAAAGTTTCGATTTTTCATTCTTCAATTTTTTCGATTTTTCAGGTTTGCGATTTTTCAATTTTTCAGGATTTTGATTTTTCAATTTTTTGATTTTATAAGCTTACGATTTTTCGACTTCTGGATTTCCCGATGTTCAGTTTTTCGTTTTTTAAACTTTGGATTTTTCAATTTTCGGCTGTTTTATATTTCGATTTCTCAATTTTTCAACTTTTCGATACACTCATTTTTCAGTTTTTCAATTTTCAGGATTTTTAAAACTTTCGATTTTCCTATTTTTCGATATTTCAATGATACAATTTCTCAATTTGTATCCTCTTCAATTTTACGATTTCTAAATGTTCAGTTTTCCGATTTTTGAAGTAATCTTTTTTTTATTTTCCCATTTCTTCCCAAATTTTCGATTTTTCACTTCTTCAGTTCTTCAATTTTTCGATTTTTCGGGTTTTCAATTTTTCAATTCTTCAATTTTTCAGGATTTTGATTTTTCAATTGTTTGATTTTATAAGCTTACGATTTTTCGACTTCTGGATTTCCCGATTTTCAGTTTTTCGTTTTTTACTCTTTGAATTTTTCAATTTTCGGCTGTTTTATATTTCGATTTCTCAATTTTTCAACTTTTCGATATTTTAATTTTTCAATTTTTAAAATCCTAAATTTTTTATTTCTTGAGTTTTCGATTCTTCTATATTTCAATTTTTCAATTTTCGGGATTTTTAAAATTTTCGATTTTCCAATTTTTCGATGTTTCAATGATACAATTTCTCAATTTTTGTCCTCTTCAATTTTACGATTTCTAAATATTTCGATTTTTCAATTTTTCAATTTTTGACGTTTCTAAATGTTCAGTTTTCCGATTTCTGAAGTAATCTATTTTTTATTTTCCCATTTCTTACCAAAGTTTCGATTTTTCAATTCTTCAATTTTTCAGGATTTTGATTTTTCAATTGTTTGATTTTATAAGCTTACGATTTTTCGACTTCTGGATTTCCCGATTTTCAGTTTTTCGTTTTTTAAACTATAGATTTTTCAATTTTCGGCTGTTTTATATTTTGATTTCTCAATTTTTCAACTTTTCGATATTTTAATTTTTCAATTTTTAAAATTCTAGATTTTTGATTACTTGAATTTTCGATTCTTCTATATTTCAATTTTTTAATTTTCGGTATTTTTAAAATTTTCGATTTTCCATTTTTTTTTCTTTGAACTTTTTTACTTTCCAATTTTTCGATTTTTCAATGATTCGTTTTTTCAATTTCCCGTTTTTTAAATTTTAGATTTTCCAATTCCAATCGGTCGGTAAGGCTCCCTGCTGTGTCAAACTGAACCGTTGATTAAAACGGATCCTTTGTAAATAGGGTTGCTTAGTTTCACGTTATTTTCAATATTCAGTATTTTTTTAAAAATACTTTGATAGATATAAATTTTAAACAAAAATGACCGGTTCTTCCCCATAGAGCTCAATGTTGTCTTTGCACTGATATAAAAGTTGAAGCGAAACATGCTCTCTCCTCGTCTAAAAATGCAATTTCCTTCGAAGAATGAACGATTAATTAAACACTAAACAATCAATTATTTTAAAAAATATTGTGTCTTCCACAGAGATTTAGACATAATCTATCAATTGAAATATCGATCTTTTTTTCAACTTCTACTTAGCTCATTTTTCACCCTGAATGTTAAAATTTAATTATTTACTTCACATCAACAATCTCAATCCCTTTTTTTCAGGATGCCATCGCCATGGTGTCGAAGCTCCACTACGACCCGAAGTACGACAAGGCCATGCGCTACCTCTTCGGCAAAACCCTGATTTGCCGCAACCTGGACGTCGCCACCAAGCTCGCCCGGACGACCGGTTTGGACTGCGTCACCCTCGAAGGCGACCAAGTCTCCTCCAAGGGGTCTCTCACTGGCGGTTACTTCAACTCGAACCGCTCCCGTCTCGAAATGCAGAAAACCCGCAGCGAAACCATGCAACAAATCGGGCAATGCGAAGAAGAGCTCCAGTCGCTGCGCGAAGAGCTCACCAAAACCGAGTCCGCCATCAACAGCATAGTTTCGGAGATGCAGAAAACCGAAACGAAGAATAGTAAAGCGAAAGGGATTTATGATAAAGTTAAAGGCGAGTTGCGGTTGATGAAGGAGGAGTTGTCGAACATCGAGAGGTTCCGGGGACCGAAGGAGAGGTCGCTGGCGCAGTGTAAATCTAGCTTGGAGGCGATGCAGAGCACGAAAGAGGGGTTAGAGAGCGAGCTACACCAGGAGTTGCTGTCGCAGCTGTCGTTCGCTGACCAAGCGGAAGTTGATAGTTTGAACGACGACATACAACGATTACAAAAAGAGAATAAAGAGGCTTTCAGTACGAGGATGAAGTTAGAAGCGGAGAAAAACAAACTGGAGAATTTGTTGACGAATAATTTGATCAGGAGGAGGGACGAGGTGTTGCATGCCCTACAAGAAATCTCCCTGGAAGATAGAAAGAGACAGCTGCAGAATTCGAAGAACGATCTAGAAGAAATCGACAGGAAAATCGAGAAGGTTAATAAGGAGTTGAGCGCGATGGAGAATAAAGTGAAAGAAATGGCGAAACGGTTAAAATCGGAGCAAGCGGAGTTGGAAAACTACAAAAAGAAGGAGAAAGATGCGCAAGACAAAATTGACGAGGACGCTAAACATTTGGAGAAGTACGCCACGAAGCAAAATCTCTTAGAGCAGAAAATCGCAGAGTGCTTTGATAAGATCCAGCAGCTGGGGGCGTTGCCAGCGCAGGATTTGTATTCGCACTACGTCAAGATGTCATCACGATCGGTAACTATATAATTTTTCTCTTTAAGGCGGTATCACTCGGCCTGGTTTGGGACAGTTTTCATCCCATTTGAAATGTCCTGTAAAAACGAGAGAAATTGACTTAAAACGATAGTTTTTTTTGTTAACAATCCTTATTAAACATATTTTGTCACTCTTATTTCTTTCGTCATTTTGTCAAAATAGAAAATATTGGTGGAATTAAAAAAAAATCCGCACAACACATTCAAAATTATTCGAAAGCTATCGGTGTTTTATTTTTGATACTCAATGTAAATTGTTGAATTATAAAAATTGGTCTAAATTTATTTAGACAGCACTTTCCTCGCTTTTGAAGTCCGGCATAACATTTAGTTTTGTCAGATAATTGTAAAATTCGATTTAGAGATTTTTTTGCTGATAACGCTGTAAAGAGATCCATCTGGCGAATGATTATTTTTTTGTTGTTTCTTTCGATTTACAATTCTTTATTTATTCAAATTTTCAGGCTTTCATTTTTCAATTCCATGATTTTCCACGTTTAAAATTTTTCAATTTGCAGTTTTTGGATTTCCAGTCTTCCAATTTTTCAATTTCTTTAATTTTCAATATTTTGATTGTACAATACATATTTCTTTTATTTTTATTTTTCACTTTTTCGAATTTTAAGTTTTTCAATTTTTAATCTTTCGATTTTTCAAATTTTCGTTTCTTCAAATTTTCATGTTTGATTTTCACTTTTTCACTTTTGACATTTTTCAAGTTTTCATCATAAACTTTTTCGTTTTTTTATTTTGCAATTTTTCGATATTCCTGTTTCTCATTTTTCGATTTTTCACATTCTCAGTTTTTAATTTTTGTCATTTTCAATTTTTCGTTTCCTCAATTTTTCAAGTTCTCGATTTTTATTTTTCATTTTCCCGATTTTTTTAATTTTCATTTTCTCGATTTTATGTCACAATTTTTCATTTTTTCAATTCCTTTGTTTTTTGTTGTTTCTTTCGATTTTTCAATTTTTCGAATTTTCAGTTTCTCAATTTTTCGTTTCCACAATTTTTCAATGTGGCGAATTTTTAATTTTTATTTTCTTGACTTATATCACAATTGTCCGTTTCTTCATTTCCTTTATTTTCTGTGTTTTTTTTTTTTCGATTTTACAGTAGTTTTTCGTTTGTTCAATTTTTCAAATTTTCTGGCTTTGAATTTTCAGTTCGTCCATTTTTCAATTTTTAAATTTTTTACTTTGCAGTTTTTGGATTTCCAGTCTTCCGATTTTCTAATTTCTTTAATTTTAAATATTTCTATTTCATAATACATATTTCTTTTTTTTCTGATTTTTCACTTTTTCGATTCGTAAGATTCTTCAAGTTTTCATTTTGTAATTTTTCGTTTTTTATTTTTGATTTTTCAATTTTACAATTTCTCGACTTCCAAAATTTTCAATTTTTCTGTTTGCATCAGGTTTTCAATTTGGCAATTTTTCAATATTACAGATTTTCATTTTTCCCTTTTCCAATTTTTTGTTTCCGATTTTTTAATTTTCACTTTTTCGATTTTATATCACAATTTTCCTTTTTTGATTTCCTTAATTTTTTGTTGTTTCTTTCTATTTTACAATTTTTCCTTTATTAAACTTTATTAAAATTTTCAGGTTTTTAGCAATTTTTCTTCAAATTTTCAAGTTTGATTTTCACTTTGTACATTTTTTAAGTTTTTATTATACACTTTTTGGTTTTTTTATTTCTCATTTGTCCATTTTTCACATTCTCGATTCTTAATTGTGCCCTTTTTCAATTTTCCGTCTCCTCAATTCTTCAAGTCCTCGATTTTTATTTTTTGTTTTCCATTACCTTAATTTTTGTTGTTTCTTTCGATTTTTCAATTCGTCGATTTTCCAATTTTTAAATTTTTCGGTTTGCGCTTTTTGGGATTCGAGCCCTTTTTTACTTTTTGGATTTTCAATTTTTCGTTAAACTTTAGATTTCTCAAATTTTCGACAGTTTTACACTTCGATTTCTTAATTTTTTTTCAACTTTTCGATATTTTAATTTTTCTTTTTTAAAATTTTTAAATTTTTTTAATTTCTCGATTTATCGAATTCAGATGTTTGGATGTTTTGATTGCTCAATTTCTCAATTTTTTTCTATTTCTCAATTTTTCGATTTTTGGATATCTCGGTTTTTTGATTTTCCAATTTTTCGATGTTTTGATTTTTCAGTTATCCGATTTTTCATTTTTTTTTAATTCTGAATTTCGATTTGTCAATTTTTCAGTTTTTCGATTTTTAAGTTTTAGATTTTCGAATTTTTCTTTTTTGATTCTTTGATGTTTGGATTTCTACATTTTTCAATTTTGTGATATTTCAATTGTTCAATGTTTTAAATTTTCGATTTTACAGTTTTTCAAATTTTGACGTTGCTAAATTTTCAGTTTTCCGATTTTTCGATTAATATATATATTTTTTTTTATTTTACCGTTTCTTGAATTCGCAGTTTCGGTTTTTCATTTCTTCAATTCTTCAGTTTTTCGTTTTTTACATCTTTAGATTTCTCAAATTTTCGACAGTTTTACACTTCGATTTCTTAATTTTTTTTCGACTTTTCGATATTTTAAGCTTTCAATTTTTAAAATTTTAAGTTTTTCGATTTCTCGAGTTTTCAGTTCTTCTATATTTGAATTTTTCAATTTTCGAAATTTAAAGTTAATTATAAGTTACTTTAAAAGACACATTAGAAGAATGAGAACAAAAGCAGAGTAAGATATGGTACTAATAAATATACAGGGTGTCAGTGAGAATTTAAAAATTTGGCGATTGAAATTCCATTTATCATGAGATTGTTTTTGCCTCAAATTTACGTCTCATTATCTTTCCACACAATTAACTATTCGATATGATGATTCACTAGATGGGACACGAAAACTCAAAAAACGGTGCACTCTCTTTGTAAGTTTTAGATTTTCGAATTTTTCTTTTTTGATTCTTTGATGTTTGGATTTCTCCATTTTTCAATTTTGTGATATTTCAATTGTTCAATGTTTTAAATTTTAGATTTTTCGATTTTCTAGTTCTTCAGTATTTCTATTTTACAGTTTTTCAAATTTTGACGTTGCTAAATTTTCACAATTTTCAGTTTTCCGATTTTTCGATTAATATATATATACAGGGTGTCCCAGAATTCGCGCCATTCCCGTGAATGACATGTTCCCAGTCCCGAACTGTGCCGTAATTCGCAAAAAGAATTGTCCAGGCTTTAACCGTGTGAGAACTGGAAGGCGATTAAGTTGACCAATAGTGAGCCTGCTTTTATATCCGAACGTTTCTATGTTCAAAGTTACCTATGCCAAGAACAAAAAATCGGGTAATACTAAAGTTGAATGAATTTTTTCCGAATCCCCCTCCGTCAACAAAAGGAAACAGAAGTGTGGTTATAAATTTAATCATTTCGACAATTGTTTGTCATAAACTGTCACGAAGTTCATCACTGACCTGAAGAGATGCTTCTGCGCCAAAGATGACTGATTAATGTACACAGAGACGTCAAGGTTTACTTTAAGGCAAGTAGCATGGGACAGAAGTTATTTCTGCTGCCATTCTAGTTAAATTGTGTTTAACTGGGCTGTGCATGTCATAAGAGAAGCTGTTTCATTTCATCGTAGGCAAATAATACATTTATTACTATTCTACATAGTGTAGATACCGAAGAGCAGGTATTAGAAGTCATTTTCTTAGAGCCCTGTGAATAATGTGTTGTTCTTTTTAACGAAAATTAGTACATTTTCAGAATGCATCATATGCCTGATATTAAGTTTATCGTTATTTCTAAAAAAGAGTACCACATGTCCATTCAAAGAACGTTATTAAGTATACTAAAACATAAATATCGCTTTTGATTAATCGGTGCTTATGATTTTCAATAAACAGTATCAATTTTTACTGAACAGCTTTGTTGCTGATACCTAATCTAAGCAACGAAAAAAGAGACGAGACTCCACTTCTCTGGTGTATTAAGATCATAGGTATCTGCTGTGGTGTCAATCATGTGGGGGAGATACTGAAAACTGAGACTTATTCAAGAATAATATTGATGTTGCACATGATGATTTAAAACAGTTTCTTTAAAGTTGTGAGTACTTTCTAGAGATTGAAAAGATACGAATAAAAATTATAACAAAAATCGTTTAGTTGCAATTTTTTTTAAGAACAATACAAACTATAAACAAATCAGTACCAATACCGCTAAGTTATTGATGTCTTATTCATACTAGTATCTATAAAGAATATTTGGAAATGATGTTAATTTATGGAGAATGTACATGCTATGCAGCCACTGCTGTGCGCGAATATACAGGTCTTTTCCCCAATCATCGGCTCCTTGACCAGCATTTGTTTCGTCGTTTGTTGCATCCAGCAAAAGAAGATGGATCTTTTCAGCCTATTCCGAAAGCCGTGCTGGGGCTCCACGGATTATACGCATAGACGGTGAAGAACAAGTGGCACAAATGATTGGATGCTCAAGATCGATCATGCATCGTATCTTTACAGAGAAAAATCTGCATCCTTACTATTGACGAAAGTGCAGCATCTGCGACGAGCCGACTGCGCGACGAGTGCATGTTGCTAAATGGTTACTGCGACAAAATGAACTAAATCCTGATTTTTCACGGCACATTCTTTTCGCCGACGAATGTTCATTTTCCCGAAAAGGAATATTTAATGCGCACAATTGGCACTTCTGGGCAAACGAAAATCTACATTTCGCTAACGTGAGAGCATATCAAGAGCAATACTATTAATCTATGGGCTGGAATCGTTGTACTATAACGTTATTAAACAATGTGCTCAAAATGACCACCATTAACTTCAATGCAAATTCTAGCTCGTCGAATTATGTTGTGTTGTGTATTATTTAACATCTCAGGAGTAACTGTAGCGTAGGCTTCGTGCAGTCTCTCTTCCAGTTCTTCTAACATATCTAGGGGTTCTCTATATACGTAATTTTTAATTTGATTCCAAAAAAAAAAAAGTCCAAAGCAGAAAGGTCTGGAGATCTAGGAGGCCAGATGTTAGTACTGCCACGCCCAATCCACCTATGACGATACTCTTTTCAATTTTCATCGTACAAGTATCGAATTATGTGGAGGAGCGCCGTCGTGCTGAAACCACATATTCCGCCGTACATTCAAAGGAACGTCTTCCAACAATGCCGGAAGCTCTAGTCGTAGAAAATTAGCATATGCATCCCCATTAAGGCGATCAGGTAACACAAACGGCCCCACCTAAAAAAACAGGAACGGAGTTTAGTGATAATTTTATCAGATGCATTAAAATTTTTACCACAGTAGTACCAATTATTCCAGCCCATAGATTAATAGTAAATCGCTCCTGATATGCTCTCACCCTAGTGAGATGTGGATTTTCGTGTGCCCAGAAATGCCAATTGTGTGCATTAAACATTCCTTCTCGGGAAAATGAACATTCGTCGGTGAAAAGAATGCGCCGTGTAAAATCAGGATTTAGTTCATTTTGTCGCAGTAACCATTGAGTAAAATGTACTCGTCGCGGGTAGTCGGTTGGTCGCAGATGCTGCACTCTCGTGTAATGGTAAGGATGCAGTCTTCTCTCTTGAAGGATACGATGAGTGGTCGATCTTGAGCATCCACTCATTTGCGCTACGTAGAGGACACTTCTCCTAGGATCCGCTTCCATGTTTTCTAACACTTGCTCTTCAGCACCTACACGTACATTCCGTGGAGCCCCAGCATGGCCTTTCCGACTAGGTTGAAAAGATCCATCTTCTCTTGCTCGATGTAACAATCGGTGAAACACATGTTGGTCTGGGTGCCGACGATTATTCACGGGGCTCTAAGAAAATGACTTCTAATACCTGCTCTTCGGTAGCTACTCTATGTAGAATAGTAATAAATGTATTATTTACCTACGATGAAATGAAACAGCTTCTCTTATGACATGTACAGCCCAGTTAAACACAATTTAACCAGAATGGCAGCAGAAATAACTTCTGTCCCATGCTACTTGCCTTAAAGTAAACCTTGATGTCTCTGTGTACATTAATCAGTCATCTTTGGCGCAGACGCGTCTCTTCAGGTCAGTGATAAACTTCGTGACAGTTTATGACAAACAATTGTCAAAATGATTAAATTTATAACCACACTTCTGTTTCCTCTTGTTGACGGAGGGGGATTCGGAAAAAATTCATTCAACTTTAGTATTACCCGATTTTTTGTTCTTGGCATAGATAACTTTGAACATAGAAACGTTCGGATATAAAAGCAGCCTCTCTATTGGTCAACTTAATCGCCTTCCAGTTCTCACACGGTTAAAGCCTGGAAAATTCTTTTTGCGAATTACGGCACAGTTCGGGACAGGGAACATGTCATTCACGGGAATGGCGCGAATTCTGGGACACCCTGTATATTTATTTTACCGTTTCTCGAATTCGCAGTTTCGATTTTTCAATTCTTCAGTTTTTTGTTTTTTATACTTTAGATTTTTCAATTTTCGACTGTTTTATATATATTTCGATTTGTGAATTTTTCGAGTTTTCAATTTTTTGAGAACTCGATTTATCGAGATTCGGATGTTTCGATTAATCGGTTTTTCGTTTTTTTACTTTTCGGCTTTTCGATTTTTGATTTTTCCGATTTTTCAATTTTCCAATTTTTTTAATTTTCAAGTTTTGACGTTTCTAAATTTTCAGTTTTCCGATTTCTCAATTAATCTATCTTTAGGTTTTCCCATTTTCGACTTGCGAAGGTTTCGATTTTTCAGTTCTTCAATTTTTCGATTTTTCAGGCTCCAGATTTTTCAGTTTTTCGATTCTTTAGGTTTGCAATTATTCGCTTTTTCGATTTCCCAATTTTTCAATTTTTTAATGTCCCAATTTTTGGATATTTCTTTCAATTTTGTGGGTTTTCTCAGTTTTTCGATTCTTCAATTTTCCAATTTTGGGATTTTTTAGTATTTCGACTTTTGGATTTTTCACGTTCTGGATTTTTCGATTTCTCGACTTTTTACTTTTTGAATTTTTAATTTTTCGTTTTTTGAACTTTCGGTTTTCACAATCTTTCAACTTTTCGATATTTTAAGTTTTCAATTTTTAAAATTTTAAGTTTTTCGATTTCTCGAGTTTTCAGTGTTTCTATATTTTAATTTTTCTATTTTCGAAATTTAAAATTAATTATAAGTTACTTTTTAAAAGACACATTAGAAGAACACGAACAAAAACAGAGTAAGATATGGTACTAATAAAAATACAGGGTGTCAGTGAGAATTTAAAAATTTGGCGATTGAAATTCCATTAATCATGGGATTGTTTTTGACACGAAAATTCAAAAAAAGGTTGCATTTGTGATCTACGGGGAATTTCGGATTCAATAGCAGGCGTTAAGATATTTGAAAAGTGACTAGAGAACACTAAAGAGCGTTTGGACTACGTGAAAAGTTATTTATTTTCAACTGTTGTGTGACAATTCTGAGTGATACCACCTTAACCCAGTACTTACGTTGGCTTCAATTTAAAATTATTTCAATTATACACACTCGAAACAGTATAACATTAAAACTCTCCATTGTTCATTACCAGCTCTTCAAAGAACTAGAAAAAACCAACAACCAACTGAAGAAGTTCAGTCACGTCAATAAAAAAGCCTTGGACCAGTTCATGAGCTTCTCAGACCAAAAGGAGAAGCTACAAAAACGCAAAGAAGAACTCGATCGAGGGTAAGTATCCTCACTTTCAAGCTTCATGGGTAAACGGCTATTTCCAGCGGCGAGAAAATCAAAGAGCTCATCGCGATGCTGGAGCAGCGCAAACTGGAAGCAATCCAGTTCACGTTCAAGCAAGTCTCCAAGTACTTCACCGAAGTATTTAAAAAGTTAGTACCGACGGGTAAAGCCAAACTCGTGCTGAAAACCGTGGATAACGAAGAGGGCCGCGACGTGGGTCCGGAAGACACCAACTCCGACCAGTTCAGCGGGATCGGGATCAAAGTCTCGTTCACGGATTCCGACGCGGAAATGAAGGAGATGAATCAGTTGTCGGGTGGACAGAAGTCGCTGGTGGCGTTGGGGTTGATCTTTGCTATTCAGAAGTGCGATCCAGCGCCGTTTTATTTGTTTGATGAAATTGATCAAGCGTTAGACGCGCAGCACAGGAAGGCGGTGGCGAATATGATCCACGAGCTGTCGGGGGAAGCGCAGTTCATTACGACTACTTTCAGGCCGGAGCTGTTGGAGCATGCGCATAAGTTTTATGGGGTTAAGTTTAGGAATAAGGTGAGTCATGTTGAGTGCGTGACGAGGGACGTGGCGAGGGATTTCGTCGAGGATGATCAGACTCACGGGTAGATGTAGGTTTTAAATAAAGTAATAAAGTCATACTTAATGGTGTAAACTTTATTAGTTTTTATTCGTTTACTTGTGTAAGTATATTTGTAACATTGAAAATAAAAGAGTATTTGTAATTTGAAAAATTGTGGAAGATGGTACCGTAATTTTCTAATCAAAAGCCGTACTCAAACAACCGAAAGCTGCTACCAATCGCCAAATTTTAAATTTGATTTTATTTATTTTATGATAACTCGTGTTAGTTATTTCCCGACTAGAATTTTTTTGCGAAAATCTGAAAGTCTACGATAAACAATCAATGCGGATTCATAGACCACAAATACAGGAGTAGATTATTTTATAAAATTTAAATCGCATTTACCATGCAAAATTGTTAGGAAATTCATTTATTCAGACTTCACCCTTTGTTTATAAAGTCATAACTAAAGTTTCTAAATGTTTTGGATGAAGTATTACATTATAATATACTTCTTAGCTTCGCACTCGATGACAATAGTTCATTTATGGTATTCACACTAATCTAAACATTGATCCATTTTAAGAGAAAGGATCTTGAAGTTTCCATCAGTCAAATTAATACTCTCGTAGACTCGAAAAACGGGAGGGCTTTAATATTTTCTTACAGGTTTATGAAGAGACCCTCGTCAGTGTGAAACTCGCACCTTGGTTTATTAGGTGGCTATTTTGCGAAGATCGGGTAAAGAGTATAATATGCGGCAGGTTTATTGGGGCTTAGAAATTTGGAGTGTGTATTATACCTGTCTATAGTGTAGAATCACCGAAGAAGGTGACAAACTACGACGAGAAACTTAAATTCTCACCTCTCCAAAATAAAGAAATACATGATTTTTGTCCTCCATATTTTGTGTTATATACTTTTTTTCGTACATTACTAATATCGAAAATACAAGACTGTGTGTAGGTATATACATACAATTACTCTGCACCGAGTTGTACACTTGAAAATTTAAAAACTTTTGCTGAGAAATGTACAACCAAAATATTTTCTGGTGTATTTACTTTGAGGAGAAGTCGCAGCTCGGGTTGTGTCACACCATACAAAGAGTTTAAGTTTACACTGGTTAATAATAATCGTTAGAAAATGTGTTCGAGTGTGGTACAAGTTTCGATTATCTAACAATAGGTGTCATTCTCGAAAGAATTGATTAATACTTCATATTCGTAGGAAAACGGTTACTTGACACGTATCTTTGTTAAAATGTTCGTTTTTATTGGAATTTATGGGAATAATTCGCCGTCTGTCTATTCGCTGCCAGTTTTGTTTTGTTTTTTTGACAGTTTCGGGATCTGTTTATTTTGTTCCAACTGTTTTCTTTGTGTTTTATATCTTCCTTTCTGCTCATTCGTTTCTAATTGTTTTATTTCTCGAATTACATAAAATACAGATTTATATTAAAGAGTGTATTATTGGTTGCCTATCCACAAAATACAATTTTAAACCTGTCTAAAAGGGCGATTTTTACATCTCATTGCAATAGGTAGGTACGTAATGAGCCTGACGTCACCATTTTCCCCGTTTTATCCAATCCGAGCTAATTATTTTCCGCGCCAAGTTCAAATTTCAAATGTTCTTTAGTCGTAAAAGCTGTGGCTATGGAACGCTCGAGAAAGGAACAGACACCACACAAAAAATTAGTTTTACATTTTTAAGAAAGACAGTTGGGAACCCCGAGAAGGTTTCACGTTAAAAAAAGACATTTGAGGCCCCAGAGACGGTTTTACATTCTTAAAAAAGGACAGTTGGGAACCCGAGAACATTTCACAATCTTAACAAAGATATTTGGCGCCCCTGAGAAGGATTTACATTTTTAAAAAGGACAGTTGGGACCCACGAGAAGGTTTCACATATTTCGAAAAAGACATTTGGAACCCTCGAGAAGGTTTACCATTTTTAAAAAGATACTTGGTAGTCCCGAGAAGGTTTCACATTTAAAAAAAGTCATTTGGGGCTCCCAAGAAGGTTTTACATTCTTAAAAAAGATATTTGGGACCCCCGAGAAGGTTTCACATTTAAAACAAAAACATTTGGGGCCCCTGAGACGGTTTTACATTTTTAAAATGGACAGTTGGGACCCACAAGAAGGTTTCACATTCTTAAAAAAAACACTTGGGGCCCCTGAGAAGGTTTTACATTCTTAAAAAAGATATTTGGATCCACTGAGAAGTTTTCACATTCTTAAAAAAAAAGCACTTGGCGCCCCTGAGGAGGTTTTACATTTTTAAAAAGGACAGTTGGGACCCACGAGAAGGTTTCACATATTTCGAAAAAGACATTTGGAACCCCCGAGAAGGTTTACCATTTTTAAAAAGATAGTTGGTAGCCCCGAGAAGGTTTCACATTTAAAAAAAGTCATTTGGGGCTCCCAAGAAGGTTTTACATTCTTAAAAAAGATATTTGGGTCCCCCGAGAAGGTTTCATATTTAAAACAAAAACACTTGGGGCCCCTGAGAAGGTTTTACATTCTTAAAAAAGATATTTGGATCCCCTGAGAAGGTTTCACATTCTTAAAAAAAAACACTTGGAGCCCATGAGAAGGTTTTACAATTTTAAAAAGGACAGTTGGGACCCACGAGAAGGTTTCACATATTTCAAGAAAGACAGTTGGGAACCTCGACAAGATTTAATATTCTTAAAAAAAGGCATTTGGGGCTCTCGAGAAGATTTCACATTCTTAAAAAAATTGGTCGAAAGCTGTTTCGGTAGAACTTCCCTCGCACCTAAAGTACAGTGAAACATAACCAACATTTTTGAGTTGAGTTTTTACTTTACAGAATTTTGGGATGGACGTCATCAACATTTTTGCAAGGACGCCTTGGATTCGTGCACTGTAATACTAAAAATAACAATATTGCATTCCCAAAATTTTTTGGAAAAATGGAGTGAACCGTTTCTGATTTAATTAATAAAATAAATTGACACATTTATTAATTTCTTTGACCCACCTGTACAAGCAATCCTAAAAATATGAATGCAATGCTAAATCACAACTAAAAACTCATCATATTTTGCACATTTCGGGTAGATTTAGGAATTTAACTCGTTACTATGGAAATTTGCAATTTAACATCTTTAAATTTCAGAAGCTTTCACAAGATTAATAGGAGCAAAATCAGTTTTATCTTAACAAGTACTAGCCCTGCCCACCCACCCTCTCTTTTCTTAGAGGATATATGATTTGCCAAAGTCAGTCTTATCTTACCAAGTGCTAGCCCCACCCACCCACCCTCTCTTTTCTTAGTGTATATATGATTTGCCGAATTGAATCTTATCTTAGCAAATACTGGCCCCACCCACCCACCCTCTCTTTTCTTAGAGATATGTGATTTGCCAAAATCAATCTTATCTTAATAAGTACCAGCCCCACCCACCCACCCTCTCTTTTTTAGAGGATATGTCACTTCCCAAAGTCAGTCTAATCTTACCAAGTACTATCCCCACCCACCCACCCTCTCTTTTCTTAGAAGATATGTAATTTGCCAAATTCAATCTTATCTTACCAAGTGCTGGCCCCACCTGCCCTCCCTTTCTTTTTTGGAGGAATGTGATTTGCCAAAATCAGTCTTATTTTACCAAGCACTTTTTAAGTATTGTGTTATTAAAAAATACTATGTATATTAAGAAAAAAAAGGCAAAATATAAACCCCGCCCTCCCACCCGATCTCATTGTGATGATTTTTTTTATTCGTCATCAACCAAGAAGGCGGAGCTTAACTGCAAAATCCTTATGTCTCTACGAGAAATTAAAACATGTTTTCGAGTATCGTGCTGTTCAAAGAATACTGTGTATGTTAAGAAAAAAATAAAACCAAAAAAAAATGTTTCATTCGTTGTCAATTCGAGGGGCGGGGCTTAATTGCAAAATCAATATTTGTCTACAAGAACTTTATGTTTGTTGTATGAATGTTTTAAGTTTCTTGTTCTGAAAAGACGACTACGTATATAAAGAAAAAAGGCAAAATATAAGCCCCGCCCACCCGCCCTATCTCAATTGTAATGATTTTTTTTTAATCGTCGAGAGCCAAAGGAGCGGAATTTAATTGCAAAACCCTTATTATTTTCTACAAGAAATTCAAAGAATACTATGTACATATATTAAGAAAAAATTAAAGCCAAAGATTAAACCCCGCCCATACCCGCCCTGATGTAAATAATAATGAAGTTTTCATTCGTTGGCAAGACCTAGGGGCGGTTCAGCCTAATTGCGAAATCCGTATTTTCTTACAAAAATTCACCGTTTTAAACGTGTTTTACGTTTCTAAGAGTAAAAAAATCATCACAATTGAGATGGGGTGGGTGGGCGGGGTTTGTATTTTCCCTATTTTTCTTAATATACTTAGTATTCTTTGAACAACACGATACTTAAAAACATGGTTTTAATTTCTTGTAAAGAAATAAGTATTTTACAGTTAAGCTCGGTTGACGGTGAATAAAAAAAAATCTGAGATAGGGCGGGTGGGCGGGCTTACGTTTTGCCTTTTTGTTTCAATATGTGTAGACTTATTTTCACAACATGAAACTTAAAACATGTTTAAAATGGACCATTTTAACTATATGATTTTCAATCATGCATTGAAATTTCGAATATTTCAAAATAGAGCCATTAGCACGGGTTAGCAACGCTGCGCGTTCGAAGACTTTTGATTTTTAAAAGTCACGGCACCACACCTATATTCCAAATTTACTGGCGGATTTTTGTCGATAAACACACAATCGGTTTTCTTCGTATTGTATAGTTGAAATCTCGAGTGGCAAGATTACTCAAATTTAGAAAAAACTCGAAACTGTGACAGAAATTTGGAACCGCGTGTTTGACATCGTTTTCTCATTTTGGCCCCAATTTTTTCAAAGAATAGACGCTGATTTACCGTTGGTTGTCATCACCATTCATTTTTACCCTCAGTGTCAAAATTTAAGTTTTTGAAAATCACCAAAATAATGCAAAAATTACTAGTTTTAAGAATTTTCAAACTTCCTATAATAAAATTAATATAAAAGCATGTATATAGGCTATTTGAAAAATTTGAAAAAAGAATTTTTCGAATTTTTAAGTTTTTGATTTTTTAATTTTTCGACTTTTTAAGTTTTAGATTTTTCCCTTTTTTCATGTTACGATTTCTCAATCTTCGTGTATTTCGTTCTTTCGATTCTCAACATCTCGATTTTTCAATTGATATTTCGATTTTTCTATTTTTTAAATTATATTAAAAAGTAACACAGTGGTTTATGGATCTGTGAAGAAATTTTATCCTAAACATCAAAATTTATAAAAACAAAGTCGAATAACAATTTTAGATTTTGCGGCTTTTCAGTTATTCGTTTTCGCGGTTTTCAACTTCTTTTAACTTCTCGATTTTTTTTATTTCTCAATTTTCTGAAACATTTTTCAATTTTTCAGTGGAATAATTTGGCAACATCGCATCAGAATTTTGAAAACAAACTAGGGTTATGAAGCCAAAAAAAGGTCAATCAGAATATATAAAAATATATAGGGTATTCTATTTGAAAAAACTATAATTTCTCGCTTTTTTGATGGCTTGATTTTTCGATTCTTCAATTTTTCGATTTTTTAAATTTTAGATTTTTCACTTTTTTTATGTTACGATTTGTCAATCTTTCGATTTTTTGACTTATCACTTTGGATCTTTTTGCTTTTTAATTTTTCAATTTCTCGCTTTATCCAGATTTCGATGTTTCAATTTCGAAATTTTCACATTTTCGATTTTTGATTTTTGGCAATTTCGGGTTCTTAATTTTTCGATTTTTCGACTTCACTTCCCAACTTCTCGATTTCCCATTGTTTCGCATTTTCAATTTCAATTTTTCGATTTTTCAATTTTTCCACATTTCAGTTTTGGAGATTTTTCAGTTTCTTGATTTTTTATTTTTTTGATTTGTCAATTCTTCTATTTCTTGATAGCTTGATTTTTCGATTTTTCAATTTTTTGATCTTTCAGTTTTTCGACTTTTTAAATTTTAGATTTTTCACTTTTTTGATGTTGCGATTTCTCAATCTGTTGATTTTTCGAATTATCGCTTCGGATTTTTCTGGTTTTCAATATCTCGATTTTTTGATTTATCATTTTTTTTTAATTTCAATTGTTCCAATTTCGAATTTTTGATTTTGGACAATTTCGGTTTCGCAATTTTTCGACTTTACTTCTTGATCTTTTAATGTCCCGAATTCTCCATATTTAATTTTTTTAATTTCGATTTTTCGATTTCCCGACATTTCAGTTTTCAGATTTTTCAGCTTCTCGATTTTTCAGTTTTTCCATTCTTCAATTTTTCTATTTTTTAATTTTACGATTTTTTGAGATTATTATTTATCGATTTAATTTTTTTAACATGTATTTCGGTCTTTCCGTATTTTAGATTTCCCGCTTTCTGTTTTTTAAATGTCATATTTTTCGATTTTTCAATTTTTTGAAATGTTTCAATTTCGAATTTTTCGATTTCGACTGATTTCGATTTCTCAATGTTTCTATTTTTTGACTTCATTTCTCTTTGCTTCACTTTTTCAATTTTGATTATTCGATTTGACGGTTTTTCGAGTTCTCAGCATTTCACTTGTGGGATTTTTCAACTTCGCGATTTTCCGAATTTTCGATATCCTGATTTCTAGTTTTCTATTGTTTTAGTTTATCGATTTTTTAAATTTCCCACTTTCGATGTCTCCATTTTTCAATTTTCGATTTTTTAATGGTTCGATTTATCGATTTTAATTTTTTTAACATGTATTTCGGTCTTTCGGTTCTTAACATCTCGATTTTTCGACATTCCGTATTTTAGTTTTTTTGAATTTTCAAGAGTTTAATTTCTCAATTTTTTTGGGAAATTTTCAATTTTTTGATATTTCGATTTTTTAGATTATGTTAAAAGTAATGCAGTCCTAAACTTGTGATTTATGAATCCGTGACGAAATTTTATCCTAAACATCGATATTTAAAAAAACTAAATTTCTCGATTTTCAATTTTTCGATTTCTCAGTTTTCCGATACATATTTCAATTTTTCGATTCTTCGATTTTTCTATTTTAATTTTCGGATTTTGGACAATTTCGGTTTCTCAATTTTTCGACTTTACTTCTCAATTTCTCGAGCTTTTAATGTTTTGAATTCTCCATGTTTCACTTTTTCAGTTTTGATTTTTCGATTTCCCGACATTTCAGTTTTCAGATTTTTCAGCTTTTCGAATTTTCAGTTTTTCACTTCTTCATTTGTTCTATTTCTCAATTTTACGATTTTTTTATGGTTCGTTTACCGATTTAACTGTTCTCGATTTTTCGACTTTTTATAATTTGTCGACTTTTCGTATTTTGGATTTCCCGATTTTTTAAGTTTTCAGTTTCTGGATTTTTCAATTTTTTTGATATTTCAATTTTTTCATTTTTTAAATTATGTTAAAAAGTAACACAGTGGTTCATGAATCCGTGATGAAATTTTATCCTAAATAGGATAAGAGTGATTTTGGCAAATACCTTCTAGGAAAAGAGACGGCGGGTGGGTGGGGCTAGTACCTGTTAAGAGCGAATTTGGCAAATGACATCCTCTAAGAAAAGAGAGGGTGGGTGGCTGGGGTTAGTAGCTGCTAAGGTAAAACTGACTTTAGCAGGTATTAGCCCCGCCCATCCGCCCTCTATTTTCTTAGAGAGATCTCATTTGCCAAAATCGGTCTTATCCTAGCAGGTACTAGCCCCGCCCACCCACCCTCTCTTTTCTTAGAAGGTATCTCATTTGCCAAAATCAGTCTTATCTTGGCAGCTCCTAATATACATAGTATTCTTTGAACAATACCATACTTAAAAATATGTTTTTAATTTCTTGTAAAGAAATAAGTATTTTACAGTTAAGCTCCGCCCCCTTGGTTCACGGCAAATAAAAAAAAACATCACAATTGAGATAGGGCGGGTGGGCATTCATAAATTTTGCTTTTTTATTTTCACATGTGGAGATTTCTTGTCACAACACGAAACTTAAAAATGTTTAAAATGGAAAATTTGTTCAAGGAAATATCGATTTTGCAATTAGGTTCTGCCCCATAATTGCAAAAAACATTTTAACCATGTTCTAAATTTTTTGTTATGAAAAAATATGAAAAGATGGATGTGTATATTAAAAAAAATATATAAGCCCCACCCACCCGCCCTATCTCAATTCTGATGATTTTTTTTTTCGTCGTGAGCCAAGGAGGCCGAGCTTAATTGCAAAATCCTTATTTCTCTACGAAAAATTTGAAACATGTTTTGGAGGATCGGGTAGTTCAAAAATACCATGTATACTAAGAAAAACAATAGGTATTTATTAAAAAAGAAAACCAAAAGAGAAGCCCCACCCATCCGTCTCGATCTCAATCGTGAAGAATTTTTCATTGGTTTTCAGAGCGACGGGCGGAGCGTAATTGCAAAATCGATATTTCCCTATACAAATTTATCATTTTAAACAGGTTTTAAGTGTCTTGTTGTGAAAAGATGACTACACATTTGCGAAAATTTGCTATTTCAGTAACTATTACAATTAAAATGCAACCAAAACATACTTATTTAATATATGATGACCTGAACATCCCGCCTTAAATTGACATGTGAAGAAAATTTGAAAGGCCCGCTAAAATTCAAAATTTGGCCTTGGCTGTGATCGTCTGACAAAATGGAACCCTACGTTGAGTTTTTGAAAAATGGCGGGATGCGTTCAAATGCAAATGGTGGACCCCAAGGATGGAAAAGTAGGGCAAAATAAAACACAAACTCGCAGTTGGGTCTTAACTATTGGGCCAGGTCGACAATGTTACGTCATCTCGACCGCCTCTGAATTCTATTCTAACCTTTATCTTTGTGCAGATGGCGTGATAAATCCCGCCAGCTCGACTAGGAACCGCGCACTCCGCTTCCACCACGTGTTTCTGTGTTATTTATCCTCGATTCCATTTATAGGTTCAATTCTTATAACTCTGATATTAAACTACAACTGAACAAGTGTCAAAGTTTCAAAAGGGCAAAAACAACATTTAAATCCGCCGTACAATCTTGTGAAATTTGAAACTCATTCATAATTTTGTTAAACAAAAGACTGACTCCTGACTAAGTGAATTTCATGAAATCTACTGATTGTTTATCTAAATAAATCTGTGTGTTAAATTGTGTTAACACCAGTTAATGATTAAAATCCTAACATGAACTGTGAATTTACAAACAATGAATTAAATTTACATTCACAACAAACACACCAAAAGTGACGCTTTCACGTCCCTCTACCAAGCAGCCATCTTTGTCCCTACAACCCTCTAACTAAAATCCCCAACAGGACTACCAACTACCCAAAGTGCTAACGTGCACATGGTTGCCTATGTTTAACGATTTTTTTGTTGAATTTTTTTTCAAATTCAAATTCGGTCACCACAAATAAAAATACAAATTTTTAAAAACGTTTTTAATAGAGTATCCATAGACAACAAATACGTAAAAGTAGCTTTAAAAAAGTCGAGTTGGCCCACCAATCCTACGCGTGGGGCACCAATGGCATCCTTTCCTCCCTCGTCACAACATGCTAAACATCTAGAAAAGTACAAAATTGCCCACCAGCTTAGACATACATACTTTCATCCATAAGTGATCTTAACGGCTTATGGACGTATATCCCCTATCGTACAAATTGACTGAGGTAAATGGTCTCAACGCTGGGTCCGCTTCAGGCAGCGAACCTCCACTGGTAGTTCGTATGTCTTGGTCTAGCAGAATCACATCTTGCGAAAAGGCACTATTTCTAAAAAATTTAAAAGTTGATAGTTTTCAAAAAAAGTACGCACTAACCTCATGACAGTATCGTATTCTTCCCCTATTATTGCTTCGTTTTCGGTAAATAGAACACATTGGTAACCACTCGCACCTTCAGAATACTTTTCCAAAGTCCCATTGTAGACCAACAGATCGTCGACCAAAATCTACATCGTACACAGTGTGTAAAAATTTAACATGAGATAATCTTACCCCAAACTCCTTAATCCCTCTATTTGGCGACTTCGAGTAGTTCCACAACTTAACCAAAGACACCACGATGGGTTGATCCATCACTATGTAAATCCTGTTCAAATGTTTCGGTATTATAGGTGCCAACCATGAATGGGACCCCGTATGGTCATCATTCACCCCATCGATTAGTTTATTGGGTGTCCGCACATCCCCGACGACGTTCGGCAAAGAATTAACACTCTCGGGGTAGGCACAGATATCTACAACACTGAAAGTAACACATCTTCGTTCCAAACCCAAAAACCCACTTTGCTCCTCCAAAATTATCTTCTTCCCGTATTGATTAAACAGTTCTATCCCGTTTAACCCACAGTAGTACTGGTCGTCCCAGCTCGAAAAAACTATAACCTGAAAAACAAAACCCTCCGGCATTGATGACGGCTCGTAAAATTCGTCTTGGTCCAAAAGCGACGGCATCTCGTCTTGATTGTCCTCCAGTTCTTTTAAGTCCTCGACGAACTTAATGTCTTGGACGAAGTCGTAGAACTTGTTACCTGGAGCTCGTCGGAGTATGAAAATTTCGTTCTTGGTTAGAGGATTCTTGACGGGTTTGCCATCAAGGAGGATCTTCATGGCACGCACGCCGGCGTAGGAGGTCTCTAGATTGCCGTTATAGTTCCAAATTCGTATCCCTGACGAAGACAAAATCTCTAATTGTGTAGACCAAAGGGTTTGATTTTTACCTGAAACGTATTTGGAATCCTCGAACTCTATTCTGATTGTCACCTCTTCGCCAAACTCGAACGGCATCCACCACATGTTGTTTTCGTTGTTGGTGATATTGTCTTCGTCGATCAGTTTCGACAATCCCGAGGTTTCAGTTTTGACACTACAGCTCAACTGGTTGGGTTTAACTAAAATAGCAGTCTCGTTTCCTTGGACCAGTTCGAATCCAGTCAGTCCGATCATGGTAGAGTGGCCCCAGTTCGACAACAAAACTAAATCTATTTGGGTTGCTCCTAGTAGGATTTGATCGGTGGGAGAACTTTTGGCTACCGGTCCTGTGATTGGACGGATCTAGAAATGACGATTCAGTTAAAGAGTTTTGATTGGTTGTGGAATTTACGTCAGAAGAGAGGGCGGAAGTTGGAGGACGGTCTGTGATGTTGGGGGTAGTCGGTCCTGACGTCAGAAAGGAGTACGACGGGTCGTTCTTGGCTATGTTTTCTAAGATTTGGTCCTCTGTGGTGAACAGGATGGTCTAAAACAACAGCTGCTACTATTAAATGGGGATTTAAGTGTACACTAACGTCTCCGAAGGCGTGGATTCCGCCCAAAATTCCACCACAGGCTTTGGCGATTTCGCCTTTGAAGATGGGAGTGTCGTCCAAGAACATGACGATATCTCGAACGCCTCGGTATGAATGGATTCTCGATTTGTTGTAATTCTGAAAAACCAGATATAGTAAAACATTGAGTAGAGAACGCTAACTGCATAAAATTCGTATAATTCACTAAGGTAATGCGTAGGTACACCGTAAATCAAGAGAAAGTAATTTTTTACGAAAAAAAAACTCAAAGCGGGTTCATAAACCACAAGTACAGGAGTATGTTATGTTATAAGTTTTAGATAGTATTTACTAAAAACATCGTGAAATGTCGTCATCAAATAGTTGGTGGGGATGATTAGAAAAATTTTTATTAGCTACGTAATAGTCCTAAAATACACATGAAATTTCACAACAGTCAGTGCACTAGTTTCGGAAATTATTTGTCTAATAAAAAATCAACACGGACAAGAGACAGAAGGAAACGGGAGACCTATTTTTCCTGCTTTCAGAGTCATCAAACGTCGAAAAAACACGAAAGTGGTCATTTGCGCCATGGACCCTATTAAAACACTTCCTTAGCTAACGAATTGATTATTTAGTGCGTTTCGAAATGCTGCGTGAATTATTTGTTTATTGCCGACAACCAATGGGAAAACATGTTTTCGAAAAACTGAAAAATCTAAATATGTATCGAGAAATTGAACAATCAAAAAAGTGACACATTGAAATATCAATAAATTAAGAAATTAAGAAATCGAAAATTATAAAAATCGAAAAACTGAAATATCAAAAATTTTTAAAATGGAAAAATTGAGACATGGAAACTTGAAAAACCGAGCTGTCAAGAAATCGAATAAAAAAATCGTAAAATTGCAGAATTGAATATTCGAAAAATTGGAAAATAGAAATATTGAAAAACGGAAAAATCCAGAAATCGAAAAATCCATAATTAAAAAATCGAAAAATCTAAAATTAAAATAATCGGAAAATTGAAGAAATGAAAAATTGAAAAATCGAGAAATTGAAAAATCCCAAAATTAAAATGACGAAAAATTGGGAAATCGAAAAATGGAAAAACTGAAACATCGAGAACCGAAATATAAAAAAATCGAGAAATCGAAAAGTTGAGAAGTCAAAAAAATTGAAAAAGTGGGAAATCGAAATATCCAAAAATTGAAAAGTTAAAAATTAAAAAATTTAAAATATAAAAAAAATCGAAAAATCGAGAAACTGAACAATCGAAAAATCGAACCATTGAAATCTCAGTAAATCGGGAAATCCAAGAATTTAAAAATCAAAATTGGAAAATTAAAATATCGAAAAATTGAATAAATCGAAATACTGAATTATCGAGAAATCAAGACCAAAAATTCGAAAAATTAAAAAGTCAAAAATTTAAAAATGGAAAACTAAAAATTGAAAAATAAAAAAATCGAGAAATCGAAAAATCGAAAAATTGAACAATCAAAATATTGAAAAATCCCAAAACTGAAGAATCGAAAAATTGAAAAATCCCAAAAGTGAAACCGAAAGTTAAAAATCAAAGCCGAAATATCGAAAAATCACGAAATCGAAAAGTCGAAAAACCAAAAAACTGAAAAATTGAGAATTCGAAACATTAAATAAGCGAAAAATTGAAAAATCTATAGTTTAAAAATCGAAAAAAGGGGAAATCGAATATTCCAAAATTAAAATAACCGCAAAATTGAAGAATCAAAAAATTGAAAAATCTGAACATCGAAAAATTGGAAAAGTCGAAAAATCAAGGAATTGAAAAATCGAAACATCGAAAAATTGAAAAACTGAAGCACCGAGAAACGAAATATCAAAAATAGATAAATCTAAAAGTTGAAAAATTTAAAAACCGAAAAATTGGGAAATCGAAATAGTCCAAAATCGAAAACTTGAAAAACTGGGCTGTGAAGAAATCGAATCAAAAAATCGTAAAATTGAAAAATTGAGTAATCGAATAATTGAAAAATAAGAAATTTAAAAATTCAAAAAATTGAAAAATAGAAATATCGAGAAATCGAAAAATTGAACAATCGAAATATTGAAAAATCCCAAAAGTGAAACATTAAAAAATGGAGAAATCCGAAAGTTAAAAAATCAAAGCCGAAATATCGAAAAATCACGAAATCGAAAAGTCAAAAAACCAAAAAATTGAAAAATTGAGAATTCGAAACATTAATAAGCGAAAAGTTGAAATATCTAAAATTTAAAAATCGAAAAAACGAGAAATCGAAAAATCCAAAATTAAAATAACCGCAAAATTCAAGAATCAAAAAAATGAAAAATCGGAACATCGGAAAAATTGGAAAAGTCAAAAAACATCGAGAAATTGAAAAATCGAAACATGGAAAAATTGAAAAACTGAACCACCGAGAAACGAAATATAAAAAAATAGAGAAATCGAAAAGTTGAGAAGTTAAAAAATGAAACATTGAGTAATCGAAAAATTGAAAAATAGAAATATCGAAGAAGTAAAAAATCCATAAATCGAGAAGTCGTAAAATCGAAAATTAAAAAATTGAAAAACTGAGAATTCAAAATATCAAATAATCGAAAGGTTGAAAAAAAAAATCGGAAAAGTGAAGAATTGAAAATCTGAAAAATTGCGAAATTGAATAATTCCAAAACTATAAATCAGGAAAAATTGAGAAATCTAAAAATTGAAAAATAAGAAAATCGAAAAATTGGAAAAATGAAAAACCGAAATTGCAAAATCGAGAAATCGAAAAATCAAAACACCGAAAAATTGAAAAACTGAATCATCGAGAAATGAAATATAAAAAAATCGAAAAGTTGAGAAGTTGATAAACCGAAAAATTGAGATATCGAAATAACCTAAAGTCAAAAATTCGAAAAGTTAAAAGTTGAATAATTTAAAGTATAACAAAAAGCTAAAAATTGAAAAATAAAAAAATTGAGAAATAACAGAACAATGGAACCGTCGAGAAATTAAACAATGGAAAAATCGAGAGATCGAAAAATAGAAAAACTAGGCTGTGAAGAAATCGAATAAAAAAATCGTAAAATGGAAAAATTGAGTAATCGAAAAATTGAAAATTCAGAAATTTAAAAATTCAAAAAATTGAAAAATATAAATATCGAAGAAGTAAAAAATCCAGAAATCGAGAAATCGTAAAATCGAAAATTAAAAAATTTAAAAACTGAGAATTCAAAACATCAAATAATCGAAAGGTTGAAAAATCTAAAAAAAAATTGAAAAATCGGAAAAGTGAAGAATCGAAAATCTGAAAAATTCCAAAACTATAAATGAAGAAAAATTGGGAAATCGAAAAACTGAAATATAAGAAAATCGAAAAATTGGAAAATTGAAAAACCGAAATTCGAAAAATCGAGAAATCGAAAAATCAAAACATCGAAAGATTGAAAAACTGAATCATCGACAAATGAAATATCAAAAAATCGAAAAGTTGAGAAGTCGATAAACCGAAAAATTGAGAAATTGAAATAGCCCAAAGTCAAAAATTCGAAAAGTTAAAAAAAGTTAAAAATTGAATAGTTTAAAATAAAAAAAATCTCAAAATTGAAAAATAATAGAACACTAGAACCATCGAGAAATTAAACAATGGAAAAAACGAGAAATCGAAAAATTTTAAACCAAATTCTCGAAAAATCGAAGCGTCAAAAAACTGAAATTCATAAAATTTAAAAATTCGAAAAAATGAAAAACAATCGGAAAATTGAAGAACTGAAAAACTGAAAAATCGAGAAATTAAAAAATCCCAAAATTAAAATGATGAAAAATTGGGAAATCGAAAAATTGAAAAAGTGAAAACCAAAAAGTCAAAAAATAGAAAAACCGAGAAATAGAAAATTCAAAACATCGAAAAATTGAAAAACTGAAACATCGAGAACTGAAATATGAAAAATCGAGAAATTGAAAAGTAAAAAAATTGAACAAAAAAATCTAAACATTGAAATTTCTGTAAATCGAGAAATCCAAGAAATTAAAAATCGAAAAATTTAAAAATCAAAAATTTTAAAAATTGGAAAATTAAAATACTGAAATATCGAAAAATCAAGACAAAAAAATAGAAAAATAAAAAAATCTAAAATTTAGAAATTGAAAAACTGAAAAATTGAAAAAGCAAAAAATCGAGAAATTGAAAAATTGAATAACCAAAATATTGAAGAATCGTATTACTGAAAAATCCCAAAACTGAAATATATTAAAAACTGAAGAATCGAAAAATTGAAAAATTCCAAAAATGAAACATCGAGATATCCAAAAGTTGAAAAATCGAAGCCGAAAAATGGAAAATTTACAAGATCGAAAAACTGAAAAATTAGAAACCTGAACAATTGAAAAATCAGGTAATCGAAAAGTCAAAAAACCAAAAAATCAATTAATCGAAAAAAATTGAGTATTCGAAATATTAAATAAACGAAAAATTGAAATATCTAAAATTTAAAAATCGTAAAACGAGAAATCGACAAATCCAAAATTAAAATAATTGGAAAACTGAAGAATTGAAAAATTGAAAAATCGAGAAATTGAAAAATGACGAAAAATTGGGAAATTGAAAAACCGAAAAGTCGACAAATTGAAAAACTGAAGCACCGAGAAACGAAATATCAAAAGATAGGGAAATCGAAAAGTTGAGAGGTTGAAAAACCAAAAAATTGAAAAATCAAAATGGCCCAAAATCGAAAAGTTAAAAATTGAAAAATTTAAAATAAAAAAAAAGAAAAAAGGAAAAATCGAGAAATCGAAACATCAAAAATATCGAAAAACAGAAAAACCTAAAATTTTAAAATCGAGAAATTGAAAAAACGAAAAAATAAAATCGAAGAATTAAAGAATCGAAACAGTGAAAAATCCCAAAACTGCAATATCTAAAAATTCAATAATTGACGAAAATTGAAGACACGTAAAACTGAAAAATTCCAAAAGTAAAAAATCGAAAGCAAAAATTCGAAAGTTTTAAAAATCGGAAACCTCAAAAATAAAATAATAAGGATATCCAAAAGTCGACAAACCAAAAAATCGATTACTCGAAATACTGAATTATCAAGAAATCAAGACATCAAAAATCGAAAAATTAAAAAACCCAAAATTTAAAAGTGGAAAAACGAAAAAATAGAAAAAGTAAAAAATAAAAAAAAACGAAAAATTCAAAAATGTAAAAATTGAAGAACCAAAATGTTGAAGAGTCGTAATATTGAAAAATCCCAAAACTGAAATATCAAAATACATATTGAAAAATCGAAGAAAAATTGAAGAATCGGGAAATTGAAAAGTCGAGAAATTGAAAAACCTAAAATTTGAAAATCGGAAAATTGAAAAAACGAAAAAATAAAAAATCGAAAAATTAAGGAATCGAAGAAAATTGAAGAAACGAAAAATCGAGAAATCGAAAGGTTGAAAAATCGAAGCCGTAAAATCGGAAAATCAGGAAATCGAAAAAGTCGAAAAACCAAAAAATCGAGTAATTGAGAAATCGGAAATGCTATTTTAATTTTTTTTTCCAATGCCTATAACGTAAAAACCAAGACGGATTCATAAACCACAAATGGAGAAGTACGTTATTATATAAGATTTAAATAATATTTACTATTGTAAAATTTGGAGATGACGTCATTCCATGTTGGTGGGGATGATTGACTGAATTTTGGTTAGCGTTTTACCATCTATATGATATTCCTAACATACGTACAAAATTTGACAACCATTGGTCCGGTAGTTTCGGAGATTGTCTATCCAATAAAAACCCGGACAGACGGCGCACAGACAAACAGACAAGCGGAAACGGGAGACATATCTTTTCTTACTCTAGGGGCCACGAAACGTCGAGAAAGTATCCAGTCGCCCGATCGACTTGGTTACAATACTTTAAACTTTAACATTGAAACTAATCTTAAACATTACCGCATTTGAGAGGAAAGACGTTGAAAATTATCATCAATTAAATTAATATAATCATGGACTCGATATGGAAGGTGTATTTTGTCTTTATTGTGTGTTATTTTCCTGCATCCGATTATTTTATCGCAGCTTGAATTTGAACATTTATTCTCAAACTATTATTTGTTTTTGACCGTATTCAGTATGTGCCTTATGTATTTATTGTTATGTGATATGGGAGAATCATTGAAATTCTTGATATAGTTTAGCGTAATTAAGTGTTACTTGTTTCATTTCTTATTTTTAATCAAAGACGAGGCGAAGACGGGGTATAGAGTATAATATGCGGCAGGTTTTTTGGACATCGTAATGTGGTGTGTGTAGAGTAAAATCATCGAGGAAAAGCAACGGACGACATAGGTAACACTCACCCAAATCCTAATCATAGACAGCGTAGAAATTTCCTCGAATTCGACCGTGATGATATGACTGCAGCCATTTTCGAACGGTGCCAACCAAATATGCATATCGTCTTGAGTACGATTCACACCATCTAACAAATTGGCCACAACTCTCGGGTCATTATTACACTCAGGTAGTTCATTCACATCTGGAGGCACTGCGGTTATCTGCAAACACCCCCTTAAACACAATCCAACTCCCCCTAACTCCTCTTACTCGCTTCACTTGAACAAGCTTTCCGTCAACTCCAAAAATCTCAATCCCGTTTAACCCCACGTAGTACTTGTCACCCCAAGTACTCAAAATATCAATAATCAAAGTATGTCCCGTCGGCAGCTCCGGAATGATAAAAACACTCTCCTTCTTGCTACTCTTCTTCGAACTTTTGCTCTTATACTTCGAGTTGCTGTTGTACTTCCGGTACGACGCCGCGATGGCGTCCGGCTCGCCCCTCTCCAAGCTGTACCGCTTCAGTCTTTCGGTGATTCTCTCGTTTTCGGCCAAAAGCTCGCAGATGATCTCCTCCCGCAGCTTGTTCTCCTTGTCCACCTTCAGCTGATACTCGCTAATCTTTCGCTCGAAGATCGGGTCGTACCTCTGCCTCGGGAACAGGTCGGTCTGGCTCTTCGAGGTTAGGGCAAACTTTGCTTCGTTAAACGGGTAATTGGACATCTCGCTTCTGCTCCTGTTTGGCACGGTGCTGTCCAAGAAAGACGGGCTGTAAACTGTACCGACCTCGCTTTCGAACTCGCTGGAGGAAATCGGTGACAGAACGCAATCGTAATCTAGAAATGAGTCGAGGCAACTCGCAGAAAAATACCAAAGTGCGTTGAATCGTTTATTTTTAATTACATTTTATTTTGTGAGGACAACACGCGGACATCACTTACCGATCTTTGGATCTAGGTTTAAGTTTTTGGCACTGTCTAGGCGTCCTTTGTGGGACTGTTTGAAGTTGTCTAGACTTTTCCATGATTTTTCTAAATCCGCTTGGCAGGGATCCGGCCGGAGGGATTTCATGTCGAATTTGTTGTCTAGTCGTGGGATGAGATACTCGGATCTAGCGTGGGATATGCTAGTTAAGTTTTCGTCCATTATTTGGGAAGTGAGGGACGATCTTCGGCCGTATTTTGCAGATTCGGCTTGGCGCCTAGAGAAAATATTGTTAAAAGATGATTATTATTTTAAATGTAAAAGCGTGCGTGTAACCCGGCACCTCCACCAGAAAACTGTAGAATGTCTGGTTTAGAATTAGTAATTCCAAAACCAGTTTCTTAAATACTTTTTACGAATTTTATTTTATTTTTATGACTACCCCTCCAAGTAACAATATACACTGACTAGCAAAAAAAAGCGGCCACCCTAACAAAAAATTCGCAAAACCACTTTAAAAATTATTATTAATTTAAGTCTAGTGATCGTTATTTTATTAAATAACCATTCACTATTGACACATGATCTACAAATTAGCAGAAAAAAGAAGACAAATAAACGCAGAATTAAATTTAATTTAACAAAATAACAGAAACAGACCAAGAACGATATTTAAAAAAAAAAAACAATAAAGGACAATATTAATGCAATAAGTATTGACTCATCATATTTTGCACATTTAAGATTTATTCAGCAATATTTTGAGATGACATCATCAGTTTTTTAGGGGGGATGAACAAATAGCAAAAACAAAAATTTACTATGCTTATGATAACTTTAAAACATCTGCAAAATTTCAAAGCAGTCGGTTTTGCAGTTCCTGATTAAATCAATAAAATAAATTAAAGCATTCATTATTTTTTTTGAGTCACCTTGTACAAGCGAATCCAAAAAATATGAATAGAATGATCAATCACAGGTACAAATTCATCATTTTTTGGACCTTTTAGATAGGATTTATTCGGCAAAATTTTGAGCTGACGTCATCAATTTTTTTGGAGAGGATAAGTAAATATATTTTGATTACAAATATATCATGCTTATCATAACTTTAAAACATCTGCAAGATTTCAAAGCGTTTGGTTTTGCAGATTCATAATTCAATTGCAAAATGTTGTTTCATAATTTTGATTTTTTTTATCCAAAAAATCTGGACGTTTCGGGTAAATACTCAATTCGGAGTCATAAACTAGCACCTGTGTAGGACTATGTTATTTTATACAATTTAAAACCCATTTACTATATACAATTTTGAAGTGATGTCATCACATTATTGGTGTGGATGATTAAACAAATTTTGGTTAGCAATTTGATGATATTCCTAATATAAATACAAAATTTGACAACAATTGGTCCAGTACTTTTGGAGACTATCTAAAAATCCTGGAACGACAGACAGACGGACAGAGGGACAGACGGGCCGACGGACAGATAGTCAGACAGACGGAAACAGGAGACCTATCTCTTGGTACTCTAGGGGTAATAAAAGGTCGAGAAAACGTAAAAGTAGAGAGTCGGCTAATGGACTCGATCACAATTTACTTTCCTTATGCTCGGTAAGTAAAACAGGGATAAAAAAACGGGTAAAAAAGACTTAAAAAAGCCCAAAAAGTTACAAAAACCAAGAAAAAATAAAACGTTAAAAAGTGATTAACAAAAATGGGATCAAAAAAACAAAAAATGCGATAAGAAAGGGACAAAAAGAGACCACAAAAAAAGTGGAGAACAAAAAAAGAAACCACAAAAAAGGCAACAAAAATAAGGCAAAGAGAAAGCGAATAGAGAACAAATTACTCTAAAAAAAAGAAGCAACAAAAAAATGGAAAAGCGACCAAAAAATCCACAAAAATTGCGACAAAAAGGGTATAAAAATCCACAAAAAAACGATTAAATTTTTAATTTTTTTCTATTTTAGATTTTTTGATTATGGGCCATTTCTGATTTTTGAATTTTTCAATTTTTTAAATCTTAGATTCTTCGATTTCTCGATTTCGCATTCTTTTATTTTTCAGGTTTTCTATTTCTCAATTTTTCGATTTTACGCTTTTGATGGTTTCGATTATTACATTTTTCGACTGCTTAGTTTTAGATTTTTTGCTTTTTTCGACTTCAGTCGAGGTTTCGATTTTTTGCTTGTTCAATTTCCCGATTTTTCAAATTTTCAGTTTTTCGGTTCAAAATTTTTCATTTTTTCTACGTTAGATTTTTTGATTTTGCGCCATTTCGATTTCTAAATATTTCAATGTTCAATTTTTCGATGTTTCGATTTTTGGGTTTCCCGAGTTTTCGATTCCTCAGTTTTTCGATTTTTCGGCTTCGCCTCGCGATGTTTTGTTTTTAGGATTTCCCGTTTTTTAGATTTATCAATTTTTCGATTATTTAAATTTTACGTTTTTCAATTTCCCGATCTTTTAAATTCACATTAAAATTTTTCGATTTTTGATTTCTCGGCATCTTGGTTTTTCAATATTTAAAATTTTTTCGCTGTTTCAAATTTCAATTTTTGTGATTTTTTCCACATTTTAGTGTTCGAGTTCTTGATGTTTCGATTGCTCGATGTTTCAATTTTTCGACTTCTTAAATTCTTCGATGTTTCGGCCAAGTATAGATATGAATTTACAGAACTGGAATCAAAAAATGGGCAAAATGGGGCCACAAAAAAAAACAAAAAAAGTAACAGAAAGAATATAAATAAGGGAGACACAAAATAGGTGACTAAAAAAAAACAAATCGCAATTAAAGAAGGCATCACAAAAAGCTTGTAAAGAAGCAGTGAAAAAGGAACAAAAAAATGAGACAAAAACAACAAAAAAATTAAAAAAACTAAAAAGGTAACTAAAAAGAGGAGTTTGTGAAGGGATTTTGGTTGTATCAGTGTGGGTTTCTTTAATTCGTGCTCATAGAAGTTATTACTCTCAAAGGTTTAATTTTTATTTTCTTTAGTTTGTATGATTCTTTTACCTTTTTTTTTATTTGGAATAGGCACAAATAATAAGTCAATTAACACGCAAAAATGGTAATAAAAAGGCAAAAAAAATGTCACAAAAAAAGTATAACGAACAAAAATATGTGATAAAAAAAGGAATGAAAGGCAGTGAGGAAAATACACAATAAAGACGACTAATAAAAAAGCAACATAATTGTGACAAAAAAACACAGCAGAAAAAAGCGACAAAAATAGGACAAAACCCCGTCAAAAGTGCTTCACGAAAAAAATGCAAAAAACGCAAAAAGTGGCAGAAAGTGGAGGAGGGGGGGAAATGCCACTAAAAAAAAATGCAAAACTGCCATTCAAAAAAGGACAAAAGAGACCACGAGGCGACAAAAATAAATAAATAAGACACAAAATAATGCGATAAAAAAACGTCAAAAACAAGACTACTAAAAAAAAATTACGGCAAAAATTACTACAAAAAACTCGTGAAAAAAAGGAGACAGAAAAAACCCAAAAAAAATAGGTCAAAAAAAGCAACAAAAAAGTGACATAAAGACGATAACGAGTAAAAAATGGTGTCAAAAAAAAATAGCGACAATACAGTCCCCAAAAAAATGCGAAAGCGCCAAAATGTCTGTGGTTTTCCCAGACATCTCGAAAATTGCTCATGTGGTGCCTATTTTTAAATCGTGTTCTAAGCATTTTGTTCATAATTATAGACCTGTAAGTATATTGTCGGTTCCTGCCAAATTATTTGAAACAATTTTTTCTCAACAATTACGTCATTCCTTTAAGAATATTATCATTGAGTCTCAACATGGCTTTTATGCTGGCAGATCTACGCAAACTTATCTTACTTTTAGTGATATAACTGACGCTTTTGAAGGTGGTTATGATGTACATTTACACAGTTACACAGACTTTCATAAAGCCTTTGACAAAGTTCACAATGAATTGCTTTTAGATAAATTGTATTTGTATGGCATTCGTGACCCTCTTTCTCTCATTTTGGTTAGCGTTTTACCATCTACATGATATACCTAGTATAAATATAAAATTTGACAACAATCGGCTTAGTACTTTCGGAAATCTCGGAAATAATCATCTGCCTAATAAAAATCCAGGACAGCAGACAGACGGACAGGCAGACGGAAACGGGAGACCTACTTCTTCGTCCTCTAGGGGTCATGATAGGTCGAGAAAATGCAAAAGTAGAGAGTCGGCCGACGGACTCGATTACAATACTTCCTTTGCTTACACTTGGGAAGTAAAACGAAGTAGGAAGCAACAAAAAAATGAAAAAGCGACCAAAAAGTTCACAGTGAATGCGAAAAAAAAAGACAAAAAACTATTCGCAAAGAAGGCGATTAAATTTTTCATTTTTTCTATTTTAGAATTGTTGATTTTGAGCGATTTCGATTTCTCGAGTTTCCGACTTGTCGACTTCTGGATTTCTGGATCTAATGATGTTTAAATTATTTCGATATTTCAGTGATCAATTATTCGGTTTCTCAATTTCTCGGCCTCGATTTTTAGAAATGTAGATTTTTCGATTTCCCGATTTCTCGTTGCTTAGGTTTATCAATTTTTCGATTATTTAAATTTTACGGTTTTCGAATTTACGATTTTTTGCTGTTTCAATTTCCCCATCTTTTAAATTCATATTTGAATTTTTCGATTTTTGAGTTCTCGGCATCTCGGTTTTTCGATATTTAAAATTTTTCGTTGTCTGGAATTTCAATTTTGTGAATTTTTCCATATTTTAATTTTACGATAATTCGATTTCTTGATGTTTCGATTGCTCGATCTTTCAATTTTTCGACTTCTTAAATTCTTCGATTTTTCGGCCAAGTATAGATATGTACGTATTTACAAAAAAAGTAACAGAAAAGGAATATAAATAAGGGAGACACAAAATAGGTGACTAAAAAAACCAAATCGCAATTAAGGAAGGCGTCAAAAAAACTCATAAAGAAACAGTAAAAAGGAAACAAAAAATAAGACAAAAACAACAACAAAAATTAAAAAAAAAATAAAAACGTAACTAAAAACAGGAGTTTGTGGGGGGATTTTGGGATTATCAGTGTATCAATTTTTATTTTATTTAGTTTTTTTTTTTTTTTATTTGAAAGTGGCACAAATAATAAGCCAATAAAACGCAAAAACAACAATAAAAAAGCGACAAAAAATGTCACAAAATACCCACAAAAATACGATAACGAACAAAAAAATGTGATAAAAAAGGAATAAAAGACAGTGAGGAAAAAACACGAAAAAGACGATTAAAAAAGCAACATAATTGTGACAATAAAGCACAACAAAAAAAAGGGCGACAAAAGTAGGACAGAAACGCGTCAAAAGTGCTTCACGAAAAAAATGCAAAAACGCAAAAGGTGGCAGAAAGTGGGGGTGGATGGGGGGAAAATGCCACTAAAAAAAATGCAAAACTGCCATTCAAAAAGGGACAAAAGAAACCACGAAGCGACAAAAAATAAATACAACACATAATGCTGTAAAAAATAGTCAAAAACAAGGCGACTAAAAAACAAATTGCGGCAAAAATTACTACAAAAAACTCGTGAAAAAAAAGGAGACAGAAAAAAATACGCAAAAAAATAAGTCGATAAAAATAGGTCAGAAAAGGCAACGAAAAAGTGCCAAAAAAACGATAATGAGTAAAAAGTGGTGACAAAAAAAATATAGCGACAATACAGTCTACAAAAAAATGCCAAAGCGCCAAAAACAATCCACGAAAAATGTTACAAAAAAGTAATAAGTAAATATAGTTTAAAAAACACGCTTTTGTGACAATATGGAGTCAAAAATAAAAATAAATGTTTTTTAAAAATTAACCTTAATGTAAAACAAGCAGTGTGGGGTGCTTGATATCAGTTGTCGAGAGCACTTTTAACATTAAAGTTAATTTTTAAAGATTATTTTTTATTTTGTAGTCCATATTGCTTCAAAAACGTGGTTTTAGTTTTCGAACATTTTAAGTGTATAATTGGTTGCATACTTTCAGTGATATCACAGTATGATATGTATTCCTAAAGTGCGATAAAATTCAGATTTCTCTCTCAAATGTAATGCTTTCCTAGATATTTTTGAACCCGTTTGGTGCCAAAAACGCTACAAACCACAGAAAAAACTTGAAAAATAACGTTTCCGAAGTTTTTTTAACAAATTTCTTGGATCTACAAACGCCAGAATGTGAAAAATTATTCCAATCGTCTCCTTTTTCGCAAAATAAGTCCAGACAGATGTGTCAAAACAAGTCGAACTATTCTTCAGCACTCATAAAATTAAAAGAAAGATTTCTAACTAAAATTTGAATTATAAAAAAACTACAAAAAAGATCATAAAAAAGCGATAAAAATGGGACAAAAAAGGATAAGAAAGTGACTTAAAAAAAAAGGCAAAAGATCGGAAAACGCCATTAAAGAATCTACGAAATTTCCATCAAAAAAATACAAAAAGAGATCACAAAAAGCCAAAAGAAAAGGTAGAGAAAGACAACTAAGAAGAAATAATAACAAGGATAAATAAAGGAGACACAAAATAATGAGATAAAAAGGCGACAAAGACAAATCGAGGTAAAGGCGACTAAAAAACAAAAAAAACGAAGGCAAGAGAAAAAAAATAGAGAAAACAAAAAAAGAAAGAGAAAAGGATCAACAAAAAACGGTAAAGAAGGAGTTAAAAAATCACACAAAGAAAAACAACAAAAAAAGGTACAGAAAAAGATAAAAAAAGGGAAGAGTAAAAAACTTAACAAAAAGAGCAACAAATAAGTGACAAAAAGAGGAAAGCGCGTCCAAAAAACCGGTTTTATGGTACAAAATATACATAAAATACACCTGCCACTAAAAAAATCACTTCAATAACGTAAGCAATCACCCCTGTTTTAGCGTTTAGAGAATTAGGGAAAGCCTCCCTGTTGTGATCTTCCAAAACTAATTTACTACGAAACGGCAATTGTTTAAACAAAAATGCATCGCATTCGACGCCACGATCCCCCTTTAATGAGTGTAATTAGTGTAAGCTCATTAATGAGCGATTTTCTAATATCAAATGTGTAAAAATTTGACTATTCCATCAACACATGTTATTTTTGTTTTAATGTTTGTCAATTCACAGTCCTTGTTAAAATTTTTAACGTTTCATGGTCCTCATACAATTAATAAAATAATAATAATAATAATAAAACACGTAGCAGAAAATTCACTTATTCAGACTCACCTTAAATAATTTTAATCACGGTATAGCTCAAAAGTTTTTACTTAAGTTATGTTGTCTACACTTCACAACTTCTTAGGTACTAACGATCTATTTATGTTGATCCATTTTGACAGAATTAGCATCAGTTAAATTAATTTTGCTTGCTTCCTTTCTTGTAATTTTGATACTCACTTTGGTATCGTCATAAACCCTTAAAATTTTAACTTTTCAAAATAAAATATCATCAAAACGTATTATTGAATCCTTAAAATTCTACTTTTCATTATAATTTAGTGATCATAAATTCTATAAATTTTACATCTAAAAATTATTTTGTTCTGTAAATTTTTATTATAATGGTTTTTTGTGGTAGAGAATTCTTTAATCAAATTCTCCTGAACAGGTACACTGTGAAATTGAGAAACGACTACCTACCTTCCAAGTGTACGATTTCGAGAATTATGCGATTTTTATCGAAAGCAAAATTCCAATAATTTTAACGCCACATAGAAAACCACTCACTTCTAATGAATAATACCTCAAAATTCGGACGTTCATGGTCTGCTTACCCTCGATTAACGTTTTAATCGCCAAGAAACTGAAAAGCTAACATTTGTTCAATACCGACGCTTTTCGGAAGTCAATTGGAGATAAATTATTCTGAGGGTAACCTTCTAAAATTAAACTACTACATATTCAATGAGCATTCCAGTCAACACATTTCTCCAGGAAAAATAATTGTTCCACACGTACTCAAAAACCAAAATTCTTACCGACTCGTTCGATCCAGCCCTTCGAAAAAGCTCTTCACATCAAGATTATAAGCCAAACTCTTATTCCTCTGCGAGCGAAGATTCTGACTCTGGACGATTTTGCTAAAACCGAAAACTCCCTCAAACCAAATTAGCACAAACCCAAAAACCCACTGTGAAATGTCCTCCAGCCACTTCGGCATGGTCCCATGGGACGGAATATCTGTTGATTTTCTGACACTGTCGTGTCCGTCATCCTTCATCGGGATGTTCGGATCCATGGTCCTCACCAGCACTTAAATTTCTCTCTACTAAACACACCGTGTCCACCGACCCTCCACCTCGTAAACCACCACTTACCCAATTTGCCAGCAAAATTCTTGAAGCACGACGACCGCTCACATTGCACTCTACTGCTCTAATCCTAATCTGACATTGCGGATTTCAAACGAAAACCTGCTGGGTTTGTTTTGATGGTGCGTCTCCATGGTAGCGGTCTAATTCACGCTTTGACGAAACAACAAGTGAATGGAGGCGGCGACGGCGGAATGAGGCGGTTTTGTGAAGGTATTTCGGTACAAAGAGGGACGAAACGGCGTTTAATTAAAAAAACATGCAAGTTTTGTCGATACGGTGATCGGCGATGGGTTATAAATCAGGGACTCGACACGTGAAGAAGACTATAGTGGAGGAAAATTGCGAAAAAGGGAACACAATACGAACAAAGTGGGTTCGTTTAGACAGGGGCTGGGGTGAATAAGCGACGCGTAAATACTTCTATTAGAGAAAGACAGGTATATATTAATGATGGAGAGAGGAAGGAAATAATGTACAGTATGAAATTGATTCAGGTCTATATAATATCCATTATGTTTCACATATTGAAAGTTTCCAAAGAATGGAATTCTTTAAAAAACGGCCACGAGAAAAAAAAATTTTTAAGTGACTTTATAAGGAGTTGAACAGGGACCATTTAGCTGCTTTTCACGCCCCAAATGTAAACTTTTCTGTTTATTTAATAATGACTAACAATATTCGTATCGTACCAAAATTAATATTTAAAAAATTACAAATGAGCAATAATTTTATATATACATAATTTTAAATTTTAAGTGTATTCATTATACAGAGTTATGATAAACTAGTGTACCTAAATAATATAATGATAAGAGTAGAGCAAACACTGACAAGTGACAGCAATTTTTGATCCAAAACTAATGCCGAAAGGTCAGTGGCGTTACTAGGAAAATTTTAAATAGGGGCTACTATTGAATTAGTGATATTAAGCTTAAATTTACATAATATAATGAACAAAATATCGAAGGAAATTATTTTTTAGCACTTGATAAGATAAAACTGATATTGGCACTTTTGACATTTTCGTCCATTTTTCAACTATTTTAGAAAATAATCCAGAGTCTGGTCAGGCCTTTTTTATTTTTTTCATATCCTAGATTCCCTTAGTTTCCATTTCCAATCGACAGAAGAACATAATTACCCCCGCCCACCCACCCTGTCTCCTTTTCAGTGACTGATTTTATGCAATCTGAATGAAATTAATGATCTTATACTAAACAGAAATAAAATTAGTCGTTAGAATGAGAAAAGGGTGGGTGGGCGGGGCTAATACTTTCTAAGACAAGACTGATTTTGGCAAATGACATACCTTCCAAGAAAATAGAGGGTGGGTGGGTGGGGCTAGTATTTGTTTAGATAAGACTGATTTTGGCACTTCTGACATTTTCGTCCATTTTTCAACTATTTTCGAAAATTATCCAGAATCTGGGTAGGTCTTTTTTATTTTTTTCACATCCTAGATTTTATTAGCTTTCACTCCCACTCGACAGAAATACATAATTAGCCCCGCCCACCCACCCTGTCTCCTTTTCAGTGATTAATTTTAAGCAATCTGAATGAAATTAATGATCTTATACTGAACAGAAATAAAATTAGTCGTTAGAATGAGAAAAGGGCGGGTGGGCGGGGCTAGTACTTGCTAAGACAAGACTGATTTTGGCAAGTGACATACCTTCCAAGAAAATAGAGGGTGGGTGGGTGGGGCTAGTACTTGTTTAGATAAGACTGATTTTGGCACTTCTGACATTTTCGCCCATTTTTCAACTATTTTTGAAAATTATCTGAAGTCTGGTCAGGTACATGATATAAGAAATAAATTTTATAGCAAATAGTATATAATAAAAAAAAAAATACGATCAGCGCTTGTTTTTATTTTTTTATTTTCCACTCCCACTCCACAGAAGGACATAATTAGCCCCACCCACCCACCCTGTCTCTTTTTCAGTGATTGATTTTATCCGATCTGAGTGAAATTAATGATCTTATACTGAACAGAAATAAAACTAGTCGTTAGAATGCGAAGAGGGTGGGTGAGCGGGGCTAGTTCTTCTCCATACTTCCACACTCTAAATTGAATTGTCCAGGCTGAATTTTCTAAACTGTTTTAAGTCACTTTCAGATTTGATCCATGTCTGAAAACAACAAAAAAATTAATACTCCATTTTTTGATAGAAAAAAATCTAAAGTTAAAGAATAAAATTGTACGGTTTTTTGACGTGGTGCATCCTGACTCCATTAAAAACAAGGAATAATTAGGCACCACATCATAAATAATTATCGTATCAAGGGCAGCTTTGAAAAGTAAAAAATGGGCCTCACTGTGGTAACAAGCTCTCAAATTAATTAACAAAAAAAATTCTATAGGATAGAAGTGCATTAGTCAAAATTAAAAGCCCTTCAAAATCGCAAGATTTGTCTCCCGAAAAAGCGGTTAGAAAAAAATAAACTAATGCCAAAAGGTCAGTGGCGCTACTAGGAAAATTTTAGATAAGGGCTACTATTGAATTAGTGATATTAAGCTTAAATTTACATAATATAATGATCAAAATATCGAAGATAATTATTTTTTAGCATTTGATAAGATAAGACTGATTTTGGCACTTTTGACATTTTCATCCATTTTTCAACTATTTTCGAAAATTATCCAGAATCTGGGTAGGTCTTTTTTTATTTTTTTCGCATCCTAGATTCTATTAGCTTTCACTCCCACTCGACAGAAAAACATAATTAGCCCCGCCCACCCACCCTGTCTCTTTTTCAGTGATTGATTTTATGCAATCTGAATGAAATTAATGATCTTATACTGAATAGAAATAAAATTAGTCGTTAGAATGAGAAAAGGGCGGGTGGGCGGGGCTAGTACTTGCTAAGACAAGACTGATTTTGGCACTTCTGACATTTTCGCCCATTTTTCAACTATTTTTGAAAATTATCTGGAGTCTGGTCAGGTACATGAAATAAGAAATAGATTTTATAGCAAATAGTATACATAAAAAAAATGCGTTCAGCGCTTGTTTTTATTTTTTTATTTTCCACTCCTACTTGACAGAAGGACATAATTAACGCCGCCCACCCACCCTGTCTCTTTTTCAGTGATTGATTTTATCTAATCTGAGTGAAATTAATGATTTTATACTGAACAGAAATAAAACTAGTCGTTAGAATGCGAAGAGGGTGGGTGGGCGGGGCTAGTTCTTCTCCATACTTCCACACTCTAAATTGAATTGTTCAGGCTGAATTTTCTGAACTGTTTTAAGTCACTTTCAGATTTGCTCCATGTCTGAAAACAACAAAAAAATTAATACTCAATTTTTTGATAGACAAAAAATCTAAAGTTAAAGAATAAAATTGTACGGTTTTTTGACGTGGTGCATCCTGACTCTATTAAAAACAAGAAATATTTAAACAGCACATCATAAATAATTATCGTATCAAGGGCAGCTTTGAAAGGTAAAAAATGGGCCTCACTGTGGTAACAAAATCTCAAATTAATTAACAAAAGAAATTCTATAGGATAGGAGTGCATTAGTCGAAATTAAAAGCCCTTCAAAATCGCAAGATTTGTCTCCCGAAGAAGCGGTTAGAAAAAAAATAAACTAATGCCAAAAGGTCAGTGGCGGTACTAAGAAAATTTTAAATAGGGGCTATTATTGAATTCGTGGTTAAGCTTATTTACATAATACATATAATGAACAACATAAACTCAAGAAATTTTGGACAACGAAACTGTTACTCTTTTTTTTTTCAAATTTTTGATTTGCTTTTTCAACCAAAACCCTCATTACATGGCTTTTGCTGGACCATTTTATTCTTTGTTTTTTTCTTATTTCATCTTCAGCTTTTCTGGTATGGATTTTCAGACGGTAAACTATCATTCTTGCAGTAAATTTTGTTTTGTGTTGCAGTATGTTGGAAATTGTATCGAGGGATAAGTCGAATGTTTCCTAATTTCTTTCTTCATGACTTCCAAAACATTACCAGTGCAAAAATTATTATTCTTTAAATAATCTCTCAAATTGCAAAATATTTGCTTTACTAAAATTGCTATTTGCAACGCGTTCTCTGAAGCGTAATGTAAAGCACCAGTTTTATATTCTTTTAATGCCACAAATTTTGCATAATTTTCATTACAATTCTTCTTAGAGACCAAAGCAACAATACATTTTTTGCACAAATTTTGATTTTTTATCAAGCTTGTAACAACGTAACCTGTGCAACTGTACAAAGCATTTTTTCTCTCAAAGAAAGTTCTTTTTTCTTCAAATTCCAATTTCTAGGTAAAGCTTAAGTTTCTTTTCCTTTAGGAACATCGCTTTCCTTCTGTTATTATTTTTAATATAACTCAAAAAAACAACTAAAGGTGTTGTTTTGTCGGTTTTGTAACTTGAGTTATTTGAAACGTCCAAATATTGAGAAACTGATAAAATGTTTTAAGTCATATTTAAATTGAATAACCGGACCTTTTGACCAACTTTGGGAAAATACATTTTCTAAACAATCTTGAGAAAATCTCGATGTTAATAAATGAGGTTTTTTTTTACGTTCAAAAACAAGTTTTGTAAGTCTAAAATTGATGTTGTAGTCAGTATGACACCTGTTTGAATAGGCTTCCAAACTGCTTTTCCAAATTTGTCAGGAGCGACTTTTAAGTTTACAAATAACTTAATGAACTCTTGAAGGAATTCTATAGTTTCCCTGTAGACAGCCATATTAAACTTGCTCAAGGCCAAAATAGTTGATCTAGAACTAATCAACTGGAACCACCTATGTACAACATCAATAAAAACAGTTGTCGTTAGAGAGGATTCGTCTTCTCTCTCCTCTTCCACATCAAATTTTATTCCACTACTAATATTTCGATTCAAAACGTTTAGAGAATTTGACACCTTCATTTTGTTAAAATGGTTACATTGTAAAACATCCACATTTAATTTAGATGCAAATTACAGCTCAAATTTGCCTTCTTCTTCACAAAAATCTTTAATGTGTTGCACGTCAACCAAATCAGAAGTTAGTTTATATTTTTCAACAAAATCATTTGATAATTCAATGATTTTGTTTTGTACCAAATATTGCTGACAGGTTTCCCCTCTTTTTGCAGTAACTATCTGTGTTGCTCACCTACCCGTTCAAACCCTAAGTTTTACTGCAGTATCGAAAATGTCATTCATAAGAGCGAGTGTTGAAGGTGACGAATTTCACCGTGTGCAAAGTTTCCAGAGGCAAACATTCAGCCTGATGACTCTATTAAGCTCCCTTCTTCCATGTTCATAAACTATGATAACACGAATTACAGGATCTTTCTTAGCTATGATGATGTGTGTTTCAAATGTAAAGTCGCGGGCCATTTCCTCAGTGACCGTCCAAACCAAGTGAACCCAATGACCAAATGGATACTTCCAACTCGTATACTGTTCTGGATTTGTCTATTGGTAAATCTCATGCCTTGAACGACCAATTGGACACTTCTAATCTGGTTACCACCTCATCTTCTACTACCGCTAGGCGCCCTGCCCCTGACCAACCTTCGATTGAATTCATCCCCCCCAAATTAACCACAGCTGAACCTTGATGACACAGACCAAAGTGTACGTGTACGGGGGAAAAAAATTAAACCTTCCAATTCAAACGAAAGCCTCACTCCAATATTTGAGATAGAGCAACAAATATCAGCGTGCACATGACGCTCCCAAGGTTAAAGAAACTCTTCTCGGCGAGTATAGGAACCTGCTTCGGAACATTTGGTCTTCCGAACTCACGGGACAAAACAAAGTGTCAGCCCCAATATGCTTGCCGTTCCAGTCCTGCTCTACTCCTTTGGAATAGTGAAGTGGTAAGTTGATAAGTTGCGCAAGGTCGACAGGGATACCCGGAAGATGATGCACATGCAACGAAGTTTGGATCCTAGGTCGTCCGTTCCCCGTTTGTATTTCTCACGACATCGAGGAGGCAGGGGACGCCTTAGTTTGGAGTGCATGCATTGCAGAGTGGTCTTGGGATTAGCACTGAAGATCCTTAAGAGCTCAGAACGAAGAGCGAAAGTGACTCAGCATGCCCTTCTGGTGGTTCCGCAGGGCCAAGGCGTCATCAGTCTTCATTCCCAAAAATCCCCTAGGGCTTTATTCACCGAAATATTACATTTCAAACACCTTAAGATATATGAAAGAAAAACATTCGCAAATTGACAGCCATACACATATGAAAAACGAACAAACGCAAAATCCTATATATCTGTTTGGAATCAATGTAAATATTTGAATATCACAAATTTAATAAAACAACAAAGCAAAAACTGAATTAAGTAACTGGATGCAAATACACAAGTTATTACGGGCGTGTGGCGGCAGATTTTTAAAGTTACGGCAGTTAACAGGAGCACAACAAAAGTACCCCTGGGGCGTTGTAGCATAAGCGGAGTTTGGGGCTACCGGTCTGGAGCTGTTCTCCCCCCACGACGGTGATTCTATCTATCGCAAAGCCTACCCGCACACATATCTCCATTACAAACCTGTGGACTTGTACAGGTGACACGATCAATCTCGCCAACTCGACTAGGAACCGAACTTCGCTTCTGCCACATTTTCTGTGTTATTTAATCTCAATTCCATTTTTAAATATTCAATCTCTTACAACTCTAATATTAACAACAACTGAACAAGTGTTAAAGTTTCAACGAGCAATAAACAAGATTTAAATTCGCCATACAATCTTATGAAAATTTAAACTACAAATAATTCTTATGTGAGATTAAAAATGGGACATCAAATAATTTATATGATCGAAACATTCATCAACAAAATATTTACAAAACAAAACTTAGCAAGGATTTATGAAACAAAAGATCTGGTGTGAAATGAACTTGCACAGATGGAAATATTTGTGAGGTTAAAACTATGGGATTGACAAATATTGTATGAGGTGAGAATTTGCAAAGTTAACAAAATTTACATGAGATTAATATTTGGCACACGTTTTCAATGATTCAAACAAAGAGTTTACATTATGTCAAACTATATCATGATCTAAGTGATTGGTTACTTCAAAAAACAATTTACTTTGAGAGTTTAAAATACCGCGAACTGGTTACCCGAACAAAACACATAATAAACAAACACAAAAATATCCAATCATCGCTCCGAGGGAAAAAGCGTCTCGGTGATGTAATCAATCTGTAGCGTTGGGAGGGTATGCCTTGATAAATTAATCAATCTGTAGCGTTGTGAGGGCATGCCTTGATAAATTTATGAATCTATAGCGTTGTGAGGGCATGCCTTGATAAATTAATCATGATAACGATGATAACCGCCTAAGGGAAGAAAACATTTTAAACCCCTCCCGCCAGTTCGCAGTATAATGAACTTGTTTAACTGCCGTAAATGAACTATTAGCAATCTTGTGTGAAGAATTTAGAAGTGTTATAATGTAACACTTACGTATATGCATCCAGAAACTTATTCGTAATTAACAATAAGGTGTTTCCTGACTAAGTGAATTTCATGAAATCTCCTAGCACTTGAGTATTAATAGGATACTAATAATAATATTATTTTGTATGTAGCATATTGTACCTAGTTATCGTTATTTATCCCCTGATCTAGCTGAAATAACTTGAACGGAAGATAAACCATCACAAATAATTTTATCTTTATCGCTAGCTGCTATCATACAATTACGTGGTGCACTAGAAAAAGATAAATTTGGCAAATTGTAGTCTCCTATGAGCGCCGGGAAAAATTGTACAGATGTAGTTTATCCAATGAAATATTATGTAAGTACCTACCTTAGTGTCCAAATCTACGTTAGTTGTTGAAATTTATAATTTCTGAGCTATCTTTTGAATGTTTAGGCATTCGAAACCCCTTGATGCAGTTACCATATGCAAAATAGACCTTTTTCGAGAAAAGGTGACGTTCTGGCTTTTGTAGCTTTATTTATTTTTTCTCCTCCCTTAATTACAAGTTTTTTTTTGATAACGTGAATGTGTTAAAATTTAAAATAGTACTATGTTCCAGAATCATTCTTAATTATTATTCTTACGTTAAAGATACAATATTTTACCTTTTACCAAAACAGTAATTTTACTTTATGATGCTTAATAGTTCATGTTGAATATTTAATGCTAACCTTGTATATTTGTTACATTTGTAGGTAACAACTAAATTGCAACACTTTGAGCCTTCATGTAATTTATAAATGTGATGTGAGGTAATAGTAAAAACTTTATTTCACCAGAAATTTCTCAATAATAATAATGAGTCTACTAGTTTTCGAGATTATCTAATAAAACATCAATCAACAGAGGACAGACTTCCTGTTCTAAAAATCTTAAAAGGTCCTTTCTGCAAAAATGTTGTTTATCTTTAAGCGACTAAAAAAAGGGTGTTAAATAAAAACCAATATGTACACATATCCGTTTATTGTATTTACAATTTACAAATAAAATAGTGGAGCTTCTTTGGAAGATGAAAATCACTGGTAGTGAGATTTGCATCAGTCTGATACAAACAACAACAATAAAAGCTTGGAGAGTTTATCTATTAATACTGACTTCTATTTTTTTAGTCCGATTCTGGGTATAATTAACATCCCGTTGTGATCAGAATCGGACCAAACAGTGTCTAACACGTTAAAATTCATAGGTTTGAAAGTGAGTATTCTTTCACAGTACATTGATTGTTTGACAATTACATTTAAATTCCTTGATTTTAAAAATCGGTAGATTGAGCAGTACTTTTGGTGTAGGAGACATCTACTTTCTACTCAGTGGAAGAGTCGAAATACGAGCATACAGTTGCTCCCTTTCTTGGGTTTTGTGAAAACGTGTTCCCAAAAGCGACATTAGTACGTTAATCAAAGAAAATACTTGTCACACTATGTACATACAACAATATAGGTACTAGTACTCAATACCTGTTTCTTCCTGTAACTCTGTCTTGCGAAAGTACCTTTAATATTTACATCGGCAGTTTCACAAACATGTAAAACATGTCAAAGAAATGTGTACAACCAAAATATTTTGTAATCAAGTTAGAATTCAGCTACTTATACTTGGCAACAGACCAATAGGGATGACTCGATTACAAATTATTCAGATCAAGTTTATTATTGTTAACTTTCGCACCATATAATAAAAATTTGGCACATTTCTTTTTTGTGTATCACAACTATTATTCTAAATATTTGTCGAGAAACTACTATCAGGTGATCAAAATGTTTAAATTTGTGCATACAACGTCCCTTATAGACTTTTTACGAGTATTACCAACATTAAATTTTATAAAAGAAAATGTTTCAATTTAGTTTCTCTAGATTTTTTAGTTTAGACTTTATTTGAATAAAGTTTGAGTCAGTTCTTTATCACGTACTATAATTACCTACGTCTAATTGAACTCTGACGCAATACATTGCTAAAAATGAATATTAGAATGACACCAGTGAGTATTTTAAACTCATAATGGGTGGACACACGGCAAACAGAGCCGAACTTGCTTTATTTTATAACGAATTCAACTGAAGTGTTTTAAAGGTCACTTACAGTAATATGAATATTAACTTACTGTGTGTTTTTATGTTAGACCACCTATCTTCCTAAATACAATCCTGGAATTTTCGCAAGTTATCTGATTTCATCATACATAAATCATAAAATATACCAGACTTCTGGTAATCACGTCATAAACCTAGTTTCATCTCAATTGAATATTCAAGACTTGAGCAAATAATTTTACTATGCTTCCTTTTTTTATTCACATTCGTATCCCAGTATTTCTGTCTTTTTCTAAAAGACAACGAATATTTTTGGAAAGTCACAGTTGACTTGAGCACATTAATTTTAATTAATCTTTTGGAAATCCTATGCTCGAAGTAATTTCCCAAAAAGGTCAAAATTTTGAGGTGTTTAGAAACACAATTTGCTAATAATATTCGTTATTTAGCTGATTAAACCATACTATTTTTGCTCATGTTGTATTTTGTACTTATTTAGTATATTTATAGAGGAAGCTCTTTTTTTGTTAGATGTTTACAACATTTTTTGGGAACAATCATCGCATAAAAAGATATTTAAAACAATTAATTCTACTCTAACTAGGAAACAATCCCCAAAAGTTTTATTCTTGTAAAAAGAAAATATTTTTTCATTAGTGTACCACTAAAAAATAGGTGGGGTTTATGTTATCTTAATGTACACTCCGATTTAAAAATTGTTAATAAAACGGTAAATGGGAATATCAAATAATGCTGCTTTATCCATTACCCTGAAAGTTAATAAAACATCTTCATCTTAGGAAATGTATTTCCTGCTGTACTTTGTCTCTTCTGGGACATTTAATCATTCACATCAAATTCATCTACTTCCGTCAGGTCATAAAAGATTTAAAATCCTACACTGGGCATTGTTTAGGACGAACATCAGCCATTTTGTTTATCATAATGAATAACTAGCAAAACGATGACATAAGTAACAGCTACTATTTATGTCGCTATAACAACAATAAAAATATAGCAAGCTTCATAATCTTCAACAGTGTTTCTATTGAATACTTTAACGTCATAGTTAAAGTAGTAGGAGATAAAACTTTACTATTGTGCAACACATCGGCATTTATTTATCAGGAATTTCACGTAATAATGTCGCCTTTGAGTCACAACCCTCTAAATCACAATTTCTATTAATGAGACATTTGGTACTCTACTTTGGTACAAACAGATCGTCACATAAATATCAAAAAAATTACGAACATCCCTGTATCTGAGAATACACCTATAATCTCAAATCGCCCAGAAAACAGTGACTTAATTTCGCGCCATCACTGACTTTAAGGTCTACAACGTACTAATTACAACTAATAATAATCATTTGTTCCCAGAGTTATTTCCTACCCTATTAACTAAACTGAACAGAATTGGCATACGGAATCGCTGGATATAAGTGGTTCCTTATGGCAAAATAGTGCACGCCCGCTGCCATCGCGACAAACAAATGCCAGATGGCATGGGCACATGGTACAACCCCATCACTCTTAAAAAACATTACCCCTATAACATAGACGGCGCCGCCGATTTTCACCTCCGACAGCCCGGGAAACTCATGCTAGAAATTTAACAATTAAGTACTTGATATAAACCAAAATTTACAACCTCACCTCTGATATAATTAAAAGACCGGGACCTATTCCCATCACCAAGTAGAAGCACGTTTCTAAACTCTTGTACTTTTCATGGAAGGTTTGCTGGTAGATTATGCCCAGAATTGCCAAAAACCACACGAACCAATTCATGGAGGAAGCCCATCCCTCTTGGGGGAGTGGTTCGAGGGTTAACCATGGGAAATAAGATCCGGCTATGAAAACGTAAATCATAGCTCTATCACATCGATGGAGGACATCTTTGAGCTTTCTATAAACAAATTTACACTGTTACTAGTAGGCGCAACTTGATATTGATTATAAAATACGTATGAAAATATACATTTATTTTTTTGAATGCAAATGATACGCCACTGGTCAAAGTCTAGCTGACATTGTGATCTTAAGTGACATAATTCTGACCACTGTAATACTAGTTATTAATGTGACATCAAATCCTTCACAATCGAATAACCAAGGCCTACTAAGCATTTATGTCGAATTTCATTACTGAAATTGATTCTACTAACGTCAAAAGTTCGTTGGGGGGCTAACGTCATCTCTGCATAAAGTTTGGTTTTCAAACGTGTCAAAGTAGGCAAAATGTATCAATCCAAAGAGAAAATAATGAAATTTTATAAAATTAAAAAGAACATTACATATTTAACATAACTGAAATAACAAAGTGTAAAAATACGAACACACTACAAAGGAACAAAAGAAAAATAACAAATAAAGGAACATGGAACGACGAAGAATAAGCACGTTTTTATTATTTCAAAATCTTTCCACTAATGGGTTTATTCGTTCCTGTTTTTTAAACAAGATATGTTTTTTGTAGGAATTTGTTACTCAGAACTGGTTTCATTAAGTTTCAATAACACCTTCACAAACCTTGTGCTTGTGGGAACTATAGATAAAAATTGGATTTTGTATTAAGTGTGTATCTAAAATTGTTAACAATTTTTGGAAAAAGTTTTCTTCATTAGGTTAGGGAGATCGAGAACTTAGTTGATGACATGTAAAGAACTAATCGATTTGCTGTCTGAAAATAGTTCAATGAATGTCAAATTACATACTTTCTGAGAAAATAAAGGGCGGGTGGGCGGGGCTATTGTATTTGGACGAAGTTAGTTTAAAGAAGATTTTTGGATTGTAGGTATATCGCGAACATATTTCATGAAAAAAGTTTCTTTAATAATTTTAAAAAAGTGAACTGATTTTTTGTAATGACGAAAATTCGGTAATTTTTAAAAATTCTAAGCACGGATAATTCAGAGATGTGAAAAAACGAAGATCTTTTCACATACCTTTTAAAGACTTTTCCAAGATGTGGACTGATTCACTAACAATAAAAACTGAGTAAAATTAACAACTTAACTGAATCTATGAATTATTCCAGATTCGAATATTTCAATATTGTAAAATATTGATGCTGTGACGATTTTGAGTATTCTTAGTATAATATCAGGTTTATAAAATTTTGAGAATGAATTATTTATTTTTATCGAAGTTTCAGGTTTTCAATAATAACGATTTTGGCATATTTCAGAATTCATGAAATCGTTTTACCATTTTTAGTTTCTCAGATCTTTAGAAAAGACTGAAATATTTTTAATACCAAAATTAAACATTACTGTAGAATTTTCTATTTCTATGCAATGTTATTCTCTTTATGACTTGTAGTAAATTTTCAGATTATGACGTTTTGTGGAAATATCTGTATTTTTGGATATGCTTGAAGTACTGGATATTTTAGAACGTCCAAATAATGTTCTTCTTTTTATACCTTATTTAAATCAAAATGTATTCTTAAACTTGTAGAAATATACATTTTTGAGAGAAGTAAATAAGGGGAAGACAAAACTGATTTTGGCATATGGCCTATTCTCTAAGAAAATAAAGGGGTGGGTGGGCGGGGTTAGTATTTCCTTAGATAAGACTGATGTTGTCAAATGACATACTTTCTGAGAAAATAAAGGGCGGGTGGGCGGGGCTAGAGCAAAACCCCCTAACTTTCTGATAGTAAATAATTAAATTGCATTTATTGTATTTGGACGAAGTTAGTTTAAAGAAGATTTTTGAATTGTAGGAATACCGCGAACATATTTCATGGAAAAAGTTTCTTTAATAATCACAGGTCTACAAAAAAAAATCGCAGTCATACGCCTTTTGTTTTTTGAGCATAAATGACTTCCTTGTATCCTAAAACTTCCATAAAAATGATTTTTGCCATTTGTGCACGTCTAGTTTAATTTTTATTTGAGTCCGAAATACGAAAAAACACGATTTTAACACTTATCAAAAAAATAATACCTTGCCCAATAATAATAATTTTTATGAAATAATTAGCAAATTTTATTTATAAGGATTTGAATAAATAGTTTTAATTAATTTTAGATGCTTAAAATCGTTTTCTTTTTGCTTGACGACTGTAACAATTCGATGAACACTCCCTTTGCAGGAACCAACAATAATCTCCCATTGTTTATCCTGATCCCTTACTTCGAAACCGAGATATTGGTGATATATCAATTTAATAATATGCGATATATGCAGACGTTGACATTTTATAGCATATTGATTGCAGATGTAACAAAATACATTAGGGTTGTTCTTACACATGTACAATTGGTTTCAAAAAAAAAAACGGGACAAATGAAAGTGACATATAGACGTCATATTCCCATTGCTTTACGATCTATGAGCACCTGATTTACTCATCTTGTCCCGTTTTTTGTGAAACCAATTGTAAGTGCGATCTTTTTTTAGTATTACACTCATTTTGCAAAATTACACACAACGAGAATTTTGACGTAACTTCTAAATGTCGTTTAAATTGTGACACATGCCTACTTGACTAAATCATCGAATCTGATTTTTTCAACTCGTGTAATAAGGGCAGTACAGATGCACGTTTTATGTGAAAAATGGCAATTTTACGATATAAAATTACGTGTAGCACAAAAATGTGACGTGATGGGAAAATTTGGAGAGCAGATTTGAAATCTACATAAAAAACTGCATTAAGTGCACACATTTTTATTGAAGGAGTATTTTGGTTGTTGACCAATGTAATTTTACAAAAGTGTAATGATTTTTTGTAACGAAAATTCGGTAATTTTCAAAAATTCAAAGTACGGATAATTTAGAGATGCGAAAAAACGAAATCTGTTAACATACCTTTTAGACTTTTCTAAGATGTGGACTGATTCACTAACAATAAAAACTGAGTAAAATTAACAACTTAACTGAATTTCTTAATTATTCCAAACAATTTCCAATATTTCAATATTGTAAGCTCTTGATGCTGCCAGGATTTTGATTATTCTTAGTTTAATATCAAGTTTATAAAATTTTGAGAATGAATTATTTATTTTTATCGAAGTTTCAGGTTTTCAAAAATAACGATTTCAGCATATTTCAGAATTCACGAAATCGTTTTACCATTTTTAGTTTCTCAAATCTTTAGAAAAGACTGAAATATTTTTTTTAGTAAAATTAAACATTATTGTAGAAAAAATTCGGTAATTTTCAAAAATTCTAAGCACGGATAATTCAGAGATGTCAAAAACGAAGATCTTTTAACATACCTTTTAAAGACTTTTCTAAGATGTGGATTGATTCACTAACAATAAAAACTGAGTAAAATTATCACCTTAACTGAATGTATTAATTATTACAAACAAACAGTTTCGAATATTTCAAAATTGTAAGTTCTCGATTCTGTCAGAATTTTGAGTATTCTTCGTATAATATCAAGTTTATAAAATTTTGAGAATGAATTATTTATTTTTACCGAAGTTTCAGGTTTTCAAGAATAACGATTTCAGCATATTTCAGAATTCACAAAATCATTTTACCATTTTTAGTTTCTCACATCTTTAGAAAAGACCGAAATATTTTTAATAGCAAAATTAAACATTATTGTAGAATTTTCTTTCAAATAATGTTCTCCTTTTTATACCTCATTTAAATAAATATGTATTTTTAAACTTTTAGAAATATAAATTTTTGAAAGCAGAAAATAAAGGGAGGGTGGGCGGGGCTAGACTTGTCTTCACGATAAAACTGATTTTGGCAATAGAAAAAAAAAAAAGTTAAAACTAATCCCACCCACCTCCGCTTTTGAAATTCCTTGCTTTATTGCATTAGATTAAGACTATTTTTTCTTATCAAGTGGTAGAATCTACGCTCACAAAAATTTTAAATCAGCCCGCCCACCCATCCGGTTTTCTTTCTGATGGCTCATTTTATTGGACAAAAAGTGGATTCTTTATCGATAAACAGTGGAATCTATAGACGAAAAGGTAAAACTAGCCCCACCCACCTCCGTTTCTGAATTTAATTGGCTTATTTGATTAGATGAAGACTGATTTTTTTATCAAGTGGTCGAATCTACGTTTACAAAAATCAACTTAGCAAGATAAAACTGATTTTGGCAGATGACAAATCCTCTAAGAAATTAAAGGGCGGGTGGGCGGGGCTAGCACTTCCCAAGATAAGACTGACTTTGGCAAATGACATACCCTCTAAGACAACAAAGGGCGGGTTTTATTATTTTAAGAAAACGCAAGACATCTCGGGCGCCTTTGGTGTTTTATTTTTGGAAAAATTTGAAAAAATCTCTAGGGTCCCTAGTATTTTATATTACGGATTTTGAAAGAATCTCGAGTACTCATGCGGTGCGATTTTGCTTCTCGGTCGAAAAAAACTCGATAGCGATAAAATATCGTTTGCTGATTGGTTGAGATACTACATTTCTGTCACTTTTCTCGATTCTGTCACGAAATCAAGTCTTCATGGAGTGATATTTTCTCGATAGCTCTGAGTGAAGTGATGAATTTTGGAGACATAACCTCGAAATTTATGTCAAAATAGAAGTTCAAAATCGTAATTCTGAGTTCTTAAAATTAAGGTAATTGTAAACTTTTGAGCATTTAATAAGCTTATATGCAAACTTTTGCATTTAAAAGCTACGCAATGACATTTGTCGCAAGTGATAATTTATCACTTCTATCGAGAAACAAAATCGCACCCCTGGTATTTTAAATACTCAAGAATCTCCGACGCCTTTGGGGTTTTATTTTTGGAAACATTGGAAAGAGTCTCGAAGGTTCCTGGTGTTTTGACTTTTGGGGAATATGAAAAAATCTCTAGAGTCCCTAGTGCTTTAATTTGTTTTTAGTGAAGTTTGAAAGAATCTCGGGGATCTCTAGTGTATTGTATTTTCAAGAATACTAACAAATTTTAGGCACCTACTCTCTAAGAAAATAAAGGGTGGGAGGGCGGGGCTAGTACTTCCGAAGACAAAATTGATTCTGGCATATGACCTATCCTCTAAGAAAATAATGTCAAAATCAGTTTTGTCTTAGCAAGTACTAGCCCCGCCCACCCGCCCTCATTTCTTAGAGGGTATGGCATTTGCCAAAATCAGTTTTATCTTAGAAAGAACTAGCCCCGCCCACCCACCCCCTATTTTCTCACAGGTAAGTCATTTGCCAAAATCAGTCTTACCTTAGCAAATACTAGTATTTTGGCTAATGACGTACCCCCTAAGAAAATAAAAGGCGGGTGAGCGTGGCTAGTACTTGCTAAGATAAGATTTATTTTGGCAAATGACATATCTTCTCAGAAAATAGAGGGTGGGGCTACTTCTTGCTCAGATAAGACTTATTTTGGCAAATGACATCCTCTGAGAAAATAGGGGGCGGGTGGGCGGGGCTAGTACCCGCTAAGATAAGATTGATTTTGGCAAATCATAGACCCTCTAAGAAAATGAAGGATAGGTGGATGGAGCTAGTACTTGTAAAGATAACAACAATTATGTATACAGGGTGATTAAATTTGCAAATTGTCAGATTTTTCACATTTTTCGCATGAAATACCTCTATTTTCTTAGAGAGTACACACAAAGCGAAGCGACGTGTCAATAGAGTTGGCTATGAAAATTCTTAACTGTGGGGCCACCTATTGAGCTTCCACGTAACGACGAATAACATTGTGGCTATACATAGAAAAAGAAAAAACACGACTTGTATTAATTTCATGGTTTAAAAAAATTAAATTTAATCTTGAGTAAGCGGATTGCTGTTGTTCATACACTTATATGGCATGTTAATATCTTTATTAATATTATTACTATATTATTAAATAAAGATTATTATTTTTTGAGTATTTGTAAGTGTTTATTCTTTCATAAAGTGACTTTTCTGTTTGTTAAATTTATGATATAAAAATATTCTGACTTGTGATTTCAAAAATAGTATTTGTTAGAGTCCCTAGATATACTGTAGAACTCTAATATTTGTCAAAATATCATGGATCTCTGTTCTCTGCGTTGTTTTATAAAAAAAAAAATTATTTCATGACCCCTTGAGAAAAAAATACGCTCTACACCACTGCTTCATATTATTCAATACAGTCATGTGTCTAACCCAACTCTATTCTTTCACCCTACTTACCCACGTTGATTACAGAAAAAACTACAATGAAAGGAAGTCGAGATGCTAAACAGAAACACAAGTGTGGCCCCATAGACCAGCGCCGACAACGTTTGAGCACCATTATGAGATCTTTCTAGCAATTCGAGTGTGGCCAGGACGCTCGGAACGACCCACACACCATGGGTGAGCACATTGGCTACGTGCTCGATGGGTGCTGGGTTGTAAGCTTGGTGCGGCGGGGCTTTTTTGTTCATCCATTGTATCCTTCAAACACACACTTTATTATTCACCACTCGATATTGATTGTTTCGTTACCTTTTCCAGGTGTCCAGAGAGATGACTTTGTTGAAATAGAAGCAACACTGTTGGATGACAGTGTTACTTATCATTCCTGAAAGAAAAGACGCATTTTAGTGGATTTAGGGCAAACTTCGGACCGCCAATGTGTTTCTTACCAACTAATGGATAAACAAAAATCAAGCCGCCGCTCGGCTGCCCTTAGCCTTGCCCCTGGCTCGTTTTTTATTTATTTCTTTGACAGCCGTGACATTTAGGTCGTGTGCGTGTGGCGCTGCAAGGGCAACCAATGGGACGGCAGGGAGTTTGGCACGTGTTTGAAATGGGGGCTGGCGGTTGGTTGGAATTTGTAACGTTTGTTTTTTGGCGGCGATCCACAGAGGTGCTATTGACATGAAGGGGTCAGGGGAGTATCGGGGAGATTGCGGGCCGCATATTTCGTAAACAAACATTTTATTTCATTAAAAAAAATAGCAAAAACCTAAAATGAGTAAATTCTGTTCCAAATAAGTGTAAGACTGAGTCTATTGTAATTTCAAGGTTATGAGTTGTTTTAATAGCAACTTTTTTTCTGATAAATCTAAAAACAGACACAACCTGATTATGATGTAGCATCTTATGAATATGCAGTGGAAATTATAACAAAGGTAGGAGTTTAACAAACGTCAGCTTTTCAAAATAAATGAGATCTTGCATTCTTGTATAGATCAAATTTGCATTTTTTTAAATGAACCCCTATGTACAGTAGCGGTCATTTCTACGGAACCACTCGATAAAAAGTCAAGTTGGTAGCCTGTCATCTAGTACTTTACGCCGAACGCGGTTGGTAGCGGTAGTTGATATGGCAATCGAAACTAGCACAACACGAATGTTTCGGTTGCCCTCAGCTATGCCGCACTGTATCCCGTGCAGACTATGTTTTGTTCATTTTACAAATTTTTGACACATATGTTTTCCCCCAGAAACCCGTCAAGGTCACTTACACCAAACAAATTTTGAAAATTTACACTAGGGAGTGGTTCTATAGAAAAGATCGCGACTTTATATATTTTCATAGATTTCAATTTTTGCGAAAATAGCTGCATTTTGATGGAAAAATGATGACACCAAAATTCACATCTCAGGCATTTAGGATGGAGGTTCGAAATAAAGTTTTTAACCTATTTTATGTTGTAAATTTTCTACAAAGGTAATATTTTTACAAAAAAAAGGACGAATTTTGTGTAAAATTTTTAATATCATCGAGTCAGCATCTGGGTGCTGTATTTTTTTTGCCAAAAGCAGACGATAAGCTGCAGCTTACACGTAGGGATTAAAATGTGTCTTATTTATTTTAGTCTTACCTTTTGTAAATTGATTTTCCTGCCAAAATCAATAAATATTCTTATTATTATTATTATTATTATTGAAAGATTGTAATTTCTCACGACAACTAAAAAAAGATCACAATTGAGATAGGGCAGGTGGGTGGGGCTTATATTTTGCTTTTTTGTTTCTTAATATATGATTCTGGCAAATAACATATCCTCCAAGAAAATAGACGGCGGTGCTAGTACTTCCTAAGGTACGAATGATTTTGGCAAATGACGTATCCTCTAAGAAAATAAAGGGTGGATGGGTGGGGCTAGTACTTGTAAAGATGAGGCTGATTTTGGCAGATGATATACTCTTTCAAAAAAGAGAGGGCGGGTGGGCGGGGCGAGTATTTGCTAAGATTAGACTGATTTTGGCAGATGATATACTTTGCTAGGTTTATTTTTTTCTACACCCCTTCTTCATTCTAGTGACTACTCTTGATATTGTCCAAATATTATTTTAGTAAATACTAGCCCCGCCCATCCCCCTCTACTTTCTTAGAGGGTATATGATTTGCTAAAATCAGTCTTAACTTAGCAAATTCTAGACCCGCCCACCCGCCCTCTATTTTCTTAGAGGGTATATGATTTGCCAAAATCAGTTTTATCTTAGCAAGTACTTTATAGTACAGGAGATATAAAACATTAAAAATAAAAAATGTGCCCTTCGCAAGAAACATGTGCTTGGGGTATAAAAAATTCAGATTTTAGAACAAAATAAGATAGAAAAAAGTAAAATATTTACATCAAAAAATTAAAAAAGGCACTCATAATAAAAAATAGACAAATAAGCAAAACAAGTAGGGCTCAAATAAAAGGATTTTCTCAGATACACATTTATACAGGATCGCTAGAATGTATGGAAATTGTTAAATGTCTTGAGATCCAATTGTACGTTCGTCTTTTCATAACAAAAACCCTTAAAATATGTTTAAAATGGTAAGTTTCGAAGCGAAATATGGATTTTGGAATTACGATCCGCCCCTAGATCTAAAAACCAATGAAAAATTTATCATAATTGAGATTGGGGCGGATATAGGTGGGGCTTAATCTTTGTCTTTCTTTTTTACTTAGTTTTCTTTGAACAATACGATTATTTAAGAACATGTTTCAGATGCTAATTTCTTGCAGAAAAATAACCATTTTGCAGTTAAGCTCCGCCCCAGTTTCACGACAATTAAAAAAAAAATCACAATTGAGAGAGGGCGTGTGGGCGGGGCTTATATTTTGCTTTTTTGTTTCTTAATATATGATTCTGGCAAATGACACACCCTCTAAGAAAATAGAGGACCGTGCTGGTAGTTCCTAAGGTACGACTGATTTTGGCAAATGACGTATGCTCTAAGAAAATAAAGGGGGGTGGGTGGGGCTAGTATTTGCCTAAAGATGAGACTAATTTTGGCAGATGATATACTCTTTAAACAAAGAGAGGGCGGGTGGGCGGGGCTCGTATTTGCTAAGATAAGACTGATTCTGGCAAATGACGTATCCTCTGAGAAAATAAAGGGTGGGTGGGTGGGGCTAGTACTTGTCTAAAGATGAGACTAATTTTGGCAGATGAGATACTCTTTAAAAAAAGAGAGGGCGGGTGGGCGGGGCTCGTATTTGCTAAGATAAGACTGCTTCTGGCAAATGATATACCCTCTAAGAAAATAGAGGGAGGATGGGCGGGGTTAGTACTTATAACTTAAAACACTTTTACACTTTTGAATTTCACTTTACGAATATCATTTGCCAAAATCAGTCTTATTTTAGCAAATACAAGCCCCGCCCACCCGCCCTCTCTTTTTTTAAAGAATATATCATCTGCCAAAATCAGTCTCATCTTAACAAGTACTATTAAACAACCCTCTGACCTGTTATCATGACTTCTTTTTCAATAAAGAATCTAAGTCCGCAAAAATACAGGTTGAAGAAAAAGTGAAAAACCAAAAGTGTACGGTTCATTGAGGACTATACTTTAAAATTATTTTTAACTATACAGAGTGTTCTGTTTCTACGATGTAACACACTCTGGTTATAAATCCTAGGAAGAAGCTAATGACAATATGTAAAAAGATATAGATGTATCACTTAAAAAAAACTAAGTTGTGTGTTACATTTTAAAAATAGAACACTCTGTATACTTGAAAATAATGTTAGAATACTCGTAGTGACTTACCCTGTATATAGAAAGTGTAACTTCAAACGAAATACCCTGAATATTTGAAAATAATTTTAAATTGTAGCCTCAAATGAGTTCTGAAACTGCAGATTTTTTTTATATTTTACGGAGTGATTCTGTGATATCATATACAGGCTGACTCACTAAAATCACAGTCCTCGATATCTCCTTCATCATTAAAGATGAAAACAAAACATTTAAGAAAATCTTTAAAGCGTAACATTATTCTAATAATTAATGAGTTAACATTTTTTTTAAATATCATTAACATTGTAGTGGGGATAAATATACTTATTTAGGAATTTATAAAACTGAAATGTGCTACTTCTGAAATAATCAAAGAGTTAATTTAATTTTATCCCTACATCAGTGTTACTGTCAAACACAATTTCACCAAAGTGTCAAAGTTACTTACTTTATAGCTTTATAGTGGTTCAGGTTTAGTTAATAGAGGTTCTATTTAATGACTTTGATAGTGAATCAGATTTTCAATTCAAATCACTATAAAGTAACCTTGCAAAAGTGTATAAAAATAAGACATGTCAAGTGAGAGTTGTCTAATAAAATTTTGGGACGACATTCTGAAATTAAAGTCTGTGTTTTATCATTTCGGGGATATCTTAATCAATAGCCGGAAATGGGAAACCTTAATTTAAATTGGACATTGGACATTTGTCAGAAAAATGTAGCTGCCGCTATATAAGAGATAAAAAGAAAGCAACAACAAAGTAAAAAGAAAACTTAGTCAAAAAACTAAAACAGAAATGCTGAAGACCCAAAAACATAACACTAATTTGGGTTTTCTTTAAAAAATGTAAAAGCTGTTGACCTTTACAACAACAAAAAAAATTCTTTTAAGTACTTGACGACACTACAAGGCTAACATTCCAACTACTGTGAAATCTGATCTGAGTATGTACTCACTTTTTGCTAGTGGAACTATCTCACTATAACTTTTCTATGATCACTGGTCGACAGCCTAACAATAAATGTCGATAACATTAACTGATTACCTATGTTCCTCAGCAACCTCCGAGCGGTTCTATTTAAAGGCATCTTTACATAAGATCTAATTTTTATGGTTTCAATCAATATCAAAACCTTCCGACAATATATGCGATCCAGTTAATTTAAAAAATGGGTTGAATTACTTCACGTGAATACATAGTTTAACTTAAATTAAGTGGAAAACACAGCAAGCACGAACATTAATGAGTCGTTTAATGTCGCGTATCCTTGAATGTAGATTGAAATAATTATGGCAACTTAATTAGTAGGTCACTTTAATATACTTCGGATATACATTACCGCACGCAGTGATTACGGTATTTTGTTTCATCAACTATTTTTTTGTGTGGTGTTTACAAAAAAATATAGTAGTCTTAACACACGAACGTTCACTAAGTTTTTTATAAAAGAGTAATCGAACCTTAATGGAATACTTGTGTCAAACGATAGCTAAGTATTAATTAACTTAAAAACATACTTACCCATAGTTTTCAATCCTAAGAATTTCTCGCCACCTACTTCGCGACAACTACTATAGTTTCCAACTAAACAAACCACTCAGCTCAGACTCACATCATTTATCATTTATGTTCAGATTCCAGCACACTTATTATGATTATTATGTTGTTTGAAGTTACTTTAGGTTCATTGATTTTAATTGAAATCATTTATCTGACTTATGAAGCCCGCAAAAGTACCATACTAAGTGAAGACACATAACTGATAACTTAGTAATTTACATGTTGATAATTAAATTTAACAACAATACGTACTTTATCGGTATACTAACATCTCGAAGTTCGTCTGTTCAGAAATATTTCAAGCTTATTGTCACGGGGTACTTTCGAATGGAACACGAAATCTGAACTCGTACTACAGGTCATCAACAGATTAGATTTTCCGGGTTTATATCATTTTTATGATAAAAATAACATCGTCTACACGTGCAAACAATGGAACACAACCTTTGCTCGTGTGGAAGTCAAATATGTATGGACGTTACAAAGAAAGCTTGTAGCAAATATATATGTAGTTATAGTTTAAAGTTATTTTTAATTCAGAGGCAAATCATGTTCTTTGTCCGTAAAATATATATATAATGAAATGAAAACATAATTTATCTAATGTACTTGAATTCTAATTAATAAGTATAGTGTGCCAGGAAATATAGTAGTTTTATGACTTTGACTTCTTTATTACCCTTGTCAACGAATAATGCAGTTTATTATATGCAAATTGATCGCACCATCCCAAACTTAAATAGGAGCTCTTTGTTGTATTTGGTTTAAATTTTTTTCTTAGACGAAACGTATATTGCTGACGACGAGATTTGCAGGTTTTATTGTTTTTTTTTTTATTGTTTTGTTCAATTGTCCACTTTTCAGTTTTTGTAAATTAAAACAAAATTTAAATAACCAATGTATTTTTCTAAATGTATGCAACCAACATTACCTTTCATCTGGAACGGCCAAGAACAAACTGTAAAACCTTTTTATTTACTTAAAAATGTTGCTTTTCACTCTGACTTTGGCAGTTGAACACATTATTTTCATTCCCCGATAAGTTAAAACATTTAAAAGTCGAAATATGATAATTTTGAACATTTGATTAAAAATGGCCATAAAAAAAGTTGAGTTTGAAACAGTTTATAGCTATTTAAAAACAAAAAAAACTATTCGCTCCAATTGGTAGAAGGTTGACTTTCTTGATGTTATATTTCTTCTTTGTTATAGCTCTATACAAAATAATGTGTTGTAATAAACTTATCTTTATTATTTATGTAGGTACGTATTTATATTTTTACATAAATCACCATTGCTTTAAAAACAAGGTTTGAAATGAGAGTCGTAAAATAAGTAGAGTTAATTTATCTATTTGCATAAAAATAGTTTCAGTAAGTAATTATAATTAATACCTCGCTGAACGTCACATAACTAATATTTCTTTATTAATTTACTTATATTTTGTCCATTTTTTCTTAATCGAACGAAATCTTCTTTTCCCAACATGAAACTGAAAACATGTTTAACTCTCCTGTTGTTGAAAGAAAAAAAAATATATTAAAAAAAACGAAGATTGATCTCAACTGTGATGAATTTTTCATTCGGTGTTGGACCGAGAGGCGGAGCGTAATTGCAAAATACATATTTCTCTGTTGATTTGAATGAGTTTGTCTTCTCAAAACAGGGGACTAAAATTAAACATTCTTATTTTATCATTATTATATAAAGACGTGGACGTGGGGTAACTGATTCGTTTTTAATTTGACCAATAAAACATTTGTGATGACGCCATCAATATGGATAAAAGCACAAAAGAAAAGTTGTAACAGCGCATCACTAGTGCAAAAAAAAAACAGACAGGCAGACAGACAGACAGAGGGAAACGGGAAACTACTTTTTTCGTACTGTTGGGGTCATGAAACGTCGACAAAACAAAGTTGTCCAATGGATTCAATTGCTATACTTCCTTAGGTTACGCTCGGAAAGTAAAAATTTGTCTAATGTTCATTACACCGAACTTCCCTCAGATTAGTTTAGTATTTTATAAGAAAAATTGCAAAGTTTTACTGCAGTTTTATTTTTTCAAAAATCTGGACTTGCGGTTTCAAATTAAAATTGTAAACTGTTTTTTTACAAAAATCTGAATGTCTAGGATAAAAAATGAAGATAGGTTTATAAACCACAATTTAGGGGTATGGTATTTCACAAAATTAAAAAAAAAATACAATGCAAAATTTTGCGGTGACATCATTACATTGTTGACTCGGATTATTAGACAAACTTTGGTTAACGTTTTACCATATACAGACAGACGGAACCGCAAGACCTACTTTTTCATAGTCTAGGAGGAGATTATAGCCACGTTTTGACTTTTCGTCGGCAGATACATGTACAACCCAATGAATCTTTTGCTCAAGACTGTCCTGGCGCTATAGCTAAAAATGGCATAGCTGCTGTGAATATTTGCTGAAGATAATCCATTAGATTTTTCGTTAAATTCTTCCCCTGCTGAAAAACAGATTAAAAAAATTAGAGCTTTTGATTCTACCGAAAATTTGACACCTACCCCTGAACTTTTGTTGTCGGTAAAACATTTAATTGACAACCAGGACCGTCAGTATCCCTTGAGTTTTACTCAAGCTGTTGAATTTATGGACGAAAGTACAGGTGAAAGAGACATTCTGAATTTAGTTTATAAATATACTAATAATATGTTAAGTATTATTGTCACTGACTCATAGTAGTATCAGAAATCGTTGCCCAAGGGTATGTAAAAGACTGAAAAAAGCTCATGACAGATTCTTAAAGGACAATACAGTGAAACCTGTCTATGCCGGACTCTGTAGAAGGCGGAAAACTGCTCATCGCGGAAATTTTCCGCAGTCCCGTTTTTTGAAATACCTAATTTAATGTATTTTGGTCCGTATAAGCCGGAAACTGCATAACGCGGAAACGGAAAATATTTGTAAGTCCCAACGTGTCAAAATACATGCACTCAACTCTGTGTAAAACGGAAGCGAGAACAAAATTGATGATTTCTACGAAAAATATGTAATTCAATTCGTGGATCTGCACGTGCATTTTTTTGTCAACAGAAAATCACTGTTCTCAATTCTCATTTAATTGGTGTCTCTCGTGGTTGTATGTATGTTCGCAATGGCACAAAAAGCGACCAACAATAACAGCAAAATGGATTTAATTAATGAACACGAGCAACAAAATTTGAGTGTTAAAGAAATTTGCAAAAGTTCGGTTGCAAAAAACGCAAGTGTATCAAATTATAAAACATATTCCTAAAATAAATTAGAGAATAATGGCAAAGCGGTGAGCGTCTAGCCAATCTTTTTCAGTTGAGAACATGCATGGAAAATATATCTCAATGGCCGAAAAAGCAAATAACAATAAACAACTATTTCAAATAATTCTTTTTATGTACCTATGTATTCAATTTAATAAAAATTGATTTCCGTTTTATAGAGGTTTACTTTCCGTCATAGCCGGGTTTCCTGTAAAAGCCGGAACCCTGTTTAAGACGGATAAAAATTTTGGACCCGCGCGATTCCGGCATAGACAGGTTTTACTGTACTACTGATTGGTCATCGTTTGTTGATGATGAATCACACCCAATTTAAAATTTAAGATGGACCAAGAGGATATTATGCAAGAATCATTTATCTCATGTGTGCTTTATACAAATTTTTGCTCCCTTTTAGCTAAATTGAATGATTTTGTTTCTTTGGTCTGCGTAAACTTCCCAGATTTGATCCTAATTTCTGAAACTTGGTTAAATAAGGACTTGCCTGATTCTATCGTAGCGTTGCAGGATTATGAGCTCTATAGATCTGACCGAAAGGGTAAGAGAGGAGGAGAAGTGTATAACGTAAAAATTAAAATGATTACATTATTAGATATTAACTTACCTACTATAAATAAGTACAACCCACACTGAATGGCATAAATTTGCACAAAACTGCGTTAAAAATGAAGTGAGTAACGGATACACGAGAAAGTTTCGGTGGTTGAGAACCAACTGGAAATATTGGAATGCTTCTCTGTGAAGTGCAATAAACATAAATGCCGAAAAAAGGGAAAGTCCGAATGCACACCCCAAACATCGGATGTATTGTATAGTAAATACGGATAAGAATAAATTTAATAAAACTGATTATTAATCACTCTCGAATTTTTTTGGTAACCGTCATCACTTTATAAACGTCTTTATAAAATCAAAATTCGACGAAGGAATTCTTCAAAACCTTGTCCCGTTTTAGGGACAATGGACAAAGAATTTTTATGACTTTGTTTGTGTCGTTGGGTTTTTTCGCTCAACCCCAGATGTTCTATTTATAATTTGTCAAGCAGGTACTTACAAAATAACACTTCCAGAGTAAACAAGTTTTCAGAAATAATTATTTTATTAGAAATTATTAGAATGAAAAAACTTGTCTTTGGTGTATTTCAAATTAAGCCGTTTGCCGTTGTATTTTTTCCTCTAAATATAATCAAGCATTATGAAGGCCACTTTTTAAAGAATACGACGACCCACATCTAATTGATCATATAATCTATAAAAAATGACGAAGAAAGGACGGCCTTTTGTCGTCATTAATTGACGTCAGAAGTAAGTCATAAAAATCTCGTCATTTTCACGTGATTTTTTGGGCGAATGACGTCGCCGACGAGTTATGACCAAAAATTGACGTGAATTAGACGACAGTCTGCTGCTTGGGTGCTTTTCCGTTTTTTATATTTTGTTCTTAAAAAAAAAAACTACAACGCGTTAAAATTTTGATGAGTATGAGATTATCTGGTTTTTGCTATTTATGGAACAATTTTAATTGTTCAATTGTTGTTAGTAGTAATCCATTGCACTTTACAGAAATAAAATATCTTAATAAATAATTGAGTAAACAGGAGCAGAATATTTAAAATTTATGGTCAAATAAACTTTAGCCATTTTTCTGGTCCACTCAAATCTATAACAGGTAGTTGATAGAGCTCGTCTTTTTACACCCCTCATAATCCGACAATAAAAATTTATGAGAGTGTCCACCCTCTAAGATTTTGTAAATTTAATCTGTAAGTCACAACGCCAAGTAAGATGGAAAGGATGTTTAGTGTTGCCGTGGATGCCTTAGCTGACGAAAATTTTGAATGTCAGTTACTATTGAATTTAAATTATGAATATAGTCCTCTTGCGTGAAGTATTTATTTGTTTTATTTTTTTTTTATTTTCTGATGTGAATATGTAACAAATGTTAGTAAAATAAATAACTCACTTCCTTCTACATTCTAACACGTTTTTTCTTGACCTTTTGGCTCCATACAACAAATATCTAAAATTGTATCTTCATAAAATTTTTCAAAGTGCAAAAAGCAATTGTTAAAGTAATGCATTAGTTTGGGGGTTGCGAATTTTTGGGAAGACCTTAAAAACTGAGATTTTCTACTAATAGAACGTTCAAAAATATGTTTTTATTATTTTCTACCATTAAAGACGTTTTTCACACTTCCGTATAATACATATAATTTTAATCAGTTTCAAAAATATAAGAAGCCAGTTTATTTAATAAAATTTCCATTTGTTGAAATATACTTAAAATCGGACAGTGAAAATTGAAAGCACTAAAATCAAACGGAGCAGTTTGTTAGTAACATATTTGAAAATTCATCATATTCGTACGCAATCGCTTTGTTATCCTTCTTTTTAAAAATGTACAGGGTTTCTATAAATGATTATAGGGTCGAAGTAGGCAAGTAGGTTATGAATCGTACCGCCTCTCAGATTTGAACTTTACTAAATTGCCCAAGGATGCATAACAAAGACCACACGCATTTGTATAACTGGTTGCCTAAATGTTTCATATCTTACTAAAAAATAAAACTAATTTATTACAATAAAAATAAACAAATCTATTACGGTTAAGAAATACCCACTGTTCAATTTCATGTAACAACAGGAACTCCTGACTGGTGAGGAAATGTTGTCAAAGATGTTTGCGGATTCTGCTCAAGTGGTCTCAAATCATCAACAACTTCCAGGAAACCTCCCCTTGTTGACATTGCCAGTTTGAACAAATCAGGTGATTACATCTCTAATGTGAGCTTCTAACGATATTTCTTGAATTATTAAACGACGGTATTTGGCCAGATATTCTTGCTTACAAGCGCTTACAAAAAAACACATATAAATAATAATTAAGTATCATAAAATACAAACGTACGTCCTGTGTACGAATTAAAAATTGTTTGAATTCTTTTATTCCTAGGGGCTCCTAACTCATACATGTTTCCAGACTGTTTCATTTGAAAACTAAGAAAGCCAATAAAATAATATTTATTTTCAGCTAAATTACAACTTCTCTAGAAGGTCTTTGATAAATGTGAAAAATTTGTCTTACAAACGGTAAATATTCCGATATTAATTTCGGATCTCTGCATCGTTTGTCATTTATATTCATTATCAAATTCCATTTTTTGTGAAATATTTGCAAATGATAACTTGAAGTTATTAAGAAATTATCTGAATGATTTAGTGAACATAAGTCTGGTAATTTAAGGTCTAATGAGTTCCCTGTCTTGGTTGAATTCGCCTTCGGTTTATGAGGCTGTACTGAACTTGGCTGAATGTGAATGAGGTGGTTGAATTTCGTGATTATAATAATAATACATATCTTAGTAATAAAGAATTAATCTTTCATCGAAACTTTTAATAGTTGTAATTAATTAAATTTATATAATTTTTAGAAGCAGTAGTAAGGAAAGTAAGTTCTGTTTAACTAACTTTAGACCAATTTTTTTTATTCTGCATTATATTTTACGACGTTAATAGGTAATATAATGAAATGTTCATGATTTTGTTGTGAATAAAGTTTTAAAATTGATTCTCGATGTCTATGTTGGGTTGCATATCCAACTTATTTCATCAAATAATGATGCGTATGTATAATATGTTGCCTATCTATATTGTATTTTTCAACTAAAAAAAAAACAGTCAAGTTATATCGAAAATGCACCACTGTCATCGTTTCAAATGTCATTTACATTTGTCATATACACATCGTTAATAACAATCAGCCAAAATTCTCAGTAATCCACACTCCCATCCCCCCAGCTTTACCCTCACCCTTTTTTTCAAATTTCCCGCCTCCCCAGCGCTCCTGCGCCAATCGAAAAAATTATCAGCTGTTCAATACAATATGGATGTGTAGTAGAGTTGGTGTTTGTTTGGAATAGCAAGGTCAGCCTTTGTGTGAGAAATAACAAGAAAGTTGGAGTAACAGCGAGTAAATCCTCGAATTAGTGTCGTAGATTTAGTGGTTTTGTATTGCAACGGTGTAATCATCACGTAGAACTCATGAGTAATATAACGTCATCGGATTCTAATGGGACTAAGAACTATTTTGTAAACTACAACCAGGACAGCACGTAAGTCTCCTCCCCTTTGCTCCCCAGCGCTCGCAGCCCGCCCCCGCGCCCCCAACTGGCGGCTGTCAGCCGCCTCCCGCTATGTAAGCCCCTTTTCCGAGCGGCCCCCCAGCCGACTGCGATGCAACAAAGCCAACAAAGACACCGAGAATCCGCGCGAATTATGACCTCTTTTCGAAGAGGTGAAAGGTCCTTTCCAGTCGCGAATTAGCAAAGCTCTTGCGACAATATCAAGTAGGTCGTGGACAATAAACAAACGGACGCACAATCAGCTGATTGCTTGACAGGAGCACGAGCCGAGCCCACTTGATTTCCCGTTCCCAGTTTTCGCTGGTGGTGTCATTTGCGGCGTTCGAAAGGTTAATGTTACAACATTTTGCGTTACAAACAAGGAAACTGGATGATGTCATCATATTGTCATGTCGGTAATAATTTGCAGCGCTCTCGAGTGGCTACCGAATTTTTGAGGTCGCAGCTTGCCATGATCACCTGTCAAGGATTTGGCCACCTCGAGCTCGTTTTGACCACGTTGCCACAAAATTGCGAAAATTGCGTCATTGGAGATTTTTTTGTGTTGTAGCGAGTTTTTTGCGTAGGCTGAGCTGGTGCTTAATTGTTTTTTCATGTTAGGTGGCAGATGATAATTCGATAAGCCCTAAGGGGGGTTGTGCAAAGATCGCGATTTTTTTACATTAATTGTACGTTAATTACTTGGGGCTGTTTTCAAGTGTGAGCAGCTTTTGTTGTTGCGATAAAAACACATAAACGTTTTCATTGTCAAGTTTATTGTATTGCGTGTGGTGATAAGTGTAGATTAAGAAAATGTTTTGCGTTTTCAGAATGGCTTGGATTTGGACAAGTCATAATTTTATTCCGAGAAAAATTTATTTTATTTGTGCGCAATTAACTATGATTATTAGTATGAGGAATTCTCGGTGTTTATCAGTATACAGTAAATAATAATCACTAGAAAAATACCAATGTGCAAATTATAATATGTTTATCAACGTTTCGAACCTATTTTCGGTTATTCGTCAGGGCTCTAGGTTAATCAAAATATAGTTTGCGTGGTGTATTTTTTTTGACAACATCTGTTGTGTGCGATTATCATATTATCAATGACGTGCGAACTTCTTTTGTCTGTTTTATTTATTTACATTTACATTTACTGATAAATGAGAAAATAAGTATCAATTTAGATAGTAAAAGTTGATCATAGAGACAAAAGTGAGATCAATTTATAAAAATATATACAGTCTGCCCCACCTGGAAGGATCAGATGGCTGCAAACGTATTAAATTTCTTAAAAAAATAAAATAAAATTTACCAAATCAAATTTTATACAAGGTAATATTTAATAATTAATTTTTATTAATACAGTATAAAAGAACGCAACTTGAATATAAAAGGATCGATTCAGGCAGATCTTTGTAGTAGTTATTTAATTAGGTAAAGCGGCGCAGTTCGTTATTATCTCAAATATAATTTCCGATGACTGCGAAAGGTCAGTGTAATCTGTGACAGCAATCCTTTCCAATGTTCTTTCGCAGGTAAAAGTGTACGAATGCTGGACTTCTATTATTTTCACGCCTGAAAATAAAAATTAAAATTTTTTTGAGTAGATATGTAGAACGGGACTAAATCCAAAGCCAAATTTAGTCAATTGGCTTTAAAATAAAACTTTGTGCACAAAATAAAAAACGTCAACTTAGAAACACAATATTTACTTATCACGTTAGCCAATTTCAGTCAGGGATTACGTTTCAGCAATTACTTTCCCCACAAAATCGCATAATCCGCTTCCAGCTTGATCATCCGCAGCACAATCTTTTTCTCAATTTCGTGAACTTTTTCAACTTTTTCTTCGAAAATGATTCGTGACGCTGCACATTAAACCGCTTGTCATTTAACGTGACGATAAATCCAAATCAGATATGTATTTTTTGGCTGCGCTATTATTATATCACGTGAAAAATATAAACTCGCTGGCTGGTGAAATTGAAATTGAGGAACTCTAGGGGAACGGTTTTTCCAGAATTTTTTCGCTATTCGAGAAAGTTAGAACAAGTAGTTTGTATTTTGTTGATGCAAGGATTGATCAAATAAAATTTTAAGTCATTATTTTAATGAGTAGGTAGCACGCGGAAGCGAAGATTAAGTCGAATGAATTTTTATTTTATTAACATCTACATCGGTATGCATATCTAAATGGGATAGTGAGATGGTCCATTAAGTTTGAATCGTTGGAATTTATTTTAATTGATGTGCATATATTTTGTAGTTGAGTGTGTGGATTGAAAATGATCGTATTTTGAATATCTTGTGACTTACTGAGTCCAATGAATATGCATGGATTTAATGACGTTTTGGTGTTCGGTAACGCACAAACAATAAAAAATGTTTCGGGTATGTTGTGTAGAAATGATAATGCAGTTGCGTGGTTGTAAAAAAAAGACAACGATAAATGTATAGTGGCTTATTCGATTCCACATACCAACCTACTAAAGATAAAATTAATTATAGTTATATGAGCTGAATGATTAAAATGTGTTGCATTCTCTACCAGTAGATCAGTTTTTTAAGTGCCAGCACCAATTAAAATTTTAGACTTTTACACAACGCAGCTTTACGGGAAAAACATTCTTAGTGTGGGTGTATGATTTTATATTAAAACAGCAAAAAAATTGTGCTTTTTTACGAATTTCTCTGTCACATATATATAGTACATCTATATTAAATGATTTTATAGAGAAAAAATTGTTATACCTTCTCTGACGAGTCCTCTTAAAGTAGAGACCACGAATTAGTGAACATTTTTTGTATTTCGGAAACCCTCAGTAAACTCTCTCGGATTATGGTAATGATGATTTGCTTGACAGGAACAACGGTTCTATGAATCAGACTGGCAAGAACGCGTTTTAGCAGGCTGTTATAACTTTCAACATTAAGTTGAGTTTCAATAAACACTTTTGGAAACAGAAAAGTCGTCGTTCACTAATTATTTAATAAGATACACAGACATGGTAAATGGCTAATCGAAATTTATCTTCCCTCCAAAAACTTGATGATGTCATCACAAAATTTTGCAAGATGACCTTAAATGTGTAAAATATGTCTCTACTTTTGTAGTTTATCAATTATTATTATTTTTTATTATTTATTATTACTATTTTTTTTTTCAAAATTGTAGAACAAACTTTTACAATTGATAACGTCATCTAAATGAACTGTACTTTAAAATGAGTTGAATGTTATACAAAAAAACTCCCACACACTTGCAGTATACGAATCCGTTTTCAGTTTTTTCACTTAATGTTCAAATCTTCACAAAAACAATTGCACGGTATAATAACGTTGTCTTTGTTTTTTTTTTTAATATATAGGGTTTTCTTTCAACAACAGGAAAGTTAAACATGTTTTCAGTTTCTTGTTGGGAAAAGAAGACTTCGTATATTAAGAAAAAACGGACAAAATATAAGCCCCGCCCACCCACCCCTTCTCAATTGTGATGAATGTTTTATTCATCATGAGCTGAAGGTCGGACTTTAGTTTGCAAAATCCTCATTTCTCTACAAGAAATTTCCATATGAAATATGTTTTTAAAACGGTAGAATTTTTTAGAGAAATATTGATGTCACAATTAAACCCCGCCCTTCGGTCTGATTAGGAATGAAAAACTCATCACAATTGAGATATAGGCGAGTGGGTGGGGCTTAATTTTTTTTTTAATATATAGAGTTTTCTTTCAACAACAGGAAAGTTAAACATCTTTTCAGTTTTTTGTGGGGAAAAGAAGACTTCGTATATTAAGAAAATATGGACAAAATATAAGCCCCGCCCACCCACTCCTTCTCAATTGTGATGAATGTTTTATTCCTCATGAGTTGAAGGGCGGAGTTTAGTAGCAAAGTCCTCATTTCTCTAAAAGAAAGGGCCATAAGAAATATTTTTTAGAAGGGTAGAATTTTTTAGATAAATATTGATGTAAAAACATATTTCATATGATAATTTCTTGTAGAGAAATGAGGATTTTGCAGTTAAACTCCGCCTTTCGCTCTGATTAGGAATGAAAAATTCATCACAATTGAGATCGGGGCGGGTGGGTGGGGCTTAATTTATTTATTTTTTAAATATATAGTTTTTTTCAACAACAGTATACTTAAACATGTTTTCAGTTTCTTCTTGGGAAAAGAAGACTTCGTATATTAAGGATAAATGGACAAAATATAAGCTCCGCCCACCCACCTCTTCTCAATTGTGATGAATATTTTATTCATCATGAACTGAAGGGCGTAGTTTAGTTTGCAAAATCCTCATTTCTCTAAAAGAAACGGCCATATGAAATATTTTTTAGAAGGGTAGAATTTTTTAGATAAATATTGATGTAAAAACATATTTCATATGATAATTTCTTGTAGAGAAATGAGGATTTTGCAGTTAAACTCCGCCCTTCGCTCTGATTAGGAATGAAAAATTCAGCACAATTGAGATCGGGGCGGGTGGGTGGGGCTTAATTTATTATTTTTTTTAAATATATAGAGTTTTTTTCAACAACGGTATAGTTAAACATGTTTTCAGTTTCTTGTTGGGAAAAGAAGACTTCGTATATTAAGAGAAAATGGACAAAATATAAGCCCCGCCCACCCACCCCTTCTCAATTGTGATAAATATTTTATTCATCATGAACTGAAGGGCAGAGTTTGGTTTGCAAAATCCTCATTTTTCTAAAAGAAACGGCCATATGAAATATTTTTTAGAAGAGTAGAATTTTTTAGATAAATATTGATGTAAAAACATATTTCATATGATAATTTCTTGTAGAGAAATGAGGATTTTGCAGTTAAACTCCGCCCTTCGCTCTGATTAGGAATGAAAAATTCATCACAATTGAGATCGGGGCGGGTGGGTGGGGCTTAATTTATTTATTTTTTTAATATATAGAGTTTTTTTCAACATGTTTTCAGTTTCTTGTTGGGAAAAGAAGACTTCGTATATTAAGAAAAAATGGACAAAATATAAGCTCCGCCCACCCCCCCTTCTCATTTGTGATGAATGTTTTATTCATCATGAGCTAAAGGTCGGACTTTAGTTTACAAAATCCTCATTTCTCCACAAGAAATTTCCACATGAAATATGTTTTTAAAACGGTAGAATTTTTTAGAGAAATATAGATGTTACAATTTAAGCCCGTCCTACGGTCTAATTAGGAATGAAAAACTCATCACAATTGAGATATAGGCGAGTGGGTGGGGCTGATTTTTTTTTTTTTTTAATATATAGACTTTTCTTTCAACAACAGAATAGTCAAACATGTTTTCAGTTTCTTGTTGGGAAAAGAAGACTTCGTATATTAAGAAAAAATGGACAAAATATAAGCCCCACCCACCCATCCCTTCTCAATTGTGATGAATATTTATTCATCATGAGTTGAAGGGCGGAGTTTAGTTGCAAAATCCTCATTTCTCTAAAAGAAAGGGCCATATGAAATATTTTTTAGAAGGGTAGAATTTTTTAGATAAATATTGATGTAAAAACATATTTCATATGATAATTTCTTGTAGAGAAATGAGGATTTTGCAGTTAAACTCCGCCCTTCGCTCTGATTAGGAATGAAAAATACATCACAATTGAAATCGGGGCGGGTGGGTGGGGCTTAATTTTTTTTTTTTTTTTTAATATATAGAGTTTTTTTCAACAACAGTATAGTTGAACATGTTTTCAGTTTCTTGTTGGGAAAAGAAGACTTCGTATATTAAGAGAAAATGGACGAAATATAAGCCCCGCCCACCCACCCCTTCTCAATTGTGGTGAATATTTGATTCATCATGAACTGAAGGGCGGAGTTTAGTTTGCAAAATCCTCATTTCTCTAAAAGAAACGGCCATATGAAATATTTTTTAGTAGGGTAGAATTTTTTTAGATAAATATTGATGTAAAGCCATATTTCATATGATAATTTCTTGTAGAGAAATGAGGATTTTGCAGTTAAACTCCGCCCTTCGCACTGATTAGGAATGAAAAATACATCACAATTGAAATCGGGGCGGGTGGGTGGGGCTTAATTTTTTTTTTTTTTAAATATATAGAGTTTTCTTTCAACAACAGAATAGTCAGACATGTTTTCAGTTTCTTGTTGGGAAAAGAAGACTTCGTATATTAAAAGAAAATGGACAAAATATAAGTCCCGCCCACCCACCCCTTCTCAATTGTGATGAATATTTTATTCATCATGAACTGAAGGGCGGAGTTTAGTTTGTAAAATCCTCATTTCTCTAAAAGAAACGGCCATATGAAATATTTTTTAGAAGGGTAGAATTTTTTACATAAATATTGATGTAAAAACATATTTCATATGATAATTTCTTGTAGAGAAATGAGGATTTTGCAGTTAAACTCCGCCCTTCGCTCTGATTAGGAATGAAAAATTCATCACAATTGAGATCGGGGCGGGTGGGTGGGGCTTAATTTTATTTTTTTTAATATATAGAGTTTTTTTCAACAGTATAACTAAACATGTTTTCAGTTTCTTGTCGCGAAAAGAAGACTTCGTATATTAAGAAAAAAAGGACAAAATATAAGCCCCGCCCACCCACCCCTTCTCAATTCTGATGAATGTTTTATTCATCATTGTATTCTTTTTAATACCCTACAAAAACATTTATGTTTGTTGGGTTATAATAAAATATTATTATTATTATTATTATTATCATGAGCTGAAAGTCGGACTTTAGTTTGCAAAATCCTCATTTCTCTACAAGAAATTTCCACATGAAATATGTTTTTAAAAGGGTAGAATTTTTTAGAGAAATATTGATGTTACAATTAAACCCCGCCCTTCGGTTTGATTAGGAATGAAAAACTCATCACAATTTTGATCGGGGTGGGTGGGTGGTGCTTAATCTTTTTTTTTTTTATATACGTAATCTTTCATCAATTTTTTGGCGCAAAGAACAAGAGATATTATAATAAAAAAATCATAAAGTCAATCTATTATTCAATAATTTGGACTGTACTCCTAATGTAAGTCACATAAAATAACTTTTCGAAAAACTGGAAAATCTAAAAATTGAAAATTAAAAATTGAAACTCTAAATCGAAAAACTGCAAAATCTAAAAATTTTATGAAAAAATTGAAATTGAAAAAACAAAACATTATGAAATCGAAACATTGAAAAATTGTAAAAATAAAAAACTGAAACGAAATACTGCACATGGAAATATTAAAAATTGAAAAGTTGAGAAACCCAAAACGAAAAATTGCAAAATCTAGAAATTGAATCTAAATAGTTGAAAAATTTAAATTTGAAAACTCGAAAAAATGAAGGAACAAAAAAATGAAAAATTGAAGAAAAAAATCAAGTTAAATAAGCTGCGGGAGCGTTATTTACGTCAGTGGTTATTATTTTACAGAGGTTATCAGAAAACAAAAATCGCAAAAAATGATAATTTTTCAGAGAAGTGAAATTTATTTGGATACTTCAGGGTCGAAGGAAGTTCAGTGGAAATAACATTCGACCATTTTTTTTAATTCGGGGGACTCTTGGGGACCCATGTAAATTTTTGTAAATTGTTTAAAACAATTTTGGGAGATTTTGGTGTTCTATTTTTGGAAAATTTTGACCTGACATGTTTTTTAATTAATTTTGGGACCCCGTTTTCTTTTTAAAAAATTTAAAACAATCTTGAGGTTCTAGGTCTTCCTGTTTGGAAAAAAATAGCAAAAACGTAGTGAATGTGAAAAATGTGGAAATTAAATTTGCACTAGAGCTTACCAGACCCCCTTGATCCGTTTTAACATTTTAGAGGAGACCGTAAAGTTGTGGTGAGGACGACGAAACGGTGATTCACATCTATGTGTTCATGCATGTCTGATTCATAGAACCTGTGTTACTTTCAGACAAGCTATCGAAGAGGAGCATAATCCTTCAATAAACACTTTCGAATTTTGTCTCTCTTCGATAAAAATTGCCTCTAAACTGATAACGTCCTTTGAACACTTCACATAGAATTTTTTTTTTGTGCGTTGTAACGAACTTCTTCGAATTCAAGCTTTCAGCAAATTTAACGAGGTAAAATAAACCCTCGACCATCTTAATCCTTCACCACGAAGAATTGTTTTACCTAGACCCAACCTACAGAAAGATGTAGGTGGGGGTTAGGGGTACATACTTTTCGGTCCTTTATCGACAATGCTAGGTGAACGCTAGTTACCTGTGAGCTGTGCAATAGTTTGCTGTTTACTTCAACAGTTAATTTTGTATTTTAAAGTCGGTAAAATGTGGGCTTGGAAGAACCGTTTTATCAATTTCATGCAGATAGATCATTTTTGCGACGAAGGAAGACCACCACTCCAGTGAGTATTAGTTTTAAGTTTTTCTAGTGAAAACAGTATACGATTTTCCATGTTTTGAGAGTTGAAATTGCGGTCATTTTACGCTCTCTTGACAACAGCATTTTTCAAACTCTTGTTTTGTAATCGAGTCCATCGGGCGACCGGCTACGTTTATATTTTCTCAATGTGTTGGGACCTCTAGAGTGCGAAAAAGTAGGTCTCCCGTTGCTGTCTGTCTGCGTGGATTTTTGTTAGATGTGCTTTAAATTGCATAAAATAATCTATTCCTACACGTGTAGTTTATGAATCCGTGTTGAAAGCTTTTTTCATAATTTATTAGACATCGTTCACTGTCAGATCAACACAGCTGTAAACCTGTGTAAAAACACAAAATCGGTCGGGCCAAATCCACTTTCAAATTTAAAGGGTGGACGCACCGTCAGAGGCGTCCGTCATCGTTTCTCTGCCATAGCGAACTTTTCTACCTGCGTAAGGGTACCTGTTTGGATTAGTGCCTAATTGATTTATGTATTTCCCTGTGTTATTGAAAAAAAAATTAAAAAAAAAACCCTTCTGAAGTGTGCATCTTACGCTACTGACTGACCGTCCGTTGTCAGATTCTGATGACGCACCAGGTTGAACTTAAAATAATCCACCTCTATAATCACGATTCAAATAAAAAATATGAAATATTATTAATCATCTCCAAAATTTGTCTAAACTTATGATTTATCAATAGATTCATATTTTTTAGAAATACTTATGCAGGGTGACTCAAAAAAATTAATGAATGAGTCATAGAAACAACGAAAACATGTTTCGTAACTAACGGATATGATAGATAAACTTTTATGATACGATACTGATAAGTCTTAAGTGTTCATCCTGTTATGTAGAAAACTTCCACGAGCAAAGATGTTACTTCTAGCCCCATTTCTAATCATAATTCTTTGTTTAACGTCAACGATTAACGCACAAAGTGAGTACTATAATTAAACTGAAAATTATTTAACAAAACTTGGCCTTTCAGACGCCTGTTCTCTTGACGTATCCACAACTGACCTCATAATCCTAGACCAGTCTTACAAAATCCGCCTTCCTGCCACCAATAAAACTGAAATCAGCTTGCGCTATCAGGAAAAACTTTTGATCAGATGTCCCTCTGGATCCATAACTCCTTTGCTTTCTGATGATGGTGAAAATACTCAGTGCGATAAAGGCACAATACTTCAGATTCTCAGAAATACGCGTTACATTGACTTCTCCAGCATCAAGTGCGTCCAAAAGCTTCCCGCTACCCTTAAAATAAGCGATGCGAAGTGTCATAATGGGGGCACTGACGTCCAAATCGGACTCGAGATGTTAAACGTATTTACCGTAATGTATACAGTGTGTTTCGACCAAAAACAGCTCGTTCCCGTGAATGCCACCTTCAACGTTCCAATTGACCAATGGGGAGCGTTTTCTAGTGAAACAACAGATCACTATTTTGTCGATGACGGTCATTTGTACCCGGACGTCGACTTGGACGCGCTTTACGAAAGGCAGGATCAGATATTTACAAACTGGGGACTTCCCGAATACCACACTAACGAGAGTTTTTTGATAAAAGGGCAACTTTTACCGAGCTATCTCTTTTCGTATTCGCTGGAAAAATACGCAGCTTTTAATTATGCGAATGTCGTGCCACAATGGAGTACGCTTCGGAACGTGTTTGCTGAATTTGTTAACAATTTTGTTAGTGAGAGAGGGATAAATGCCACAGTGTACCAAGTTGGCACTCTGGATGTGGCTACACTGCAAAGTTCTCAAAAAGGGACGGTGAAGCTGTTTTTGGGGGTATCTAAGACAATACCTGTACCGAGATGGTTGTGGTTCACGCAGCCGGACAGTTTTACGATTTATGGCTTCAATAATCCGTATTACGAAGAAGCAGACGTGGAAGCTGAATTTAAAGAATTGTGTATGTTGCCGTTTTCGTTTGAGAAGTTTAAAGATATGTTGGTTGGAGTATGTGGCGGTGATCCAAATGTATAGCGTTCACGGGGTGTACTTGACTTCGTGCTTGTTGCGACAATAAATCAATGACGAAGATTCCTTGCTTTTTTAATTTATTTTTTCGACCTCACTTGGAAAAGCTGCGGTTGTGTAAGCATCGCTTTAGTAGTTTGACAAGTTGAAATCTGCAACTGTGTAAACGGTGCTTCAGGTGCGTCTCTACCTGTTCGATTTGACTTGACAAAACTGCAGCTGTGTAATTGTGCCTTCTGGCGATGGAAATACCACTTTTGACCATGTTTAATCCCTAGCCAGGCAAAAATTTATTGTTTTCAGTTTGGAAGAAATTTTCCATGAGGTTATTTCGAACTTATCTCGAATTTTTGCAATAGATTTAAAAGATAAACGTCTGTCAATTGATATTTATTGCCGGATTATATTTAGTAGAAGCGGGTTGAAAAAGGTCCAGGTACATAGAAGAAACCGGTACTCGTTGCAAAGTAAGACACAAAAACCAGGTATAAATATCAGTGCAGAATTAGTATGAGGAAAAATTAAATTTGTCAAAAATTTTATGAATATTTCGGTTTTTGCACTGTAGTCATGTGACCGAAATTTCTGCCCAATGGATGATGTTTATTTATTTTACTTTTTGAAATTTGTCGTCGGGGCTTTTAGACTATAATTTATTTGTATTCGGTGATCTACGTAACGATTTTTAATATGTCGCATATTTATGTTCTTTTAAATCTGTTTGTACTAGGTTTTTTGGAATTCCAGAGTTATTTCTAAGTTCAAAAACTTTTTTTTTATTTTCTGAGCGTAAGCTGACGAATGGCTAGGTACGTATTTTCTCGACATTTCATGACCCCTAGAGTACGAAAGAATACGTCGCCCGTGTCTGTATAATCATCCCCATGAACAATTTGATGACGTCCTCTCCATTTTGCGTATAAAGGTTTATCTAAATTTATAAATTAATATACTCTTGTACGCGTGCTTTATGAATCCGCCTTGATTTTATGACACTTTCTTTACAAAAAAAAATGGTTGAAGGTTATTTCGACAGAACTTCCCAGCTATTCAAACATCAAAAAGTCGAAAAATTGAAAAATGCAGATAACTATCGAAAAATTCCCAAAATTGAAATTTTAAAAAATTGGGAAATCGAAAACCTGAAAAATCGAGAAATTTAAATATCGAAAAGTCCAAAAATTTTAAAAATCGAAAAACCGATATTATGTCAAGAAGTGGAAACATCAAAAAATCGTAAAATCTAAAAATTGAAAACTCTAAAAGCTGAAAAATCAAACATTTTAAAACCAAAAAAATTTAAAATGGAAATATCGAAGAACTGAAAAAGCGAGAAATCGGACAATTAACATTTTAAAAAATTGAGAAATCAAAATATCGAAAACTGAGAGAAGAAATCGAGAAATCGAAACGTCAAAAAATTGAAAAATTAAAAAATCTACAATTTAAAAATCGAAAAATTGAAAAATCCAGGGATTGAAAATTCCCAAAATTGTAGTCTTGAAAAATAGGGAAATCTAAAAATTAGAAAGTCCAAAAATTAAAAAAATTGAACAACCGAGATGTCAAAACATCAAACAATTGTCAAATCGAAAAATTGAAAAATCAAAAATTTTAAAATCGGAAAAAATAAAAATATCGAATAATTGAAAAATCGAGAAATTGAAAAATCCGAGTTTTAATAAATGGAAAAATTAAAATGTCGAAAATTTGAGCATTGAAAAATTGAAAAATCGAGAAATCGAAACATCAAAAAATTTAAAAATTCCAAAACTGAAATGATGAAAGTTGGGAACTGGAAAAATTGACAATCCGAAAAGTAGAAAAATCGAAAATAATCTAAAATTTTAAGAAAAATTAAAACATTCCAAAATTTAATATTTGAGAAATCGAAACATCAAAAAATTGTAAAACTGAAAAATCTAAATTTTAGAAAATTGATAAATAAAAATATCGAAAATTTGAAGCATCGGGAAACTGAAAAATCTAAAAATCGACAAATTGAAAAATTCCAAAACTGATGATGAAAGTTGGAAAACCTAAAAATTGAAAATCCGAAAAGTAGAAAAATCGAACACCCAAAAAAAAAATTAACAAAAAAAGTCAAAAACTGAAACATCTAGAAATTGAAAACTTGAAAACTAAAAATTCGAAAAATCAAAAAATTGAACAATAAAAAAATCGAAGCATCGAAGTGGCGATAAATCGAGAAATCGAAAAATTGAAAAATCTAAAAATCAAAAACTTTAAAAATCGAAAAATTGAAAAACCGAAAAATCAGAAACTGAAATGTCCAAAGATTGAGAAATCATCAAAACTCTGAAAAGCGAAAATTAAAAAATTCAAAAAATTTAAGAATAGAAATATTGACGAACTGAATAATCGAGAAATCCAAAAATTTTAAGACTTGAACAATTAAAACGTCACAAAATTAAAAAATTGAGAAATCGAAACATCAAAGAATTGAAAAATTAAAATATCGAAAACTTGAAGCATCGAGAAACGGAAAAATCGAGAAATCGAAACATCCGATTGAGAAATTCCAAAACTGATATGAAGTTGGAAAATCGAAAACCCGAAAAATTAAAAAATCCAATACTTGAAAACTAAAAAATTGAAAAATCGAGAAATTGAAAAATCGAAAAATCGAAAAATTGAAAAACCGAAAAAACAGAAACTGAAATGTCGGAAGATTTGGAAATCATTAAAACTCTGAAAAAGTTAAAATTTAAAAATTCAAAAAGTTGAATGGAAATATTGAAAAACTAAATAATCCAAAAATCAAAAATTTTAAAAATCGAATAATTGAAAAACCGAAAAATCTGAAGCTGAGATGTCGAAAGATCGAGAAATCACCAAAACTTTGAAAAATCTAAAATTTAATAATTCAAAAAATATTCAAGACTAGAAATATTGAAGAACTGAATAATCGAGAAATCTAAAATTTTAAAAATTGAAACATTAAAATATCGATAAAACAAAAAAATTGAGAAATCGAAACATCAAAAAATCGAAAAATTGAAGAAAAAACTAAATTTTAAAAAATTGAAAAATTAAAATATCAAAAACTTAAAGCATCGAAAAATTGAGAAGTCGACAAATCAAAAATTTGAAAAATCAAAAAATTTGAAAATTGAAAAATTCCCAATATTGATATCTAGAAAAATTGAGAAATTGAAAACTTGAAAAATCGAGAAATCTGAAAACCGAAAATTCGAAAAATTAAAAAAATTAAAAAACCGAGATGTCAAGAAATAGCAACATCAAAAAATCGTCAAATCGAAAAATTGAAAAATCAAAAATTTGAAAATTCGGAAAATTGAAAACAAAAATATCGAAGAATTGAAAAATTAAGAAATTGCAAAATCAAATTTCTAAAAAATCGAGAAATCGAAACATCAAAAAATCTAAAATTTTAAAATTGGAAAATCTAAAAACGGACAAATTGAAAAATTCCAAAACTGATTGGCGAAAGTTGGAAAATCGAAATATTGAAAATCAAAAAAGTAGAAAAATCGAAAACCCCAGAAATTAAAAAATCGAAACATCGAAATGGCGATAAATCGAGAAATCGAAGAATTGAAAAATCGAAAATTCAAAAATTTTAAAAATCGAAAAACCAAAAAATCTGAAACTGAGATGTCGGAAAATTGAGAAATCATCAAAGCTGTGAATAATCGGGAAATCTAAAATTTTAAAAATTGAAAAATTAAATTATCGGAAACTTGAAGCATTGAAAAATCGAGAAATCGAAACATCAAATACTAAAATTTTAAAATCGAAAAATCGAATAACAGGCAAATTGAAAAATTACAAAACTGACGAAAGTTGGAAAATCGAAAAATCAGAAACTGAAATATCGAAAAATTGAGAATTCATTAAAACTCCGAAAAAATTAAAATTTAAAAATTCAAAACATTGAAGAATACAAATATTAAAGAACTGAGTAATCGAGAAATCTAAAATTTTAAAAATTGAAAAATATCCACAACTTGAAGCATCGAAAAAGTCAAAAATCGAGAAATCGAAACATCAAAAAATTGAAACATTCCAAAACTGAAATGACGAAAATTGGGAAATGGAAAAATTGAAAATCCGAAAAGTATAAAAATCGAAAACCTGAGAAATTAAAAAATCGAAATATCGAAAAATTAAAAAACTGAAAGATCGTGAAATCATCAACACTCTGAAAAATCTAAAATTTAAAAATGCAAAAATTTGAAGAATAGAAATATTGACGAACTGAATAATCGAGAAATCCAAAAACTTTAAGAATTGAAAAATTAAAACGTCACAAAATTAAAAAATTGAGAAAGCGAAACATCAAAGAATCGAAAACTTGAAGCATCGAGAAACTGAAAAATCGAGAAATCGAAACATCAAATTGAGAAATTCCAGAACTGATATGTCGAAAGTTGGAAAATCGAAAAATCGAAAACCCGAAAAATTAAAAAATCGAAACATTGAAAAATTTAAGAACTGAAACATCTATAAATCTAATACTTGAAAACTAAAAAATTGAAAAATCGAGAAATTGGACAATCAAAAAATCGAAACTTCAGAATGGCGATAAATCGAGAAATCGAAAAATTGAAAAATATAAAAATCAGAAACCGAAATGTCGAAAGATTGAGAAATCATCAAAACTCTGAAAAAGCGAAAATTTAAAAATTCAAAAAGTTGAAGAATAGAAATATTGACGAACTGAATAATCGAGAAATCCAAAAATTTTAAGAATTGAAAAATTAAAATATTGAAAACTTGAACCATTGAAAAATTGAAAAATCGAGAAATCGAAAGATCAAAAACTCCAAAATTTTAAATTCGAAAAGGCTAAAAACCGACAAACTGAAAAATTCCAAAAATGATTGACGAAAGTTGGAAAATCCAAAAATTGAAAATCGAAAAATAAGGTCAAAAATCCGAGAAATTAAAAAATCGAAACATCGAAAAATCATAATCTGAAACATCTAGAAATCAAAAAGTTGCAAATTGAAAAATCGAAAAATCAAAAATTTTAAAAACAGAAAAATTGAAAAACCAAAATCTGAAGCTGAGATGTCGAAGGATTGAGAAATCACCAAAACTTTGAAAATTTTGAAAATTGAAACATTAAAATATCGATAAAACAAAAAAATTGAGAAATCGAAACATCAAAAAATCGAAAAATTAAAGAATTGAAAAATTGAAGAACAATCTAAATTTTAAATAATCGAAAAATTAAAATATCGAAAACTTAAGACATCGAAAAATTGAGAAGTCGGCAGATCAAAAACTTGAAAAATCGAGATATCAAGAAATAGAAACATCAAAAAATCGTCAAATCGAAAAATTGAAAAATCAAGAATTTGAAATTTAAATTGTAAACATTAAAAAATCTAAAATTTAAAAATTGAAAAATCTAAAAGCCGACAAATTGAAAAATTCCACAACTAATAATGACGAAAATTGGAAAATTGAAAAATTAAAATATCGAAAACTTTTAAGCATCGAAAAATGGAAAAATCGAGAAATCGAAACATCAAAAAATCTAAAATTTTAAAATTGGAAGATCTAAAAACGGACAAATTGAAAAATTCCAAAACTGATTGTCGAAAGTTGGAAAATCGAAAAATTGAAAATCAGAAAAGTAGAAAAATCGAAAACCCGAGAAATTAAAAAATCGAAACATCGAAAAATTAAAAAACTGAAACATCTAGAAATCGAAAACATGAAAATTGAAAAATCGAGAAATCGAAGAATTGAAAAATCGAAAAATCAACAATTTTAAAGATCGAAAAGTTGAAAAACTAAAAAATCTGAAACTGAAATGTCGAAAGATTGAGAAATCATCAAAGCTCGCAATAGAAATCTATAATTTTAAAAATTAAATTATTGAAAACTTGAAGCATTGAAAAATCGAGAAATCGAAACATCAAAAATCAAAAATTTTAAAATCGAAAAATGTAAGACCAGGCAAATTGAAAAATTCCAAAACTGATGTGACGAAAGTTGGAAAATAGAAAAATTAAAAAACGGAAAAGCAGAAAATTCGAAAAACTGAGAATTCAAAAAATCGAAACATCGAAAATTTCAAACAAGAAATCGAAAATTTGAAAACTGAAAAGTTGAAAAATCGACAAATTGAACAATCAAAAACTCGAAACATCGAAATGGCGATAAATCGAGAAATCGAAGAATTAAAAACCTTAAAAATCTTAAAATTGAAAAATTGAAAAATCAAAAATTTTTTAAATTGAAAAATTGCAAAATCGAGAAATCGAAGGCTTGAAAAAAAATCGGGAAATCGAAAATGGAAGCATCGAAAAACTGAAAATCGACATTTTCAAAAATTGAAAAAATCAAGAAATTGAAAAATCGCACAATTGAATTAGAAACCTGAAAAATCCCAAAACTAAAATATCGAAAAACTAAGAAATCGAAAATTGAATAATCGAGAAATCGAAAAGCCAAAAAATCGAAGATTCGAAAACTAAACTATTTTTTTTTACAAAAATCTCGTGATGTCTAGGATAAAAATTCAACACGGATTCATAAATCACAAGTTCAGAACTGTTACTTTTTAACGTCTAAATAACATTGACACCATCACTCCCTGGGGAGGGGGGCTTAGACGGATAAATTTTGATCAACGATTTACTATATTTCCAATGACCTTAAAACGTTTGCAAGGTTTCAAAACATCCGATTTTCCAATTTTAAAGTTAAATTGTAAAATGTTGCACAATTTTAATTTCTTTTTTTACCCCACAGCTCTCTAGTTGTCGGCAGCAAAAGCGGCTATCGTCTCTACTCCCTAAACAACGTCGACGACTTAGAACTGATCTACTCCAACGATGTCGAGGAAACGTTCATGGTCGAGCGCCTCTTCAGCAGCAGTCTGGTGGCGACCGTGGCGCTGTCGTCTCCCAGGAAGCTGAAAGTGTGCCATTTCAAGAAGGGGACCGAAATATGCAACTATTCCTATTCAAACACTATCCTGGCCGTACGCATGAACAGGTGAACCCCCGAACACCGTAAGGTCGAACTTTTCGAAACTAGGGTTTTTCAGGTCGCGACTGGTGGTCTGCCTGGAGGAGAGTCTCTACATACACAACATACGCGACATGAAGGTGCTGCACACCATCAGGGACACGCCGCCGAATCCTCAAGGGCTCTGTGCGCTGAGCATAAACCACGACAATTGTTTGCTGGCGTATCCGGGGTCGGCGACTATAGGAGAAGTGCAGATTTTCGATGCCGACCACTTGGTGAGTGAAACTAATTGGATTATGCGGTGTGTGGTTTTTACGGTTGTGATTTGGGTTGCGATATGCATAACATGTGTGGCAATTTTATACACAATTTGGTTTCGTGTGTTTAGGGTTTTGTTGTTTTTTGTTTTTATATTTCAATTTTTTTATTCGACGATATTTTTTATTTTGAAAACACGTAAAATATTTTTTTTTTTTAGAAAGAAGGGCTAATAAAAAATGTCAGGATTTAATTTATATTATATGCACACTGTCCAATTCTGAAATATAACAGAAGAATTACCCAAGACTTTACTGGAAATATTCTTTTCTTTCACGAATTGTGGTTTTGAAATTTACAGTATTGGTGTTGAAATATTATTTTCAATTTCTTTTTTTTTCATCAAGTTTTCCAGTCATTACTTCTGGCCGAACTTCTTCGGAAACAATGTCCTGTAAATTCTTTCTGTAATATTCTACAAAATTTCCTGTGACTTTGAAAATTCCAAAGATCGAAAAATTCCCAAAATTGAAATCTTGAAAAATTGAGAAATCAAAAACTTGAAAAATCCAAAAATTTAACAAGCGAAAAGTCCAAAAATTTTAAAGATCGAAAACCCGCGATGTCAAGAAATAGAAACATTAAAAAATCGTAAAATTGAAAAATTAAAAAATCAAAAAACTGGGAAAACAAAAATTTTAAAATTCGAAAAATTAAAAAATCAAAAAACTGGAAAAACAAAAATTTTAAAATTCGAAAAATTAAAAATAAAAATATCAAAATTAAAAATCGAGAAATGAAAAATCTAAAAAATATGTCAATTAATAGAAACATTAAAAAATCGTCAAATCGAAAAATTGAAAAATCAAAAAACTGGAAAATCAAAAATTTTAAAATTCAAAAAAAAAAATATCGAACAATTAAAAATCGAGAAATTGAAAAATTTAAATTAAAAAAAATGGAAACATCAAAAAATGAAAAATCGAGCTATCAAAACATCAAAAAATGGAAAAATTAAAATGTCCAATACTTGAAGCATCGAGAAATTGAAAAATCAAAAAATCAAAACATCAAAAAATTGAGAAATCCAAAAATTGAAATAATCCCAAATTTGAAATCTTGAAAAATTGAGAAATTAAAGCCTTGAAAAATCCAGAAATCTAAAAATTGAAAAGTCGAAAAATTTTAAAAATCGAAAAAAAGATGTCAATTAATAGAAACATTTAAAAATCGTAAAATCGAAAAATTGAAAACTCAAAAAACTGGAAAATCAAAAATTTTAAAATTCGAAAAATTAAAAATATCGAAGAATTAAAAATCGAGAAATTGAAAAATTTAAATTTAAAAAAATTGAAACATTAAAATGTCCAATACTTGAGGCATCGAGAAATTAAAAAAATGAAGAAATGGAAACTTCAAAAAATGAAAAATCGAGGTATCAAAACATCAAAAAATGGAAAAATTAAAATATTTTATTTATGGGTACTCTATACAAATTAAACTAAACTAAAATATGTATCAAAAAATTGAGAAACAAAACCTTGAAAAATCCAGAAATCTAAAAATTGAAAAGTCGAAAAATTTTAAAAATCGAAAAAAAGATGTCAATTAATAGAAACATTAAAAAATCGTAAAATCGAAAAATTAAAAATATCGAAGAATTAAAAATCGAGAAATTGAAAAATTTTAATTTAAAAAAATTGAAACATTGAAACAGTCCAATACTTGAAGCATCGAGAAATTAAAAAATCAAGAAATGGAAACATAAAAAATGGAGAAATTAAAATATGTATCAAAAAATTGAAAAATTAAAAAATCAAGAAATCGAAACATCAAAAAATTGAGAAATCAAAAACTTGAAAAATCGAGAAATCAAAAAATTGATAAGTCGAAAAACTTTAAAAATCGAAAAACCTAGATGTCAAGAAATATTAACATTAGACTATAGAAAAATTGAAATTTCAAAAATCTTATAATTCGAAAAATTATAAAAATATCGAAGAATTGAAAAATCGAGAAATCGCAAAATCTAAATTTAAAAAATTGAAAAATTTAAGAAATTGAAAAAACGAGGAATCGAAACATCGAAAAATTGAGAAATAGAAAAATCTAAAAATCAAAAAGTCGAAAAACTTTAAAAATCGAAAAACCAAGATGTCAAGAAATAGAAACATTAAAAAGTCATAAAAGCGAAAAATTGAGAAATCAAAGGTTTTTAAATTCGAAAAAATAAAAATATCAAGTTGAAAAGTCGAGAACCGCAAAATCTAAATTTTAAAAAATTGAAAAATTAAAATATCGAATACTTGAAGCATCGAGAAACTGAAAAATCCAGAAATCCAGACATCAAAAAATTTTAAAATCGAAAGATTGAATAATCCAAAGATTGAAAAATTCCCAAAATCGAAAAATTGAAAACTCAAAAATTTTTAAATTCGAAAAGTTGAATATAAAAATATCGAAGAATTGAGAAATCAAAATATCGAAATCTTGAAAAATCCAGAGATTGAAAATTCCCAAAATTAAAATTTTGAAAAACTGAGAAATCGAAAACTTGAAAAATCGAGAAATCTAAAAATCCAAAAGTTGAACAATTTTAAAAATCGAAAAACCCAGATGAAAAGAACGAAAAACGTTAAAAAATCATAAAATCGAAAAATTAAAAACAAAAATATCGAAGAATTGAAAAATCGAGAATCACAAAATCTATTTTTTAAAAAATTGAAAAATTAAAAAAACTTAAAGCATCGAAAAAGTGAAAAATCTGAACAATTAAAAATGTTAAAATTCGAAAAATGAAAATAAAAATATCCAAAGATTGAAAAATTAGAATATCGAAAACTTGAAGCATTGAAACATCAAAAAATCTAAAATTTAAAAACTGAAATGGGAATTCGAAAAATTGAAAAGCCGAAAAGTAGAAAAATCGTAAAACAAAAAATCGAAACATCGAAAAATTCAAAAACTGAAACATCTAGAAATCGAAACTTGAAAATTGAAAATTCGAGAAATTGGGCAATCAAAAAATCGAAACGTCGAAATGGAATAAATCTAAAATTTAAAAATTCGAAAAATTGAAGAGTAGAAATATCGAAGAATTGAATAATCGGGAAATTTAACATTTTAAAAAATGGAAAACTAGAATATCTAAAAATCGAGAAGTCGAAACATCAAAAAACTAAAGAATCAAAAAATTGAAAATTCTAAAATTTAAAAAATACAAAGATTGAAAAATTCCCAAAATTAAAATCTTGAAAAATTGATTAATCGAAAACTTGAAAAATCGAGAAATTTAAGAATCAAAAAGACGAATAACTTAAAAAATCGAAAAATTGAGAAATCAAAGATTTTAAAATTCGAAAAATTAAAAATAAAAATGTCCAAGAATTAAAAAATCGAGAAATTGCAAAATCTAAATTTAAAAAATTAAAATATCGAATCTTGAAAATTGAAAAGTCGAGAAATTGGACAATCAAAAAATCGAAAATCGAAACATCCATAATTTAAAAATTCCAAAAATTGAAGAGTAGAAATATTGAAAAATTGAAAAATCGGGAAATTTAAGATTTTACAAAATGGAAAATTAGAATATCTACAAATCGAGAAGTCGAAACATCAAAAAATTGAAAATTCTAAAATTTAAAAAATCCAGAGATTGAAAAATTCCCAAAATTAAAATCTTGAAAAATTGATGAATCGAAAACTTGAAAAATCGAGAAATTTAAGAATCAAAAAGTCGAATAACTTAAAAAATCGAAGAATTGAGAAATCAAAGATTTTAAAATTCGAAAAATTAAAAATTAAAATGTCTTAAGAATTGAAAAATCGAGAAATTGGAAAATCTAAATTTAAAAAAATTGAAATATCGAAAACTTGAAGCTTTGAAACATCAAAAAACTAAAATTTAAAAATCGAAATATTGAGAAATCGAAAAACGAACAAATTGAAAAATTCCAAAATTGAAATGGCAAATCGAAAAATTGAAAGACCAAAAAGTAGAAAAAGTGTAAAACCGAAAAATCAAAAAATTGAAATATCGAAAAATTCAAAAACTGAAACATCTACAAATCGAAAACTTGAAAATTGAAAAGTCGAGAAATTGGACAATCAAAAAATCGAAAATCGAAATAGCGATAAATCAAGAAATCGAAAATTTGGAAAACGTAAAAATTGAAAATTGAAAAATCTAAGATTTTAAAAAATGGAAAAATTAAAGACTCGAAAAATTGAAAAATAAAAACCAAAAACCTGAAAAATTGAAGAATGGAAAAACTGGAAAGTCAACACATTAAATATTCGATAAACTAGACATTCTAAACTGAAACCGTTTGGGAAAATTACATAGACACGATTAGTGTCAACTAAGTCATTTTAATTCAAATTTTGTTCATTTCGTCGACAATATTTTTGGTACGATTTAAACAGGTTTATTGTTGAAAACAGAGGTGAAAACCATTTTACGAAATTTCCGTAAAGAATAATTAAGATATTAATTTTTAAATAATACTCTATATGTGATGAAAAATTTCACCAAAATGAAAAAAAAAATCTTAAAAAACTGGTCTTGCATTATATAAAGGAAATTCTGGACAAGTTTTATTTAAAATTTCAAAACAATAAGTCTCTTAATAATTTAGATATTACATAATGAAAATATATTGACAACACCATAGCAGCCAAACGTAGCGAGTCCTCTTAAATAGAACACCTTAAATACTTTTAATTTTTATATGCTCTGATCGACCTCTTCGTAGACTTTATAACCATTGTTTATTTTTGAAATTCTAAATGAAAGTTACCAAGTTTTTCCGCTTTTCTTGAAATATTTTACCAAAAAAAAACCATCAAATTATAACACAGTACTTACGTATTTAATATATACATACTTATACTCATTAATTGACTTGGCTGGCTTAGACTAGACTGATTCCTTTTTAATTTAAACCTATACAATCAACACTTTCGTGGTTGTTCTGGAGCCCACCTCTGAAACTTCCCCAGACTTGCGGCAAACTGCGTCCGGAAAAACGCCGTCACTCATGACGAGCTACCGGTCATCGCCGTACATACTAGAAAACCCATAGGTGACAATATTTTAGAATGTATAATAAACTCTATATGCTAAGACTCAGTTTTATGGATTTTCGTTGTTAAAATATTCCAAGAAAATATAGACATGAGGAAATTTGTTTAAACAACTCATTTTGTTAATTTCATTGTTAACGTCCGTTATGTCAGTTCACGTTGTTTTTGGAATTTTAAGTCGACATTTTGAAGGCAATCTGATAACGTTAAATCTTTTCAGACAGAGTATCAAACTTTATGACCGCCATTATTGAAATCATACTTATCTCTTTATTAGAATCTATCAAATTAAATTTATATTTTGGTAATTTAAAAGAATCGTTTTTTATTCAATTTAGATAAGACAGAGAGCAAAGGCAGATAAAATTGTATTCGTGAGCGACTAAACTTTAATCACTTTTGATTTAAATGACATCCAGCACTAGTCATAAATCATGTAATGATCAATTTACTTGAACTACGTGACAGGAACGTAAAAACGTCAAAAAAAATAGAAGCGCACGTGATCACTCCATCTGTTCGATAAACGGACTAAAATATATGCCATCGCATGAAATCAACGTCGAAACCCAACAAAACTAACCCATTTTTTTTTGTCCAGCACGCCAAGACTATGATCCCCGCCCATGACAGCCCGCTGGCGGCGCTAGCTTTCAGCCCGAGCGGCTCGAGGATCGCCACCGCCTCGGAAAAGGGCACCGTGATCCGGGTGTTCAATTCGGCCGACGGACAAAAACTCTTCGAATTTAGGAGAGGCGTGAAGCGTTGCGTTGACATTTCGTGCTTGGCATTCAGCACGTGTAGCAATTACTTGTGTTGCAGCAGTAACACGGAAACGGTACACGTGTTTAAATTCGAGGAGCCGAAGGACAGGTGCGAGTACGCGTATGTTGCTTTTTTGCGGTAATTTATGTCGCTTTTTTAGCCCGAGGCGTAACGTCGAGGAGAGCAGCTGGATGGGGTATCTTTCTTCGTATTTGCCAACGCAGGTTACGGATGTTTTCACTCAAGGCAGGGCCTTTGCTGCGGCCCATCTGCCAACGCAGGGCGTCAGGAATGTCATCTCGATCATGACGTAAGTGGGTCGTGTCGACAGTTTCGTTCAGAAAAAAAAAGTTGTTTGAATTCTGTTTAACGACGTTAAAGTTGTATATTTATTTATAGCAAACACAACAAAGCACGCTTATCACAGCTTAGACTTTTTCAGATATCAAATTGTTTCTTTTTTTCTTATTAGTAACTTATGGAAATAAAAAACGTTTCTTGTTATTTAGTAAATAGCAGGTTTTCGTGTCGCTTGTCCTCAGGGCCCAGAACCAGCTGAGATTATTGGTAGCAACCGAGGAAGCCAACCTCTACGTCTACAACGTGGACCCTAACGAAGGCGGCGACCTCACCCTATACAAGCAGCTCCGATTAAACGACTCTCGAGACTCATCAAAAGGTACAACCACAACCGAACCACAAAGCATCGACGGAGGTAATCAATCTTAACTCGTACGTTTCCTTTTCTATTTTTTTTTTTATTCTTCTTCTGTTATTGTAAATGTGAGGCAATGGTTTTAAGTTAAGAAAAGTCTCCACGTTTACGTCTAGTTTGTATAAAGTAATTTAAATGAAAGTCTTGCGAAAATAAAAGGCGTTAAGTACTAGTGAACAGTCGACTTTTGACTTCTCACCAAAAATAACGCCAACAAACCTGAGCAATCCTTTTAGCCTTTTTGTGTTAATTTTCTACCTTTCAGTCCTCTCTGAATTGATTTGTTTTTGTTTCAGTTAAGTATAGTTTTAAAACCAATGTGTTCCGTCTCTCTGGATCAGCTTCGCAAGCGTTGGGGCGTTGCGAAACTGATGCGCCAGAGGGCGCTTTGTGTTGATCGGGTGGGCGGTTGCTTTAAGGGTCATGTTTGATGCAGAGTCGGTAACGGGATGTTTTCGGCCGGTTTTATTTCATCGATAAAACTGAATTGTCAAGAATTTGTGGATTTTCTACGATTTACATGTAAAATCGATTTTAAGTTTACAAGCTGTATTATTTATTGCATAAGAGAATAATTTTGGAGTTTGGGTGTTGGTGGATCTTCTATAAAATTAATAATCAAGGTTCCCAATTTCTTTCATTTTCCCATAAACTGGAATAAACTACTAAATTGTGAGCTGAACTTTTATGCAGTCAGACAAAAAATAAGCACAAATTAAAAAAAAAAAAAGTATAGTTGATAATGTTGTTACAGTGTCCGTGTTTAATTCATTAATTAGATGCATAAAAATTAAGCTTATGTTATTTATAAAAATAAAATGTGGCATTAAGGGTAAGTTGTTTTGACATTTTGTGTGACAACTGTTTAAATGTGCTTAAGTTACTTTACTCAGTTCAATGTACTACTGTAAAATTGACAACAATAAGGAAACAATACTTTGCATTAGGCGCCAGGTAATTTGAGCCTTAGAAATTTGCATAACAGTACCTTGTGTAAATTAGGTCTAATGAATTCCCATCATTTTGTATTCAAGAGTAAACCGAAAGCCATAAAAATGCATTTTTATATAGATATTTTTTGATATAACTGGTTAGTATCTGTAAAATGTACAAAATACACGTTGCTATTAAAATATTTGATTTCAGAATTACCGTATGAAAGATAACATAATTGTTTTCGAGCGTAGCATTATGTCATTTTTTTAGAGACTCGCGTAGAGATTTTTGTTTAATTCTTTGATGTATTGTACTTTAATTTTTCATATTTAAATCCTTCTGTAACATTAATAAAAGCCAAAATAAAATCTGAAACTTGCTAACAAAAATTTTGACATGAAGTAACACAAATAGTTGTGTTAATAATTTCCGTAATTTCCAATTCAGTTGCAAATATATTTTAAATTTCTCGAAAAATTCTTTCAGAATTTGTACATCCAATTTTGGAGAAATGTTTCCTATTTTGAAAATCGTTTCCCCAATTTGTTGCAAAATTTGAGAAGGATTCTTGTTATTCAGACCTATTGGAATAAAAATTCCCGGACAGGAAGGAAAATTATTTAGACATAAATCTATTAAAATATCTCGATTTTTTAAGAAAAAATGAATTCTACAATGTTTTGAATCATTTACAAATACGATTGGCCCGATTTAAATTAAGTGATTAAAAAATCACTGATTTAAATCATGTTTCTCTTTTTTTTTAATTTCTCAGAAGTCTCAGATAATTTCCGAAAGTACTGATCAAATTTTATATTTATATTAGGATGATGAAACGCTAACCAAAAATATGATGACGTTACAAAATTGTACATAGTAAATGTGTTTTAAATTGTATATAAAATAACATAATCCTACATATGTAGTTTATGAGTCCGCTTTGAAATCTTGCAGATGTTGAAAAGTTATGAGTAGAAATCATTTGAAAACAGCACACCAATAAAGTTGCGCAGACGACCAATTCTGGTTCGGGCGAGTCCACTTTCAGATTTGAGGAGTGCTTTCATCTGTCACAGTCAGCTGTTTAGCCCGCAGTTTTTTTTTTCAGAGACTTTAGGGTAACCTAATAATTGGTAAATATAAAAATAAAAATTGGTATATTTTCAGTGCATTTTTCGATTTTTGCTGTACAACAATGTCAACAAAGAAATATTTCACGTTAACAACTGTATTTGCAGGTGAAGTAAATAATTAATGCAATTTTTTTTTCATTTTCAACATTTACATTGACCCCTAAAAGAACAAAAATCTCGACGCCACTGTTCGATTTTCTCCGCGCAGCTTTCGATGCCTCAGTGCTGTTTTCAAAAGATTTCTACTCTAAGCATGACAAATTTTTAACCAAAATATATTTGCTTATCCCCTCCAAAAAATTGATGACGTCGGCTCAAAATTTTGCCGAATAAATCCTGTCTAAAATGTGCAAAATATGAAATGTATATTTTTTAGATTAGCTTATACAGGGTGACTCAAAAAAATTATTGATCAGTCAATTTATTTTATTGAATTAATCAAGAATTGCAAAACTGAATACTTTAAAATCTTGCAGACGTTTTAAAGGTATTGTAAGCCTGGTAAGTTGTTAATCAAAATATATCCGCTTATTCCCCCCAAAAAATTGATGACCACATCTAAAATTTTTGCCCAATAAATCTACACAAAATATGATAAGTGCGTTAAAATACGTGAAAACGAAAATTAAAATCACTAAATAAAATATAAAGTGTTATCAAAAATTGAATAAACATAACTCCAAATCCAACTTTTGATTTTTCTTTGCCACTTTTAGAGTTTTAATACCGAATAACTAAAAATAAAAAAAAAACTGTTTTTTGTAATTATTTTTTATTAAACTAAAACATTTTTCCAACCCTGTTTACAAGCTATAAATTTATTTGAAAAAAGATCCAAAAATTAAGTAATTGGATTATTAAATACGTAATAACCTTATAACGGCAGTCACATACCTAAAATCAACCAATCGAAAATATCAGCAGGAATATAGGGCAAACATAAGCCAAACAAAGAAAGACATCGCGCTAAAAAAATAGATAAGATGCTGCGAAAATAAAAAAAAAACTGATCCTTTTGCTTTAACATTACATACATGTGTTTATTTCAACTTATAGGTTTTCTCATAAAAAAATAAAATTTGCAAAATCAAATTTTATAATTTTTCGAAAATGCTGGATATGTTTCACTTCATTGTTCTTCAGGGGTGAGGGAAGTTCTGTCGAAACAACCTTAGACAAATTTTCTTTTGTTTAGTTGAGTAGTTTTGTTTTCCTTATTTCCGTGACAACACATTCACAACTTCGCGGATGTAACGATGACATTGAGTAAGTAACGCAATTTTTTCCCCGTTTCAGATATAATCAATACTAAATTTCTTCCCAGTTTTTGAAAACCCGAAAATGAGATTTTTTTAACAATATAACTGTTTTTGTATGATAATTGACAATTCCATAGAAAATGGAGAAAATTTATCAATTCCACTAAAGGCGGGTTCAAATTTTTCGCAAACTTTTAATAATATTTACACTAAATTAAATATAACTTTAGTATTATCAAATTATTAAGAAAAAAGGGAAAGCAAATTTCTACGATTAGGTTAAAAAATAAAAATGTAAAAGCGCTCATGAGGAAATTTTAAACTAACGATTTTAGCCTAAGTAACGGTGGAATTCCTTATCTTTGAAAAAAATACTATGATCCAAAATAATTTAATCTAAATACCAATATCACGCACTTTTACAACTCCATCTGTTCGGTAAATGGAGTATGTGAATTGATATGTATATTTTGATTGTGATTATCTATATTTTGATATCGAGTTTAATATGTATATTTTGATATACATATATTGACGGATAAATCATTTTTCTTTTAAGTAAACACCATATTTTTGTATTTAATTTTATTTAAAGAAAGTTTATTGTATAAAAACCACTGAGTCGAGACTGGGGTAATGTCTCTCTGTTGCCAATTGTTGTATCATCTGCGTACAATACTGTTGAAAAGTGGGATAAATAATTAGGTAAGTCTCTGACATAAATCAAAAACAACACAGGCCCTAATATGGAACTCTATGGCATTTCGTACATAACTTTGTGTTAGATAATTTACCATCTACACTAACTACTTGATATCTCTTTGAGAGATCGGAAAGTACTAATTTAGTACCAAAATTATTAAAAAAAGTGCCCGTAATAATATGTTGTAGGATACACAACCAAAAGCTTTACTAAGGTCTAGCTAAAAAGTATTCACCATATTGTAAAGATTTAATCACATTATTAAAAAAATATTTATTATCAAAATATTTTGGTATTTGATCAAACATTAATGATTCAAAAACTTTTGAAAAGACAGGAAGCAAATATATTGGTCGATAATTATTTATATCATTAAGATCACCTTGTTTATGTAGGGGGATAAGACACAGACAGAAAATGTGGATTTTGTTTTAAAGGACACCTATATAAACTATGTACAAAAATAATTGGGGAACAGTTTTTTAAGTGTGATATGCCGTAATTTAAAATTTTTAGTTCAGTTTCAGAATTGCCAACTGAAGGTAAATTTGAAATTGTTTTCGTCCAGTACCTGCCAATTGTTTGGGCAAACCTCGTGAAATCATTCCTTTGAAGTTAATAAACTGTCGAAAACATACTTTAGTGTAATTTTTTTTTTTAATAGTGAAAATCACTGTGTTTTATTTTCGATGTTGTAAAACCGGTGAGGCGTATTTTCTCTATAGTTGTAGCCGACTCTGCTAAAAAATTTAAATAAGAGCTTGTGGATTTGGTGTTGACCGTCAAAAAGCAGAAAAGCAGCCGCCGCCTGCGAAAGTGACTTAACTTCCCCACCACCTGTAGTTATGCTGTAACCCGCACCCATTATGATTTTCTCTGTTCCGTGCAAGGCTCTGCCATACTAGCTAGCTACGCCGGCATCGTCAAGGGCAATCCCGTGGGCCAAATGTCAGGTACTGGTCAGTATAAAATCTACACTTAATGTTTCAATTATATAAATAGACATCGATAAACGCATCATAAACCCCTAACGCAGCACATTCTTGCGTTGTCTTTGTCTCCCTCATCGCACCCATAATCGTCTCTCATCATCCCAGTATCTCCTTAGTTGCTTATAGTTCCATTGCTTGGCCACTAGCAAACGATGCCGAATTCGGGCCCGAATTGCTGTGCCGGTGTCTCTTTAATCACGCTATCATCCGTTCGGTCGATTGGTGCGTTTTAAACGCGGATTCGTTTGTTTCTGCGCAGAGTCGGAGAAGCTGAGGGAGATGGCAGCAGCGACGGAGTCGCCGCCAAAGGGACCGTTCCACTTCAACGACGACCAGGAATACCCGCCCCTCACGCAGAACTCAGACTGAGGTCAGGACTCGAAGGATCAATATTGCAAGTACCAGGTGATGTTCGGTGTCATTCTCCTGATTCATTTCATCGTCAGGATTAGCGAGGATTTGATTATTTACTTGTTCAACTTGAACGGGTGACGTTTCTTTCATTGTAGTATTTCCGTTTTGAAATTTTTGTTTCAAGTATTGTCATGCCCAAAGTTTGTTTCATTTCATTACTGTAAGTTGCAAGAACAAAGCTCGTGTGTATTTGTTGACGCGTTTTTATTTATCATTTGTACAGGGTGTGCAAGAAACGCTCGTTTAGCATTTTTTGTTCAGTCGATTGTTTCTTGCTTGGACGCTCTGTGGGTAATTAATAAGTGAAATCCATATCAATCACTACACTAGTGTAATTTTTTTGTATGTTATTCCTAAGTAAATTATTTTGCAATTTCTTTAACTTAAGGTTTCTTTTACGAACCAGCCTGTTTTCTTTTTGGGTGTTTTACGTAAACAGAAATGTGCTTGGTGTCGCTCGTTACACAGCCACGCTTGCGCAGTCATTTTTCTGTTTAAGTAAAATTCAACTTAGTGGAAATTATAATTTATTAAATGTACTGTAAGGACCGAGTCATGGTTTAACCCTTATTTTTTTACACATGAGGGTATGTCTTGGGTTTGTTGCAGTAGATTTCAATTATCAAATTATTTGCGCACATTGTGCTGTGTACATAATAGGTTTAAGCGTGATAGAGTGTTTATAAAAACTGTGACTAGTATGATAAGGACAGATATTGTTATTGAACGAATGAAAGTGTGATACAATAATAATCATTTCATGGATAAATTCAGTGTTTCTTTTCCCGCCGAACCCACTCTCCTTGTGGGTGCGTAATAGCTTCATTACGTTACAGGTGATTTTTTTTTAATTGTATCCTCTTACAGCACTAAATTTGCTTGTCATCGTGGTGTATTTCATTTTTCTGCAGTTGAAAAGGTAAGGTAGAAATATGACGCTATATGTGGTGGTTTTTATCAGTTTAGTGGGTTTACAACTCACCTTCAGATTTCATTTGTTTATTTGCAACATTTGGTGGTTAATGTTTGCTATAAGACAAAGGTGTAAACTTTGCATATCCAGGCGTAAAAACTTATACTAGGGCCATTACTTCCACTGAACCAAGAATTAAATGCAATTCTTGCACGTTTTATTATCGCATTAAGTCCGTCGGCAGAGATAAAGCCCAGCTTGACTTTTACATAAAAACTGTTGTATATTTGTGGACAAAAAACCTAACCAAATAGAAAAATACAAAGCTCTTAAAAAACAATTGGGGATGTAGCGTATAATATGCGGCAGGTTTTTTTGGGCATAACGTCCTCTGTAGCAAGTTTGTTGGTTTCTCTTTTTCTTTGTGTGTGTAAATTTATGGTGTACAAACATTTGTATCGATTTCTAATACTTAATTTTCGAGTACTGGTAAGGTCACTTTTCCACTCTTGGGGTTCACCATTTTGTACATGAATTCATTCCGTCAATTTCAAAACACAACGTAAAGTTCCATCTTGTTAAGGTTATTATTATATTATTATAAACGGATTTAGAAGCTCTAACGCATAAATTAAAAAAAAATCTGAGATAGGATAGGTGCCAGTATTGTTGTACAACAATAAATATTTATCAGTGATCACAGATTTGAGGGTAATTTGAAACAAATAATCACAATGTAATGTATAGTGAGTATTCGGTGAAATTTTTCATCCCGTATTTTGAAAAATCAGTATCTCATTTATGGGAATTTCGGAGAGCGGTTTACACCACTGTTTCCAGGTTACACAACTCTTAGACATCACCAAAGAAATATCTTTTTTTTTGTGGAAAAAATGTGCTAAACCAGAAACAGACATATTTTTACAAAAATTAATGCAAGAAACTTACTATAATTTAAAATTTACTGCCCATCCGTACAAATAAATATGTAAAGTACTTGAATTCTCATCCAATAAAACAATTGCTTCTTCTTTCTGGAGGTGGTTTAGTGTTTTATTTTTTATGACTTTGAAAAAATCTTAAGTGCCGCAGTGTTTTTGTTTTTTAATTCGGGAGACTCTTAGCCAATAATACACCATGGGTAGCCACCCATGGTGTATTATTTTGGGAGCGCTTGGAGATTGTTTTGTAAATTATTTCAAACAATTTCTTCTTACTTTAGAGCGTAAGGTAGTATGTATGTAACGTAATTTCATGTAGATGTTTCGTGAATTTTAGAATATGAAAAAGTAGTTCTCCCATTTCGGCTATCTGTTCTCTGTGGTCTACTCACACTTTTATTGTTCTAATTTAACTGTTGTGAAATTATAAATATTATGTATTCCCACCAAAAATTTTAAGCTATCTAATTTTTTTTGAAGATTGAAAGAATCTTGAGCTGGTGTTTTATTAAAAAAAAAAAAAATATTTGACTCCACTGGTGTTTTATTTTTGAAGAAGTTTAAAGAATCTCTCTCTTATTTTTAAAGACATTAAAAAATGTCGGGGGTCCTGGTATTCTGTATTTACAAAAGTTTAAAGTATTTCAGGGGCCCCTGGTGTTTTATTTTTGAAGAAGTTAAGGATCTCAGGGGGCCCCCGGTGTTATTTTTGAAGAAAATTAAAGAGGTCCGTCGAGTTACATTAAAAAAAAAGATTCCCAGAAACCTGAAAGATCTAAAGAATCTAACGAATCTAAAAGATATGAAAGACATCAGGAATCTAAGCTTGTGAAATATTTCAGGCAGCTAAAGTTTATGAGGAGTTAAATAAATCTAAGATCTCCCAGAAATTAAAGGATCTAGAAGATTAATAGGATCTGAATTATCTAAGAATGTAGGTTACCTAAATTCTTCAGGGGATATAGTGCATCTAGAAGGTATTAAAGAACTTGATGGATCTAAACGATGTAAAGGCCCTACAGGATCCTAAAAGATGTGGAAGAATATGAAGGGTCTGGAATATGTGCAAGAGGTGAACGATTTAAGAATCTAAAAGGTCTAGAAGACTTAAAGGGTGTAGAAGATTTAGTGGATATAAACTTTCTGGTGGATTTAAAGGATCTAGATTAGCTAAAGTCTCTAAAGGATATAGAGGATCTGAAAGGATACAAAAAAAAAGTGAAGATGTCAAAGATCTAACAGACGTGAAGGACCTCACGGATTTAAAGAATGTGAAAGACGTCAAACAGCCAAAGCATCTGAAGAATATATGGAATATAAAATGTCTCAAAAGTTTAAAAGATTTACAAGATTTATAGAATCTGGATTATCTAGAGATATACGTTAGCTAAAGTCTTCAGAAGATAGAAAGAATCCAGAAGGATCTAAAGAACTAGACTAAACAACGTATGATCCTAAAGAACAGATTTAAAGGATCTAAAAGATGTGGAGGACCTTAAGAATGCAAAGACTGCGAAAGGTCTAAAATGTTTAAATAGTCTAGAAGATTCAGAGGATTTCGATTATCTGGCGAATTTAAAGGATCTAAATTAGATCAAATTTCTAGGATATTTGGTAGGATCCAAAAGACTTAAACGCTTTAAATGATCTAAAAGATCTGACAGATCTCAAACGGCGAAAGAGAATCCAAAATATCTCAAAACATTTCGAAGATCTCGAGTATTTACAGTGTAGTATTTGTTAAGATAAGACCGATTTTGGCAAATGATATGATATTCGTTAATAAAATAAAGGGTGGGTGGGCGGGGTTTGTACTTGTTTAAATAAGACTAATTTTGGCAAATGATATATCCTCTAAGAAAATAAAGGGTGAGTGGGTGAGGCTTGTACTTGTTAAGATAAGGCTAATTTTGGGAAATGATATCTTTTAAAAAAATAAAGGGTGGGTGGGCGGGGCTAGTACTTCCTAACTAGCCCCGCTTACCCGCCCTCTATTTTCTTAGAGAGTATGTGATTTACCAAAGTCAGTCTTATCGTAAAAAGTAACAGCCCAACCTCCAGCCCCCTTTATTTTCTTAGAGGGTGTATTATTTGCCAAAATCAGTGGTATTTTACGAAGTACTAGCTAGTACAGTACTATCTAGTACTTCGTAAGATAAGACTGATCTTGGCAAATAATACACCCTCTAAGAAAATAGAGTGGGGTGGGCTGGGCAGTGCTAGCTAAGATAAGACTGAATTTGGCAAATGATGTACCCTCTAAGAAAACAGAAGGCGGGTGGGGGGTGCTAGTACTTCGTAAGATGCGACTGATTTTGGCAAATAATACACCGTCAAAGAAAATAGAGGAGAGGGGGGGGTGGGCTGGGCTAGTACTTGCTACGATAAGAATGAATTTGGCAAATGATATACCCTCTAGGAAAATAGAACGCGGTTGGGCGGTGCTAGTACTGCGTAAAATGCCACTGATTTTGGCAAATAATACACCCTCTAAGGAAATAGAGGGGACGGGTGTGCTGTGCTAGTACTTGCTAAGATAAAACTGAATTTGGCAAATGATATACCTTCTAAGAAAATAAAGGGCGGGTGGGCGGGGCTAGAACTTCGTAAGATACGACTGATTTTGGCAAATAATATACCCTCTAGGAAAATAGAGTGGGGTGGACTGGACTAGTAATAGCTAAGATAAGACTGAATTTGGCAAATGATATATCCTCCAAGAAAATAGCGGGTGAGTGGGCGGGGCTAGTACTTCGTGAAAGTGCTTTGGAGCCTCTAGTCTATTTTTTTTATAATAATTTAATTGAGACTTTCTTAGCAGATACTAGCCCCGCCCACCCGCCCTTTCTTCTCTTATAGGGTATCTCATTTGCCAAAATCAGTCTTATCTTGGCAGCTATCAGCCCCGCCCACCCACCCTCTCTTTTCTCAGAGGGTATGTCATTGGCAAAATCAGTTTTATCGTAGCAAGTACTGTTGACTAACTTTTACAAAAAATGATCAAAATTTTGAAACATTACGAGCTTACTTATATGCACAAGGCAGGAATTTTGAACATCTTCTCTAGTGTTTAGTTGGTTATGTTTCAATGGATTTTTCTTTTATTGGTTTTGTTTTTGTTTATAATTTATCTTTATTAAGTAAGTGATTTTTTTGGTTTATTTATTAATGAAAAATAACAGGTTGTTTTATTAATAATAATGCACAACGATTAATGACTACTGGTTCTAAAAAAAATAAAAGGTGGATTTCAGTCACCATCGCTACTAAGAAATCAGAAAGTAAGCCTAAGGTATTCACGCATTAGGTCCGTGCAGTGTTGCCAGTTTTACTTTTAGAAAATTAGGTTTTTCTCGTAATATACATCATAAAGAATTTTTTTATTATTTTTTTGGGACTCCCGAAACCCCCGTACATAACGTATTGAAGTATTAATCCGCCATTTTCTGGACACCCTGTATAGTAGGGTAAGTATAGCAATCGCTGAAAAAGCGTCGATGCATGTAAAATAATAGAAGTATGTATATTTTTATATAAACTATCAACATTTTCTGCTACATATTTACATCGGAGGGTTTATTAATACACTTACTAAGATAAAACTGATTTTGGCAAATGTTATACCCTCTAAGAAAATAGAGGGCGGGTGGGCGGGGCTAGTGCATGCTAAGATGAGACTAATTTTGGCAGATGACATACCCTCTAAGAAAATAATGGTCGGGTAGACAGTGCTAGTAAGACTGATTTTGGGAAATGACATACCCTTTAACAAAATAAAGGGCGGGTGGGCGGCGCTAGTACTTGCTAAGATATGACTGATTTTGGAAAATGATATATCCTCTAGGTCTTCTAGAGAAAACAGTATGTAGCATAGAGTGACATTTTTTATAAATAAAGAAGACAACTTTTAAAATGCAAAACAGACGATGAGAAAGCAAAAGGAAACTGAAAAAACGTGATGAATAAACAAAAAAAAAAACGAGTAAATAAAACAGCACAGCAACAGAGGATAAATAAAACACTAATAAATGAAACTTTAAGTGTGCATAATCAGTAAACTTTCCACACTCATGGATGTTAAGATGTCTTTTCCTTGGTATTGTTTTTTTTTCTGTCGTAATGTTATTTTATTTTACTTTTGCTTTACTTAAAATAAACAGCTATCGCTTTTTATTTTGAACATTCTTCAAACTATGATTAAGTGAAACCCACCCAATTTTTTTTCAGAAAAATGTCATTTTTTTACCAAAATATCATTTTTATTAATTTGTGACAATTTAATTTATTTTTGTTTCTTTGAACTAATAATTTAATTATATATTTCGTTTGTGTAGTTCTACTTTTACGTTTTCTCGACCTTTCAAGACCCCTACAGTACGAAGAAATAGGTCTCCTGTTTCCGTCCGTCTGTCTGTCCGGATTTTTATTAGACAGAAACTACTTGTTCGATTGTTGTCAAATTTTATATGTATATTACGAATATTTAGATAAAACTCTAACCAAACTTTGTCTAATCATGCCCACGTCACTTGAAGTGATGACGTCACTACAAAATTGTAGATAGTAAATGAGTTTTAAATTGTACAAAATAACATAATCCTAGACATGTAGTTTCTGACTCCGTGTTGAGTTTTTAAAACTCGAAACATCCAGATTTTTGGAAAAAAGTCAAAATTATAAAACATTTTGCAATTTAATTTTGAATCTGCAAAACCGAATATGTAGGTACTTTAAAATCTTGCAGATGTTTTAAAGTTATTATGATAAGCATAATAATTTTTTAATCAAAGTGTTTTTACTTATCCCCTCGAAAAAATTAATGACGTAAGTTCAAAATTGCGAATAAATTCTATCTAAAATGTCCAAAATATGATGAGTCCATACTTGTGATTTATCATTCCATTCATATTTTTTGGATCTGCTTATACAGGGTAACAAATAATTAATGAATGCGTGAATTGATTTTATTGATTTAATCAGGAATTGCAAAATCAATTGCTTTGAAATCTTGAAGATGTTTTCAAGTTAACATAAGCATGGTAAATTTTTGATCACAATGTCACCTGAAAATATTGCCGAATAAATCCTTAAATGTGCAATATTTGATCAGTGATTTATGACTGCATTAATATTTTTTTAGATTTGCTTATACAGGGTGATTAAAAAAATAATGAATCAAATAATTGTACGGAATAAATCAAGAATTGCAAAACTGTAACAATAATAAAAAATAAGACCCTTTTGTTGCTATAGAAACGAAAGATGACCTTTGTATCAGAGGCGTACAACGAATTTGGACATGAAGTTTAATAATTTTTATCTCTAAAAGGAGAACACTTTTACTTACCTGAACTTTTTTTTAATTTTAGCACCCATACTTCGAGACCAATTGCCGATTTTATTTTGTACGTACCTTTCAATAACACGCTGTATATGTCTCTTCCCCGCAAAAAAATGATGACGTCATCTCAAAATTTTGTCGAATAAATTCTATCCAGAATGCGCAAAATATGATTAGTTTTTAGTTGTGATTTATCATTGCATTCATATTTTTTATATTTGCATATACAGGGGGCTTAAAAAAATAGTGAATGGGTCAATTTATTTTATTGATTAAATCAGGAACGGCCTACTCCATTTTCCCACTTCCCTTTAAAGATCGGATTAGTCTAGACCGGCTGAGATGTAAATAATCTCGAGTCTGTATATTTGGTTGCCTATTCTAACAAAATCTTCCAATTTATTTTTTTCATTTTTTTGCTATAACTTAAACAGTAATAATGTTATAAACAAATAAAAAATTCAGTTCAATATCCAATAAAATTCTCTACAAGACGATTGATGTTGTCGTATCAAAAAACTCCATATAAAACGACCTTTCCTATTTACTTTTTAATTTTTCTAAGAAAAACTACAACAAAATTTGGTAAAACAACATTTCTTTTCAGGAAATTAAAGGATGTTTCAATTACTACCTAAAGCTTACCTAAAAAAATTAAAAGTAATTTCATTAACGATACCAGTAGTTTGTGTATTCTGTTTCGTAATGAACGTACCATACGACCCAAAAAAAAAAAAAATCAAGGATACTTTGGATTTTTTTTTTAACTCCCTGCAATCAAACGTTCATCGTATTGAGTAGTCACGTAAGCACGCTGTATTTTTAAGGACGCAGCCATTTTTTGACTTTTTAAGGTTAGCTGGAATTCTCTAAATTTATTTATATTTCTTTTGACTGCCCCAGTGTAAGCGAAAGAAATATTGTAATCGAGTCCAATGAGCGACTTGCTACTTTAATGCTTTTTCGACGTTTCATGTCCCCTATAATACGAAAAAATTAATAGACAAATTGTTGTCAAATTTTCTGTATATTAGGAACAACATGTAAATAGCAAAACGCTAATCAAAATCTGACGTAATCATTCCCACCAAGAATTTACTGACATCATCTCAAGAGATTTCATATTAAAACACGTCTCAAAGTGTTATCAAATAACCAAACGAAAACGAAAGTTCCGAAAATTTATTTAAAACGTATTAAACGATACACTAGAGAATACAGATTTTTGTAAAAATGAGTGAAGTCCAAAACGTCACGTGTTGCGTACGTAATTTTTTCTATCATCGGGTCAAACCTATTATTTCAATTGAAAGCTCTTCCGTATTATTATTTTTCTGAGGGGACCCAATAAGAATATTATACTTAAAGGATGTTTCAATACTTAAAAACTTCCCGCAAAAATTTTAAAGTTTGTGAATTCTGTTTTGTGTGATCGAAAAAAAAACGTGTCAAGTACGCTTTGAAATTTGTTTTTTAAATTGTACTGGCAGCAATGGTGATTTCTGTTATTTTCGGACGAGAAGTGTCACGTTTAAATTAAAGGATAAATTTGGTGGTAGCTCCATATTTTCACAGCTTCTAAAATACAATTTTTCTTTTTTAATTTTTTAAAAAAGCGGGATCTGTTGAACTGTATCTGCTTAAGGAGCAAGGGAAGTCTTGTCGAAATAACTTTCAATCAATTTTTATGCTCTAAAATACCCTCATTCCTCACTAGAAGAAGGAAGGTTCATGGACGAATATTAATACAAATGGATTTAAGCGCGTGTATAAAAACTGTGACTGGTATGATAACGACAGATATTGTTATTGAACGAGTGTAAGTGCGATGCAATAAAATCATTTCATAGATAAACTTTCAGTATTTCTTTCCCCACCCAACACCCTCCTGTGTGCGTAATAGCTTCATTACTTTACAGGTGAGAAAGCAACACGCAAACTCTTACTAATTTCAGCTCATACTCCCCGTGCGTAATGTGTAATTTTATGTCAAAATGCAAGCATGTTTTTTATTGTTCATCACGATTGGGCACATTTTAGCACATTTTTCTAACATTTTAAGTATTTCTACAACCTGACACGACATAGGTAACACAAACATTGATCATAAAAACTTAAAAACTGTATGGTTCCATTCAAGGTTATACAAAATAGTTGGTGATATGCTATGATCTGACGATCTAAGTGGTTAAGTTACAGTGAGCCTTAAAATAAAACAACATTCACTCGTCCGAGTTTGTGTCCTGTGTTTAGGATATGTGGTGTACATAAACGGATTTAGAAGCTTAGGGTGCTTTTATAAAAACCTGAGATAGTATGATAAGGACTGAGGCCGATTTTGTTGTACGAATGACAGTGTGGTACAATAATAATCATTTCATGGATAAGCTTGTTTTATTAAGTAACGTACGAAGAGTCTCAAAACGTTATCACCGTACAATCAAACACTAACAACAGAACGAAAAAGAAAATAAAAGTTCCGGTAATTTATTTACAATGTATTTAACGATAGACCAATAAATAGACGCCGTAGAAATATAATTTTACACAATTTAGAAAAATATTTGGATCATGCTCCGCCTCACCAAACTGCTATTCGTGACTGTGGAAATGTAAATGAGAATTAAAAAACTAAAGATTTACAAGTGTACTATAACCATTAAACGATATTTTACTTCTGCCGCCACGTCCCGTGCTCCAGATTTATGCAGGTTGTGACTAATCTGAAACAAATAATACAGAATATAGTATAAAACAAAACTCAGAGTGTGTTAAAATGAAAAGTTTGCACGTGTTGCGTACGTCATTTTTTCTACGTTCTGATCAAAGTTATCAAACGAGATGTTCCACCTTTCACTGCCTACTTGAAATTCTCGTGAAATGCGTGTTGATTGACATGTGACAGATTAACATTATATAAATTTACGTCGTGCCAATTTGGTGCTTAATTCAACCTAGTTCGTGGTTTTGGTAAGCAATCGAAACGAGTTTCGCCTCCAATCGATTCAAAATGCTATTGAACTCTGCTACTCACCGCGACTGTATGTTAATAAACCATCAGCATGTTTTTTACTTCCTGAGCGTGAGCTGATCGTCCCCACCACCACTATATTGACGTCATCTTCGAAATTTACAATAATACAATTTTTTAAATTTTATAAAATAAAATATTGCACTTATAATGGATGAATCCCTGTTGAGTTTTCACCCTTGGACATCCAGATTTTTTGAAAAAAATCAAAATTGTATAACAATATTTTGCAATTAAATTTGAAACGTGCACTACCGAATGCTCTGAAATATTGCGAACGTTTTAAGGTTATCGTAATCATGGCAACTGTTAATTTATATCGTAAATCCCCTCCCAAAAAACTGATGACGTCAAATTAACATAATGCCTAATAAATTCTCTCTGAAATATGCAAAACTTTATGAGTATGTACTAGTGATTTATCAATGCACTCATAGCTTTTAGAATTATACAAGGTGACTCAGAAAAATTTTGTTTTTTTCATTTTCTTTCATTTTTCAAGTTTTCCACTTTTCAATGTTTCAGTTTAATAATTTTTCGTTTCTTCAATTCGATATTACAATTTTAAACATTTTTCAATTTTGCAATTTTTTGGATTGATAATTATCCAATTTTCCGATTTCTTTATTTTTCAAGATTTCGATTTAAAGTTTCCCGGGTTTTTAATTTTCGTTTCTTTTTCATGTTTTTGTTTTCCAATTTTAGATTTTTCGAAGTTTTCATTTCATACTTTTTCTTTTTTCATTGTTGATTTTTCAATTTTACAATTTTTCCATTTTTTTTATTCAAAAAGTTGAAAAACCAAAAAATTAGAAAAATAAAAAAACACAAAATTTAAGAATCTAAAAATTGAAAATCCAAAACTAGCAAATCGAAAAAAATAAAGAAAAAAAAAACTGAAACTGAAAACTGCAAACCGAAAAATTGAATAACAATTTAAAAATCTAAAAGTTCAAAAATCGAAAAATTTAAACATTCAAAAGTTGGAAAATCGAAAAACTGAAACATTTTAAAATGAAAACTAGAGGAGTTCCATACCGTAAAAATTGAAGAAAAAAAAAATGAAAAACTGAAAAAAATGAAAAATTATAAATTGAAAATTAGAAGATATCGAAAATTAAAGAATCGGAAAATTGAAAAATTAAAAAATTGCAAACTCGGAAAATTTTATATGGAAAAATGGCAAAATCTAAAAATTTAAGAAACGAAAAAAATAAAAACTGAAAAATCACAAATCTAACAACTGAAGAAACGAAAAAAATTGAAAAAGCTTAAACTGAAATAACAAAAAATTGGAAAATCGAAAAACTGAAAACAACGGAAAATTGCAAAATCGAAAAACTGAAGAAGCGAAAAATTGAAACATTGTAAAAAATGAATCTAAAAATTGGATGGTAGAAAAAACTAATCGAATCGAAAAACTGGAAAATCCAAAAATGATATCTGAAAAAAGATCGAAAAATGAAAAAGTTTTAAAATCCAATAAGTGAAAAATGAATAAACTCTAAAAACGTAATTAAAATGAAAACTATAAAAAATTCAAACATTCACGAAATGAAAAATTGAAAATCGAAAACTCGCAAATCGAAAAATTGAAAAAAAAAATGAAGACATCAAAAATTGAAAATTCGAAAATTGAATATTCAAAATTTAGAAAATCGAAAAACTGAAAAACTTTAAAATGAAAACTAGAGCAGTTCCATATCGTAAAAGTGAAGAAACAAAAAAAATGAAAAACTGAAAAAATTGAAAAAACGCAAAATTGTAAAATGAAAATTTGAGGAAATCGAAAATTAAAGAATCGGAACATTGAAAAATTAAAAAATTGCAAACTCGAAAAATGTTATAGTGAAAAATTGCAAAATCTAAAAATTTAAGAAACAAAAAAATAAAAATTGAAAAATCGCAAATCCAACAACTGAAGAAACGAAAAAAATTGAAAAAGTTAAAACTAAAATAACAAAAAATTAAAAATTTGGGAAAAACTGAAAAAACGGAAAATTGCAAAATCGAAAAACTGAAGAAGCGAAAAATTCAAACATTGTAAAACTAAAAATCAAGAAACTTAAAAATAAAAAAAAAATGCATCCAAAAATTGGATAGTAGAAAAACTAATCGAATCGAAAATCTGGAAAATCCAAAAATGATATCTGGAAGAAGATTGAAAAATCGAATAAATGAAAAAGTTTTAAAATCCAATAAGTGAAAAATGGAAAAACTCTAAAAACGTAGGTAATCAAAATGAAAACTAAAAAATTCAAAAATTCATGAAATGAAAAATTGAAAACCGAAAACTCGCAAATCGAAAAATTGAAAAAAAAATGAAGATATCAAAAATTGAAAATACGAAAACTGGACATCCAAAATTTAGAAAATCGAAAAACTGAAAAATTTTAAAATGAAAATTAGAAGAGTTCCAGATCGTAGAATTGAAGAAACAAAAAAATTGAAACACTGAAAAATTTTAAAAATTACAAAAATAACAGAAAACCGAAACGAAAAATCGTTACTTGAAAATTTGAAGAAATGGAAAATTAAAGAATCGGAAAAATTAAAAATTAAAAACTGGAAAAATTTAATATCGAAAAATTTAAAGCTGAAAAACAGACAATTGCAAAATCTAAAAATGGAAAATCCAAAAATTGCAAATAGAAGAACTGAGGAAACAAAAAACTGAAACACTGAAAAACTAAAAATCGTGAAATTTAAATGAATCAAAAAATTGGAAAAAAAAATCGATCGTCAAATTTGTCTAAAAACTGTAACAGTGAAAGATCCAAAAACTGAAATATTAAATATCGAGAAATTGAAAAATTAAAACTCGAAGCATTAATAACAATATTGAAAAATCGAATAAATAAAAATGTTCAACATCCAATAAATTAAAAAAGTGAAAATTTTAAAAACTTATAATTAATTATTATTACATATTTAAAATTAAAATAGAAAAAATGCAAATCAAAAATTGCAGAAACAAAAAAATTAAAAAATGGGGAAACTGAAAAATCTAAAATTGAAAAAATAAACGATTAAAAAATCTAGTAGATGGAAAACGAAAAACTGAAAACCGAAAAAATACAAATCGAAAAACTGAAAATCCAACAATTTAAAAATTTCACGTTGAAAGAAAGATTATAAAATCAGAACATTGAAAAACCGAAAAAATAAAGAAAATAAAAAACCGAAACGAAAAATTGCAAATGGAAAAAGTGAAAACATGACAAATTGAAACATCAAGAAGTTAGGAAAATTGAAAACTGAAACATTTCAAATCGAAAAATTGAAAAATCCAAAAATTGGAACATTTCACATTGAAAAAAAAACATTGAAAAGTCGAAAAACTGAAAAAATAAAGAAAATAAAAAACCGAAACGAAAAATTGTTAGTTGAAAATTTGAAGAAATGGAAAACTAAAGAATCGGAAAATTGAAAAATTAAAAATTGAAAACTTGAAAAATTGCAAAATCTAAAAATTTAAGAAACAAAGAAAATAAAAAATTGAAAAATCGCAAATCGAAAAATCAAAAAATCGGAAAAAGTTGAAAAATCGAAAAACTGAAAAAACAGAGAATTGCAAAATCCAAAGTGGAAAATAGAAGAACTGAGGAAACAAAAAACTGAAACACTGAAAAGCTAAAAATCGAGAAATTTAAATGAATCAAAAAATTGTAAAGAAAAAACGATCGAATCGTCAAAATTGTAAAGTCTAAAACTGTAACACTGAAAGATCGAAAAACTGAAATATTAAATATCGAGAAATTGAAAAATGAAAACTCGAAGAATTAAAAAAAATTGAAAAATCGAATAAATAACAATGTTTAATACCCAATAATTGAAAAATAGAAGAATTCTAAAAACGTAAAATTGAGAAAGTGAAAAATTTTAAAAATTATAATTAATTATTATTACATATTTAAAATGAAAACTAGAAAAACTGCAAATCAAAAATTGAAGAAAGGAAAAATTGAAAAATGAAGAAATTGAAAAATCTAAAATTGAAAAAACAAACAATTAAAAAATCTAGGAGATGGAAAATCGAAAAATTGAAAACCGAAAAAAAAGAAATCGAAAAATTGAAAATACAAAAATTAAAAAATTTCACATTGAAGATTATAAAATCAGAACATTGAAAAACCGGAAAAATAAAGAAAATAAAAAACCGAAACGAAAAATTGCAAATCGAAAAAGTGAAAACATGACAAATTTACTCATTCAGAAGTTAGGAAAATTGAAAAACTGAAATTTAAAAATTGCAAATCGAAAAATTGAAAAAATAAAGAAAATAAAAAATTCACAACGGAAAAATTGAAAATTGAAAATATGGAGAAATGAAAAATTAAAGAATCGAAAAATTGAAATTTCGAGAAATTTTAAAATAAAAATTGCAAAATGTAAAAATTAAAAAAAAGAAAAATTGAAAACACCACAAATTATAAATTCGATAACTGAAAAATCGAACTTTTGAAATAGAGAAAACAAAAAACCGGAACGAAAAATTGCAAGTCGAAAAAATGAAAACTGAAACATTGCAAATCGAAAAACTGAAAAAACCAAAAACTGGAACATTTCACATTGAAGAAAAGAACATTGAAAAGTCGAAAAACTGAAAAAATAAAGGAAATAAAAACCCGAAGGGAAAAATTGTTAGTTGAAAATTTGAAGAAATGGAAAATTAAAGAACCGGAAAATTGAAAAATTAAAAATTGAAAACTCTAGAAATTTTATACCGAAAAATTGCAAAATCTAAAATTTAAGAAACAAGAAAAATAAAAATTGAAAAATCGCAAATCGAAAAACTGCAGAAACGGAAAATTGAAAAAATTAAAGCTGAAAAACAGATAATTATAAAATCGATTAGTGAATAATCGAATAATTGAAAAAATAAAAACCGAAACGAAAAAAATTAAAGTATCGAAATTTTGAAAACTCAAGAAATTCTAAATCTAAAAATTGAAGAAACGAAAAATTGAAAATTGAAAAAAAAAATTATAAAATCGATAACTGAAAAATCGAATCACTGAACAAATCTAGAGAAAACAAAAAACCGAAATTAAAAATTGCAAATCGAAAAAATGCATAATTAAAAATTGAAAACTCGACAAACTCGAATCGAAAAATTGAAAAATTCAAAAAGTGGAAAATTGAAAAACCGAAAAATTTAAACCGAAAAGCTCGAAAAATTGCAACTCGAAAAACTGTCGAAATAACCTTCGACCAATTTTTATTTCAAAAATTATAGTCAAAACTAGTAACATTTTTCGGTCTTCATTGATTTTGACAGGTCACATGCAAAAAATATATCCTTAAAAATTGTCGAACTTCGTTCATTGTAGCAATTTTGATTTGGTCTACTTAGTTTTCAATACGAATTTTGCGAAACGAACTTTTTTTGAAATGTATTAATTAATCCCCTCTGGAGAGTACCTGACGTCATCGCAAAAAAAACGAGCACAACCCTCACATTTTCAACACCCTATAAAAACTAAAACCCACCTCAATGAGGCGCCGACCTGGGAAGACTGCACATCTCGCAGTTACTCATATCCGAAGTATTCAAGAAAGTGCAGTGCGAGCACGTCCACCGCCCCTGGCCGCCGCTCGAAGAACTGGCCCCGGCGTTCACACTCCCGGAGGCCACGCTGCCAGGTCTACAACAAAAAGCATTACTCCCTCACATCGTCCACCCCCGACCCTTACCTCGACGGCGGCGGCGAGCTGGCCGCGATCAGTTGTTCGATGGTGGCCCAGTGCTCGGACCTCGACCACTCCTCGGCGGCGCTGGCGTCCCTGTTCTTGAGCGCCCGCAGCAGCGGCCCCATGTACTCCTTCATGGGCAGCATGTCCATGGTCGCGATGTACAGCAGCAAGTGGAAATCGTTGATAGCCGTGAAGAACTCGCTGGGGCCGAACTGCGACAGATACTGGTTGAGGGCGTTGAAGTCTTGGATGTCTCCGTCGAGGAGGCGGTTTTCCACGGGGAAAGGCTGCTTCGTTGGATCCGAATTGAACGTGTACGTCGGGGTGACTGGGGTCGAGGCTGGGACGTCCAGTAGGAGGTACTCCACGGGGAGGGGCCGGCCTAGGCGCGAAACTTCGTTGCCGTAGGTGTCTTTTTCCTGGGGGACGAAAATGTAAAATTATTATTATTATTATTAAGTGTATATTATCATAGAAGTTATAACTAAGGCTCGGATAATATGCAAATCCTAAAGGATGTTTTCGTCTGTCTGTCTGTCTGTCTGTCCGTCTGTCTGCAGTCCCAGATTTTTATTAGACAGATAATCTTAGAAAGTACTGGGCCGATTGTTGTCAAATTTTGTATTTATATTAAGAATATCATGTAGATGGTAAAACGCTAACCAAAATTTGTATAATCATCCCCACCAATAATGTGATGACGTCACTTCAAAATTGTACATAGTAAATGGGTTTTAAATTGTATGAAATAACATAGTCTTACACATGTAGGATATGACTCCGAATTGACTTTGTACCCGAAACGTTCAGGTTTTTGGAAAAAAATCAAAATTATGAAACAACATTTTGACATTTAATTTGGAATTTGCAAAACCGAATGCTTTGAAATCTTGCAGATGGTTTACAGTTATGATAATCATGATAAATTTTTAATCAAAATACATTTACTTATAATTAATAGTTTACAAATCCCCTGAAAACTTTAACGTTGACAACGACATAAAAATAGAACACAAGTGTTAACAACTTACAACTTTTGCGATTAATAATTAATGCTTTAGCGCGGTTTTTACTTGGCGTCAATTATAAATAATTGTTAATTAGAATCGATAATCATCGGGGAGACTAAAAGTTTTATAAGGTGAGTAGGTAGTTAAAAATCCGGCCTACGTAGTCTGGCTAATTTAGACCGAATTGAGCGATTATTGGTAGTGTAGCCGGTCGGTTAATGCATAAACATCGATTGGTTAATACGATAAAAGCGAACGTTAAGTGATGCCGAAATAACGTAAAAATACCCTGCCGAATTTTACCCTTTCGGGCTTGAAGCGGTGGATGAAAGTGTGCGGATTGGGAAATCACAAATCTTTAAGGCGCTACTTTTTACAAGGAAATTAATCTTTTTGTAGAAAAAAATTGCGCAGAAGCAGCTGAAAATTGTCTTTTACGATTAAACTTGGTGATGTTACAAAACAATGTGTCGGCTAACATGTATTTGGTGAGCCTCTGAGACTAAGGAAGTTCTGTCCAATTTTAGACCAAATTTTGAAAAAAAAAAAAAAATTTTTGTAAATATTTATCTCACAAGTTGCTGTCAAAATTTCTGCATATAGTAAAAGTTTTATGTGATTTGTTCATATTTAATGTATGTGTGTATATACATATTCATGTAGATTTAATATACGTATATAATGAAAAATCGCAAATCGAAATACTCAAGATATGAAAAATTAAAAAAAATCAAAATTGAAAAAACAAAAAATTATAAAATCGATAACTGAAAAATCGAATAATTGATCAAATAAAAGAAAACCGAAACGAAAAACTGAAAAAATAAAAATTAAATATCGAAAAACTAAAAAATTGGGCAACAATTGAAAAATCAAGAAACTGAAAAAACCGAAAAAGCAGAAAATCGAAAAATTGCGAATCGAAAAACTGGAAAACCCAAAAATTGTAAAATCGAAATGATAGAATCGTCAAAATTGTAAATTTTTTTGTCTCTTTTGGAACTTTTGTTTGTGTTAAATCGTTATTATTACTATTATTATTTCCAATTTTTAGATTTTTCAAAATTTTCATTTATACTTTTCGTTTTTTTCATTTTTGAATTGTCAATTCTACAATTTTGCAATTTTTCCATTTTTTTTGTAAACTGGAAAAGTTGAAAGATCGAAAAAAAATCCGAAAAAATAGAAACATCAGAAACCTAAAAATTGAGAAATTTAAAAATAGAAAAAATTAATGAATGGAAAAATTGGAACGAAGCAAAAACGAATCGAATCGAAAAATTGAAAAACTCAAACGTTGTAAATTCGAAAAATTGAAAAATTAAATATCGAGAAATTCAAAAATTTTAAATAGTAAAATTGAAGAAGTGATAAATTTTAAAAATTATAATTATTATATATGTATATACTTAAAATAAAAATTGGAAAAACTGTAAAGCAAAAATTGAAGAAACAAACACTGAAAAATCCTAAGTTTTAAATTAATTTTTTTAATTCAAAAAGTTGAAAAATCGAAAAATTAAAAATTGAAAACCTAAAAAGATCTAAAAAAATAAAGAAATAGTAAAACTGAAAAAACAAAAATTGCAAAATCGAAAATTCCAAATCTAAGAATTGAAAAACGAAGAATTGAGACATTGAAAAACTAAAAATTAAGAATCTTCAAAATCGAAAAAAATTAATGGAAAATTGTAAAGTCGTACTTTAGGTACCTGTAACACTGAAAGATGGAAAAACTGAGAAATTAAATATGAGAAACTGAAAAATTAAAAAATCGAATGAATGAAAAATTTTAAGTTTCAAAAATTGTAAAATAGGAAAATTCTAAAAACGTAAAATTGAGAAAAGTGAACATTTTTTAAATCATAATTACTATTACACATTGAAACTAAAAAAATTGCAAATCAAAAATAGAAGAAACGAAAAGTTGAAAAGTCGAGAAACTAAACAATCTACAACTGAAAACCTAAAAATTGCAAATCGAAAAATTGAAAAAATAAGGACAACAAAAAACCCAAACGAAAGAGAAAGGGAGACATAAAAAATTGAAAAATTAAAAATTGAAAACACCTGAAACTACACATCCAATAACTGAAACATCCAAAAGTGGGAAATCGAAAAACTGAAAAATTGTAAAATGAAAACTCGAAGAGTTGCATATACTGAAATTAAAGGAACAAAAAATAAAAAAAGAAAAATTGTAAACATTCAAATTGAAAAAACAAAAATTATAAAATCGGACACTGAAAAACCAAAATTGTAAATATATATAAAAAAAAAAAACCGAAACGATAAATTCCAAATTGAAAATTCAAAGAAATGAAAAATTAAAGAATCAAAAACTGAAAACTCGAAAAAAAATTGGTCTAAAGAGTTTAGACAGTACTTCCCTCGCTGTCGGAAACTTGACGACTGCATGCCTATTGTGTTTTTTTTCTCATTACATTTTTGTAGTGGGAATTTAAAAAACAAATTGCGATGACGTCATCAACATTTTTGCAAGGACACGTATATCAGTTGGGATAGATGTAGTGTAATACTAAGAACAAAATTATTATATTCTCAAATTTTCGGGAAAATGAATTGGGTCGTTTTGAATATTGATTTGTAATAATCAATAAAATAACGAAACAATTTACTCGCGTATACGTATCAGAGGCAACTGAAAATCGTGTATGTATAAACATTCTTAATTTAAGATGACAGGCGTAACAGCATACGTGAGAGTCAAACAGAGAAACTGTAAACAAAACGACCATCGGTTTTATTGCTTCGACTTCCGCTTATTATATAAAACATTGGGTTTTATTTTAATTCTTGACGGTGAAATTCACAATTGGTTGATTATAAACATGTCTATTTCACATTCGCGGAACCAAGTGAGCGCATAAAACAAATGCAGGTCTGTAATGTTAAAGTCGATATAAATAAGCGTGCTACCCTTATGTTTCAACCGAGTTTTTCCTTTAACAAATTTTGTGTCTACCAAATTGGGTTGGTTGGGGTGTAATACTAATAATAAGTGTTGCCTTTAATTTAATCAATAAAATAAATTGATTTCATTAATTTTTTTGAACCACCTCTTAAGAAAATCTAAAAAATATGAATGGAATGATAAATCACAAGTACAAACTCATCATATTTTTTGCATTTTAGATAGGATTTATTCAGCAAAATTTGAGGGTGACGTCATCAATTTTTTTAGGAGGGATGAACAAATACATTTTGAACAAAAGTTTACCATGCTTATAATAACTTTAAAATATTCCCAAGATTTCAAAGCATTCGGTTTTCTAATTCCTGATTAAATCGATAAAATAAATTCACGCTTTCATTAATTTTTTTGAGTCACCCTGCATATGCAAATCCAAAAATATGATTGGAATGATAAATCACAAGTACAGACTCATCATATTTTGTACATTTTAGATACGATTTATTCGGCAAACTTTTGAGCTGACGTCATCAGTTTTTTGTAGAAGATAACCAAATATATTCTGACTAAAAATTTATTATGCTCTTTATAACCTTAAAACATCTGCAAGATTTCAAAGCATTCGGTTTTGTAGTTCCTGATTAAATCAATAAAATACATTTACGCATTCATTAATTTTTTTGAGTCACCCTGTATATGCAAATCGAAAAAATTTGAATGGAATGATAAATCACAAGAAGAGACTCACCATATTTTGTACATTTTAGATAGGATTTTTTCAGCAAAATTTTGTGGTGACATCATAAATTTTTTAGGGGGGACGACCAAATACGTTTTGATCAAAAATTTACCATGCTTATGATAATTTTAAAATATCTTCAAGATTTCGAAGCATTCGGTTTTGTAGTTCCTGAGTAAATCAGTAAAATAAATTTACGCTTTCATTTATTTTCTTAAATCACCCTGTATATGCAAATCCAAAAAATATGAATGGAGTGATAAATTACAAGTACAGACTCATCATATTTTTACAGTTTGGATAGGATTTATTCGGCAAACTTTCGAGCTGACGTCATCAATTTTTTGGAGGGGATAAGTAAATATATTTTGATTACAAATATATCATGCTTATCATAACTTTAAAACATCTGCAAGATTTCAAAGCGTTTGGTTTTGCAGATTCATAATTCAATTGCAAAATGTTGTTTCATAATTTTGATTTTTTTTTTCCAAAAAATCTGGACGTTTCGGGTGAAAAGTCGATTCAGAGTTGTAAACTACATGTGTAGGACTATGTTATTTTATACAATTGAAAACCCATTTACTATGTACAATTTTGAAGTGACGTCATCGCAAGTGACGTTAGTGGTGGGGATGATTAGACAAATTTTGGTTAGCGTTTTACCATCTACATGATATTCTTAATATAAGTACAAAATTTCACAACAATCGGTCGAGTACTTTCGGAGATTAT